TCTTCTTCTCTATCATTTTGATAAGTACTAATATCTGGCAGGCTATGTAGGTCATCATCGGAATTGGTTGATTCTTCCTCTTCAGACTGTCCTTCAGGCTTGTTCAGTCTCATTAGAACTTTCGTTAAACGACTGTTTATTTCAGGCAGCGTCTATTGCTATGACCGTTTGAATGTTACCCATACATTCCGCCTGAAAGACTGTGTTATAGATACCCAGCTTTGTGCATATGTGGATATTGAGGTCTTCAGAGAAAGTTCCATATCCTACACCTTCATTTGTTTTAGAACCATCGATGAAAACGCTAAGCTCTTTTGGGCTTAATCCTTCCGGCTGGCTGGTTTCATTTAATTGTATCTTGTACTTCTTATCGAATCCAAATTGTTTGGGGATCTTATCGTACTTGGCTTGTATAGGATATTAGGAATAGAGAGGAGAGATATAGGAATTTTTGAGTGAATTCTATCAATTATGCCTGTATGAGGGACACTATTCTCACTCCAAAGATTTAAGGTCGTGTGTAGTCGCTCTTACCTGGTTTGCGTATGAATGTGACTTTCACTTCCCTCCATCCCCTAGGAACATGTTTAAGAGCCAGACAGGCTCTCATTATGGCAACAAGTCTACAAGCCATAGCAGTAGTAAGAAGAACTACCAGTAACAAGTGGTAGTAACCAGTAGTAACCGAAGTGACTAGTAGCAGAATATAGAACATAGTGAATAGTAGCTAGCAACACAGTAACTGATAATTGTAGTTACACAAGTGATAGTAATAGCTAGTTGTACAACATAGTAACTGATAATTGCAGTTACACAAGTGATAGAAATAACTAGTTAGCTGATAATAGCAGCTAGATAAGTGATAGTGGTAGCTAGTTAGTACAACATAGCAGATGATAATAGCAGCTAGTTAAACAGTGATAATAAAAGCAGCTACTACTAGTAGAAACAAGTTACTACCAAACAACTGAAGAAATCGTCTGAAAAATATAATGACCAACCGTAGTTGAACAACCATATTTAACAACCGTGGTCAATAACCAAAATAGTCAGAAGATTTTCACCGAACAGTTGAGCAGTCGAACCGCTGGCCACTGCCTTGCCATTTGTATTCTACAGTTCGTGCATTTTGATTTGAACGTCAGTCCACAGCACCCCAGCTGCACCCACAAAGACGGCAGTAGAAGTATCCTCCGGAACCTATAGGTGTAGGACATGAGCAACACGCGGAGCATCTCTGTTAAAATTTACTCACAAGTTTCGCCCGTCCGGCACACAATTGTTTTTCTGTCTGCCAAAACGAGTGTATATAACGAAGAAATTCGATACATTCTGAAATATTATTACAAAAAAGGGAAAATGTGACACAAGCCGCGAAAAAAATTTGAAACGTTTATGGACCTAACGCAGTGGCGGTAAGAGTAGCACAAACACGATGTTAGTTCAAGCGTTTTAAGTTCGGGAATTTTGATGTCAAGGATGCAGCTCGCTCTGGTCCTCACAGGGAATAAAATCGATGCCATTTTTGAAAAAGTAGAGCAAGAATGACATATTAGTAGTTACTACATAGCTAAAGAATTGAAGATTTGACCACAAAACAGTTTTAACCCATTTGAAAAAGTTTGGCTATATATAAAAAAGCTCGATATTTGGTTACCACACGTGCTCACTTAAAGAAACGTAATGAATCGTGTACGTAGTCATTTGCGATTCTCTATTGAAACCTAATGAAACCGAACCATTTTTAAAAAGATTTATCACTAGTGATGTAAAGTGGATCACCTATAACAACAACGTGCGAAAAGATCATGGTCAAAGGGTAGTCAAACTCCACAGACTGTAGGTAAAGCCGGATCAACACACAATAAGGAGATTGTTTATTATGAGCATTGCTGCCAACAACTAAAGAGACTCAAGCAAGAAATTGAGGAAAAACTGCCGAAATTCATCAACAGAAAAGGACATCTTTGGCCACTCAGCAAAAATTGAGAAAGCTTCGTTGGAAAGTGCTAATGCATCCTATAGTCCTGACATATTATAGTCCTGACCTTGCACCCTTAGATTTCACCTCTTTCGGTCTTTTCAGAAGTCTTTGGATGGTGCTAGGTTTACACCAAGAGAATATTGTCAAAACTACTTGTCGCATTTATTTGATCAAAAATCCCAATATTCCTACAGCAACGGGATTATGCCACAACCTAAAAGAAAATACGAAGAAACTTTTCCCCCCCGACCTATTATTTTCTTTATTCTCAAAACCAAGGCCTGTCAACTAATGTATGGAATCTATGCGGCATTAATAACAGCGCCATTTTATTAATTTCGCGGAGAACTACGTCGGCTTTGCAGGTCGATGTTATACTTGACAAACCGTGTAGCTGGCGCTGTTACAGAATTATTTTACAGAATAAACTACATGGTATTTTCAAATCAATAAATACATACAAAATCAATAAGTATACTCCCATTTTAGGTTTTTTATAATAAATTGTCAACTTTAAGGTAGAAATGTAGTAAAACAAATCTCACAAATGAATTTATTCTGTAACAGCGCCATCTACACTGTTTGTTAATTACTACATCGACTTGCGAAGCCGACGTAGTTTGAAATTTCAATAGTTCTCTGCTAGGGGTAAAAGTATTCTGTGTTAAATGTTAATATGGTTAAATTCTCGTAATTTAGTAACGAGACTAATTCTGATTAAAAAAAATAGTTGTATAATTCTTATAAATAATATTTAAAAAGAATTACTCTTAATAAGCACTCTTATTTATGATTCTTAGGGATCTACAAATGTGGGACTGGCAAGTGTGTGCTGTATGCTAATCCGATGTATTGGACTAGCTTGCTACATATTTATTTATCTGTGTTGGACAGGGACTTCAGCTACACAGATTAAAACTTCTGAGTGCTAAATGCTAAGGCGAGGCTAAACGTAGTTATTTATTTTTTGACAGATATCTGTTATTGTTTAGGCAAATACAATTACCGTTTTACGCGTATTTTACTACCTTTCGATTGATACTTTTTTTGATAATAATTTAAAGATTATAATAATAATTAATAACCCAAACTTTAAGACGACAGTTCCAAAGAGTAATATAATCATTACGTTTTAGACAATACCTCTTAGCATAGCAATAATCAGACTAAGGGTTATTGTGAATAAATCAAATTAGAAATCAAGCAAAGTAATCCTTTTTACTGAAAACGAGGCTTAGTCCTCAGGGGTGACAACGCTATGTTGCAACAGCCTTCACTAAAATAAAATAGTAAGAAAACAAAAATTATAACGTATTAATTTAAAACCAAAACTGAGAAGTTGACTTTTAATTTTAACAACTTTTGCAAGCAAGACTTTACAATCCCATAGAATTTTCTATGGTCCATCCCATAGATAATACACTATATACCAGGAAGTCCATCCCTAGTATATAGTGTATAGTGCCACCAACTTATCTGTTCAGTTGACAGCGTCGCTAGTGGAGCACTTACTATTGCCATTTAAGAAATTCACCGAGGTAATAGGTGGTTACAAATTCATTACACATAATATAAAATAAAACAAATTTCTTGTTAATATATTAAAATTAGTGAGAATTAGTGTTATTATATATATTATTTATTTTTTATAAAATTAATTGTGGTCGTGATCTCGGAGTTCAAGCGACCGAACTCCAGGAATTTGTGTTTTGAAAGATGTACCCACGCTAGCTACTGGTTCCAATAATTCATCTTCTGAGTCACTGAAGTCGCTTTTGCTATCGCTCTAACACTCTATAATAAATGATTCATCTAAATACGCGTATTTTAGTCTGTATTCATTTTCAATTTTTTTCATATGATTACAAATGTTTTTCCACTACACCGGTGTAATTTTATGGAATGCATTTTCAATTAATTGGGGCATTAAAACATTAGATTTTCCAACAGTTTTACAGTACATTGAGATAATATTTTTTCTAGGTTTCACTTTTATAGGTGATTTTAATTTTCCATATCTGGCAATACAAACCTGCCTCGGCAGCAACACGTTCATACGGCTTTTCAAATGGTATAGTTGGGGCTTATACACGTTTCTCGTCTTTCATAAAATTATCTATGAGCAAGACTATATTGTTTTTTTATCCCTAGTTATTGGCCTCACTTCATTCAGCCTAATTTATGACGTCCTTTGGAGATTAAAAAAAATGTATTTCATGTATTTCTGATAAACTAAATGTCGTTCCGTATAGACCTCTTAATATCAACATAGGGTTTATACATGAACAATCTTGAAATTCTATTAAAAAAGCATGCCATATAATGATTTTCTTTAAAATTTAAATAATTATTAATTAATAACTTCAAAAAATAGCACAAATATTTTGTTTATGGGGTATTTATAGTACCTAATTATTTAATCACATCACAGAATACAATATTGTATATAAAGTAATTTGTGAAACACATTATGATATCATGGATTTCATCAACGATTTCATGCCATTTCAATTCGTATCATTACGGATTTATTCTATAATACCTAAAATGTAATTATTCAACGGATACATAGTATACACTGAGCTAAGATGACATTTAAAAAATAAATTACTAAACACTAATTTTCTTGTATCTTTATTTAATATGATTATTTACTTTTAACATTCATTCTTAATTGTTTCGAGATTAATAATATTGTACTGTAAAACAATTATGTATATAAATATTGTAAGCTTCTGTGTGTGACATAAGTCATTGATATTTTAATATTTTTTATTCGCCGGGAACACCTGCCGGGAGCTGGCCACATTCTCGCTGTCTCCTTTTCAGCAAGTATGTAAATGTCATTTTTATACTTATTTTACAAAATTTTATGTTAAACGTTATAAAAAATTACGGTTTATAGTTACATGGGAAACTGAAAGTGCTTAATCAGTGGTTGTGTCAAAATGTCTGTATCAAGAGAGCATAACCTCGGTGAGTTTCGCGTCGTGCGCATCACGTAACAGCGAGCCCCATGGTGAGGAGGACGATGGTGCTGAGTACCGAGTGGGCGCAGGTGGAAGTCGTCGAACTCACGAACGACGGCAATGGACTCGGGTTTAACTTGGTTGGCGGGCGGAGCACAGGGGTAGTGATCAAATACGTGCTGCCGGGAGGCATAGCGGATAAAGACGGGCGCTTGCAGAGCGGCGACCACGTACTTCAAGTTGGATCAGTAAATTTACGCGGTTTCACATCAGAACAAGTTGCCGCCGTATTGCGTCAGGCAGGCCCGTCCGTCCGTCTCTTGGTAGCACGGCCGGCCGACCCAGCTGCAGCGCTTCGAGCTCCTATTCCAGGCACTGCGCTCGTGCCCACTAAACTTCTCGCGGACCCTGAACTCCTTGACCGGCACCTCATCGAAAGTGGTTATGGAGCAGTTTACGACCTATCCCAAAGCTACACAGATTATATCAACGGGCAAAATGGCAATGTAGGATCATTAATAGAGGTAGCTGCAGCTATTAGTATAATTGGTGACAATCCTCAACAAATACCAGATCATGCAGTGATAGCTCCATCTGTGTCCCCTACCATAACAATTACTGTGCCAGTGGAGTTACCACCTTTGCCTGAAGTCGAGATTATTCATGTAGACTTGAATAAAAATGTCTATGGCTTAGGTATTACTGTGGCTGGTTATGTCTGTGAAAAAGAGGAATTATCAGGTATATTCGTTAAAAGTATAATTGAAGGTAGCAGTGCTGAGCAGAGTGGAAAGATTAAGTTAAATGATAGAATCATTGAAGTTGATGGAGTGTCACTGGCAGATAAAAGTAATCCTCAAGCTGTTGAAATACTAAGAAACACAGGAATATCAGTTCATTTAGTTTTAGAGAGATATTTAAGAGGTCCAAAGTTTGAACATTTACAACTGGCTATATTCAATGATGAAAGGCCAAATTCTCCTTCGCCGTCAACCACAACTCTCTCTTGGTTCCCTGTACCATCGCAAGCTGAAAACAGTACAACAATAATTGAACCAGATCCTGAATCGAACACAACAATAGATTCCAGTGTGCTAGAAGTAGGAGATACTGAAGTCAATGAACCAACACAAGAGGAACTAGATAAAAGATTTGATGCAATCTTAGCTATAGATGAGGAGGAAGTAAAACAGAAATGGCAAGAGGAAATTGGACCTGATAAGCAAATAATAATAGCTGAAATACATAAACTATCAGGTTTGGGTATCAGCCTTGAAGGAACTGTGGATGTTGAAGGTGGTCAAGAAGTGAGACCACATCATTACATTAGATCTGTTCTTCCAGAAGGTCCAGTTGGACAACAAGGCACATTGAATGCTGGTGATGAACTGCTAGAAGCAAATGAATATAGACTCCATGGCTTAACTCATACTGAGGTGGTTAATATATTGAAGCAGCTACCAAACAGAGTCAGATTAGTCTGTGCGAGAAGCAACACTGATAGTGGACCTAGACCAGTAATCAATCTAGCACAGGATAGAGAAGGATTTGAAGCTAGGAAAATAATTTCAGGTAGCCTCAATAACTTAACTACACTAGTAAAAGCCCAGTCTGATACGTCAATCAACACATCAAGCACAGCAACCCTTACAAACCATTCTGAAATATCCAAAAAGTCCCGTTCACTCGAGTGTGTGTCAGGCTTAGCTATGTGGCAGAGCAAAGAAGATATAGTTGAGTTGTTAAAAGGGGACCAAGGACTTGGATTTTCTATACTAGATTATCAAGACCCTATTGACCCTCAGGGTACTGTAATTGTTGTGAGAAGTTTGGTGCCGGGTGGTGTTGCCGAGAAGAATGGAGAAATATCCCCAGGTGATCGTGTTATGTCAGTAAATGGGGCGAGTATAAAAAATGCAACATTAGATCAAGCCGTGCAAGCTTTGAAAGGTGCTCCGAGAGGGATTGTCAGGGTTGGTATAGCGAGACCATTGCCTCCAAATGACGCCTCAAAATCAAAAAGCACAACTACTCTCAACAAATCAAGTTAATCTTTACTTTAATTATTGTTTTAACTGAGCTAGTCATTACAATCATATCTCACTATATACTTACTAAATTTAGAGTTAGGTTTATTTGAATAATTTGTTCTAACAACATAGATTACTTATAAATTTATTAATTGTTTACAATTGCAGTGTAGAGCTATAGGAATAGATTTATGCACAAAATAATAATGTAGGCAATACAGGAATAATATCAAACCACAACTTTAAGAGCTCAACATTACAATAATATTTACGCTTTACTAGATATATAGTTATAGTCCCATGTAAAATTCACTAGTCCATTATTGTTGCACATAGAATAGTAAATAATTTTCATTTTCACCATTTATGTAACAATTACACCCTACGAAAGTTTATGAAATGTTACATGATCTAATTTCAAAGTTCAAATTTAATATCATTATTTCTATTAGGCATAGAACACTTACCTTCATTTAAACATTGTAGGCATAAACTTAGAACCTAGACTAATCACACATACCTAGTAGATATACCTAAGGGAGCAACTAATTATGTAATTTTATATGTAAATAAATATTAACATATTATTGCTTTTACAAATTTTATTTCTACATAATGTGGAATTTAATTGTGAATTGATATATCACTAAGCATTTTCATGAATAATAATGACATAATCAAGTTTTTTTTTTTAAATTAAGTATACAATGTATTTGAAACAAACTGCATAATAACATCTTTTATCTGTAATATAATATTTTTAAATGGTGTGAAGTCAGCTCGATCACTGCAATAATTAGTACACAATATTGTTTCGACTCATTCATTGATCACTCACTCATCTCATTTGATCCTCACCTAAACTTTGCTTGAATTTATTAAGAAAACTGTCCCTTGGTAGAAACTTTTTGGTCTTGGTGTTACATGTTTTATTTTAATTTGCAATTAACCTCTGACATCAACATTTTTAACAAATTCTGGTGTAGGGTCCTATGTATTTTGGGCACAAAGTTACTAACATGTTATATACATATTTTCACAAGCATATATCTGAAATACCACACCATCAAAAAGTTTATAACATAAATGTTAAATGACAAAATATCTAAAGAAAAATAACTAGCATAAAGTGTTCTAAAAGTTATTAATGTCATCAGAATAGAATATAATACCAATTCCAAAAATAATTATCACATTAGTAAAACACAGAGCTTAAAAGTTGGAGGTGTCATTCACTGTTTAGCATTATTATTATTATTAATCATGAATAAATTCAATGCCCGGCTGATTACTGCTAGCTCTCTAAAACTTATGATCAGTTCAAAATTGTCTTGAAAGTGATTCACTCTTAATAACTTAGCATCATTTATTGTAAGGAATGTATAAAGTGCACTAAAATTAGAATGGCACATGTGATATCAGTGTTACATATTACGTATTAAGTCTGTACCTCACTTATATTATATTATGTTATTAACTTTAGCCATGAACACAGTGGTCAGGACAAGGGAACTGACAATCCCTAATACTACACTACTACTTAATAATAGGGAAACATGTAAAAACTTTAAATCTAAGAGAATTAGCAATATAAACCAATAAATTTGTAATTTTTATGTTTCAATGGTATTATGGTATATGATTTATACATGGTAGAGCTATTGTACAGCTATATCAAAGTACAGTTGTACCACGAATGGGTCAGCTCGACCGGGGAAAAACCACACTAACAGAATACCAGAATAAAAGAGAAGGTTAATGCTGCTGTGTTTTGTTTGATGAGTGTAGATAACCTGAGACCCTTTTTACTGTTATACTGGAAAAGAGGCAACTGCATTTTATTCCAAAAACGAGGATAGATGTAGATGCCTATAGGCCACAGCAACCACTTACAATCAGGTGGAATGTGTGCTCGCTTGTCATCCTTATCTAAATGTAAGTAAAAAAAGAGAAATATAGAATTATCAGTTATGGCAATTGTCAGTTCTCTTGCTTCATTAATAATTTGAGTGTTTGTGAAATATGTACAATATTTTACTAAAACTTACTGTTTATCAATATAACTCAATTTAATATCAAAATGTGACTAAGTTTACTTTTAAAATTAAATTAAGAAATAATTTGTGCTTTTTTACAATTGATGCATTAATATTTAAATAAGTTTTCAGTCCATATAATAATTATTTTTAAAAAAAACCTGTTCCATAAATTTTTAAACCAAGTCATGCGAGTTTTCTTTCATTTTGTTTTTATAATTTTATGGAACAATGTGCACTCCCATGTATTAAGAACATGAGTGTTATTTATTATATTTGATTTAAATAGTTATTTATATTATGATCTGTGATTAAAAAAGTTTAAATATATAAACATGTGAAAATATTTAATTTCAGTGTCATCAAATGACTTATTTCATTTAATAATGTCTCCTATTCTCTATCCATCATTTTGTGAGTTAAATGATTCTGCCATACAATCACTAAAAGACTAACGAAAAGAAACATGATTTTTGTGTCAAAAATAAGGAAAATGAGTCTCCAGAAATTGTAAAGGATGAGGTGCTAAGTTGTTATAATTGTTTAAATCTCACAGCATCATTGGTCTAGTAGTTAAAAGCGCGACTGCTGTGACTGTAATCCATTAGGACTGAAATTCAGTCTAGAGTACGTTATTATTATTATAATTATTGTTTATATACAATTTAATTTAAATATTGACTATCTAATAGCTTTTTAGAGATTGGATGGCAAAACTGCTAATCCAATAAGTCATAACTTCAAACTCATAGATATAATTTATAATTGTACGATTATTTTTGTTGGTAGAGGGAGTATTATTCTCTCTCTACGTTTTTGTTAATTCATTAGTAACATATAATTTGATATAGTGTAATAACAAGTTTTATTATATTGCCGCGATTTAAAAAAAAAACAGAATGCGAATTCTATGCAATTATCTTATTATGTCTGCATATAACTCTCATTCTTAAAAAAAAAGAAGGAACTAATTAAATTTGAAATTGTTTTAAATGACACAAGAATTTATGTAAACAATTTTGAATTTGATTCAACTTAATTAAATAAAATTAAGTTGCTTTTTTTTGTTTATAAACATACGTAATGTGCAGGTGCATTTTACGAAAATTTACAAATTCGCTTCTGCTTCTTATAACATAGGACAAGATTTATATTTTTATAAGTAATAAAGAATCTAACTGATCTAGTCCGATACCTCAGTAACCAGCATTAGATACATAGATATAGATATACATTTAGTTTCTTTAGCTGGTTTAATGTTCCAATAGCTCTTCCCTTTGTGCAGACTGAGTAAAAATCTGCGGAAATATGTGATTGTAGAGTTTGGTAGGGAGTCATACATATGAATGTAAATTATAGTTTATACATGACTAAAAATAAAACTACAGACTTATATTGTTTTATATTTTTCACATTCACCAGTTTTTAATTGACAGTCATGAGTTTTGGATTAAATTTTTTTTGTGGGGGAAAGAGAACCATCAATACTTATTTAAGCGTTCAATGGGTAAAGAGATATAAACCATTCTCAATTTCTTACTTCATCTTACGTGATCAAGAAAACTTCCTACTGATTCTATACGGATCCTTGTCGAGATGTCAATTACCTATGTCATTCCCGGGCTAAAGGTTCCTACTATTCTTAAATTAAAATTGTCATGGTTGTGATTTTATTCTTGCCATAAAATGTATTCAATTTATATTATCTTTCTTTATGTACGTTAATAATATTACAACGATAATCGATAAAAAGCTATGAACCAAAATTTTCATAAAGCCCTACTCGAGAACATTGGGGATGTGTTTTTTTTCGGTAAATGGCTAAGTATATTACGTAGTATTTGTATTTTGTTCGCGAGAATATTACTTATGTTATAACTTATGAATATTAATTGTGATAATAAGTAAACAGTTTTTTTTTAATGTTTTAATATGGCGCGTTCTAAAATTTTACTACACTTTGAAATCACAATTTGTAACATTTTTCCTTTTTATAAATTATAAATAAAACAAAAATCACATATTTCCGATTAATAAATTATACTTTAGCAGCTTAAGACCGGTACTGTATAGTTTGCACACTGTAAATGTAAATGTAATAAATGCATCACTGGTAACATTTACACTTGTACATTTATGAAAAGAATAATATAAAATATGGAGAACGTTTTAATTTTTATTTTAAATGATATTATTATTTAATCCTTTTATTTCCTAGACTTTAATCAAAACCTACAAATTTCCGTAAATTTCGCAATATGTAGGTACGTAATTAACACGGATCCGATTCCCGCCGGCACCAATGAAGTTGTTAATTGCAATACAAAGTATTGATTTGACACGTGCTTGGTGATGAAACAAAACATAGTAAGGAAACCTTCGTCTAAGGAATATTTCGAGTACAAGTGAATTTTGTCAATACGCACTGGAACAGCTCGAACTAATCGCTCCTTATCCCTCTGAGAGGAGGCCTGTGCCAAAGATATTATTACTACGTACCTGTGCCGAGCAGTATCACGGAGGATGTACATAGGACTTTGTCGACATAAAAATACTGATTTTGGTCCAAATCTGAATTTGAACCCGGGAGCTCATAATCGGCAGTCGCGTTTACGACCACTAGACGAATGAGGCAGTCAAGAGTAAGCTGAGATTAGAACAGAAAATGGAAATTTAAGTTACATAATTCGAGAAAAAATAGCTATAATAATATATTCAATTCGCTATTGAGGGACTTATCCTTTTCCTACGAGTTATTCTTTCCATACCCAGTCTACAATTTCAGTTCAACTTTATATTTTGAGGATTATCAGACATTAAAGTCAATCCACATACATCAGTGCAGTGGCAGGGCCGTGCCATGATGATGCAAGGCATTAAAGATCCCGCTTTAGCACTGACACTACTGTGTAGGTACTGTATAGACATGTTCATATGAAATTTATCTATCGATATCTTTATCGCTCCTGATGGATTTCGGTCCTATCACATTCTTTGCACTGGTGTGTGAGGATCTCTAGTCGCTCCTCGAACCCGCGTCCGTTACTGAGCGACGTACACCGCAGGTAAGACAAAACTAAATAAACGAATATAGCATAGTATACTCCTCAACAAAGCTTTTTTGAGACGTTACTCCCACAGCCCACACTAAGATTTTCTCTTGTATAGTGGAGGCAGTTTACAAGCACAAATTGCGTAGGTAAGGACAATTTCGTGCGGAATCGAACCTGCGCCCTCTAGATCAGATACTCATTGCTAAGCCACTGCGCCACGGAGCCCTCAAAGTTAAAACTATTTTGCTAGGTACGAAACAAAAGATTTATCATTTTATTTCATTAAGGCGACACCGCGAAAAAATGCACCTCTTTTCATTGAATAGTATAGGAGTATGATACGACCATACGACTAACGAAACTGAAATTTTGATATAGGTAAATTCATGTCTTTATCTTGAATTTGCTTGTTAAAAAACACGATTGTATAATTTTGACTCGATCATAATTATTTGCGAAAACACCTCTAAAAAATCACTATAGTTGAAATTACAACGAAATTACTTAATCTATATGCTTGGGAACCACTCAAATACATTCATAACATCAATATTCGTAATTTACTTGCTCATTATTTTGATTACCAAAATCAATAATTTTTTTAAATATATTTTAAGATTCTAAGCAATTTCTAAGCGGTCTGTATCGTCGCGGGCGCTACGCAATTTTAGACCTTATGACGGCGTTTTTGAAGTTTTTATAGAAATTATGTTTAAATCGGGTCAGTCCGGCGATAGCCTGCTTCAACGGTTTTCAATGTGTCGCCTTAATTCATTAGCTACAGCCCATTAAAAGTTCATTGTTGAACATAGGCCCTTATATTGAGGTTATTAGTTATAATTGCCTTAAAGCAAACGCAATTTTTTAACGAGTTGGTATCGAGAAGAAGCTGCTGTCCATCTTCTTTCTGTTCCTGTTTTCTTCTGTCGCCTCTTAGACATACGACACCCATGATATGTTGATATGGAGTAGTGAATTCTATTACGTCGCCACTACACGGCGAAATTTTGAATAAGGTAGATAATACCTACACCCTAACATAGTTGCCAAACAAAAATATTATTCATTGTTGTTGCCATAGTATTGTCCATACCTATAATGTTAATGTGCCGATATTTGTATAAGGTACACAAACAGGAATACTGGGAACAAAGCTACATCTATTCTCTATTGAGCACCAAAATGCAGATACATTGTTACCTGATCAATAAGATGATGCCTCTTTGTCAGTTAAAATCAGGGCTCGGATAACGGTATATTTTTCGAAACGTTTTCACCTTAAATACCTAAAAACTTATTTTGTTTCGTTTATGTTCGAACGGAATCATAATAAAAACGTTAATGAAGAGAACGAAATTTTAACTGTTCTTGTTCAATAAAACGTTTTTAACCATTTTAAACAGTTTTTTCCCATTTTTTGGTCCTGCAATACGAAACAAAAATACCCCATAGGTTAAACTTGTCGTGGCACGCGCCATTCATTTAGCCCCGCAGAATAAACCGTTTTTTACGTTTTCACATTACGTTCTCATTTCGTTTTTGTTCCGTACAAAATGTTATACAAGGAACCGTCCCAAACGTTTTAAAAACGTTATTTTTAATAACGTTTCCGAGCCCTGGTTAAAATGGTCCCCAATTTTCGGCACTCGCTCAGCTTTGTTGTACTCTTTCGTAAATCTGTATATTATTAGTTGTTACGTATCTAATGCCTTAGTCGATCCTCGAAATAGAACAAGAGACCATCACCATGTTTTGAATACGATTTCACGAATATGCTACCCAGTACATATGTGTTACGCCTCAGGACCTAAGCACGGGCAACCCGGGTTCGTTCTTCGCCGCCACCAATGGAATTTTAAGTGCTGATTTACCACATTATCGACACTGAAATTGTCGTTATTTTTGAGGAATTATTATATATTTCGAGGACATGCGAAGTTTGCCAACACGTGTTGGAGTAGGGAGGCGGACTATTGCTATATCCCTTACAGATTTAAGAAGTGGCCTCTGTCCAGCACTCTGTAATTTTATTAAATTTATCGATCCATCCATCCATCCATTCATAAATCCCCAGGGAATGAGGTGATCACCATGCTGGTCCTATTAAAATTCATTTTAAAGTTATACAAACAAAATTATTGTAAAGTGAAAAATGTTTAAAAAAAAGTGCCGCTGGATTTTTTGCTGGTTCTTCCCAGAACAGAGGTATTTTCCGAACCAGTAGTAAATAAAAAATTACTTTCAATAAGTATTATGTAATAATCTATATTGAGTAAAAATCATTCTATTCTATTTTAATAAAGCTTATAAAAGTCCACTGCTGAACATAGGCCTCCCTCGTATATTGCCTCATGGGAGATTTTGCCATAATTGGCACGCTTGGCAAGCGGGTTGAGAACCGCAGTTTTTTTTTAATGTTATCAGGAAGAACCGTCCACTGCTGTCCATCTCCTGTTTAATTTTCCCTCCATCGCCTCTTACGACACCCACGGGACGATGCATAGAGTATTCTATAGGGCGATAGATATTGGGTAGTGGATATTCTTACACCGCCACTACACGGTTAGTAAATTTATGGATACAATCTATTAAATCACTTGATGTCTGAATATACATTAATGGTGTGGCCTTTTGTTTCAGATATGTGGGTGCCAAATCTACCTTTAACCGTCATTACGGGGTTGGCCGCAAGCGCGGGCGCATTATGTATATTCAAGTTAGTTGCTTTCTTATTTTACCATGTTTTTATTAACTCGCTATCGTGTATATCTCCATTCATCTATTTATCCATTTATCGACTACAGCCCTTCACAATTCCATTGCTGAACATAGGCCTCCCTTAGTGGAGGAACGCCACAAAGCGCGGTCCCGAGCGAAGTGTAGGGCGGCCCCGCACTAGATGGAGTGACGACATGGTAAGACATGCTGGTGGCTCAGGACCGTGTATGTCTGTTCGGCTCGAATTTAGCAATTGATTTTAAACTAACTTTCCTGTGAGCTAGATACGAGCTCAGAATCGAATGACAATGTAAGAATATATACCTAGTGATATATTAATTTTTTTTAATCACAAAAACAATTATTTTTGAACAGCAACGTGTCTGTGGTCAGCGCACAGAGTCGTGGAATATTAGTTTTTTTTTGTTTAATTTTAAATGTGTAAATGAATCCGAGCCGTTCTTAAACGGACGCGTCAAAGTTCCTTTTGTTTGGCAGCCACTAGGATATGCTTGCGGCTGTGGTAACATATTAAAAAAAAACTACGCCCACTTTTCTACTGTCTTGTGGAGACGCTTTACAATTAAATATCCAGACCATTTGTTCCTTGCGGGATTCGAACGCGTAACCCTGCAGCACCCTAACGCTTAGTCACTGTGATTCGCAGCCGTTAAAAAGCCCACTACGTTACAAAATAACAGATATACCTAATCTAGATATTATATTTTCTGCCGATTTCCAAAAAGGTACTCAATTCGACTGTATGTTTTTTTTATGTGTGTTACCTCATATTTTTTTACTGGGTAAACCGATTTTGATGATTCTTTTGAAAGTTGGTACTTCTCGTGTGGTCGCATATGAATTTGATCAAGGTCAGACCAATAGTTTTTGAGTTATTCTTAATAATTTATATTGAAATCGGCAGTACAACATTTTTTATTTTAAATTATATGTTCATTGTATAGGGACATGCACGGGGGCCCGCCATTCGACCGCGATGTGAAAGCCGAGGGCAAGACCGTCATTATCACAGGAGCTAACAATGGAATCGGCAAAGAGGCCACCTGGGAGTTCGCTAAGAGAGGAGCAAAGGTACTGACTGTATCTGTCAAGATAATCCGTTAGCTGTTCAAACTTTAACACTTTAAATTCTATTTTCTAGCCACTTTTAATTTTAGTTCAGATAACGTATACCGTGATCGTGTAATGGCGGTGTAAGAATATGTACTACCTATCCCATTTAATCCCGTGGGTATCGTGAGAGGCGACAGTGGGAAACATCCGGAGATCAATATCAGGAGGACAACATCGGCTTCCTAATAACAACTAAAAACACTGCGCTTACCAACCAGTCTGCCAAGCATAGTATGGCCAACTATGGCAAATATCCCCCCTATGAGGCATTCTATACAATACAATACGATACTCTTTATTGTACAGCAAGATAAAAATAACAAAAAAATAAACGACAATTGAGGTAAACACAAAAGGCGATGTGTTCAGCGGTAGACTAAGTCTCCACCTATTAAAATTTTTTTTTTGCGCCCAGAAGCAATTGGAAAGGGCTACCCCGATACGCGAGGAGATGGTAAATGCTTTATGCTTACCACGACAGCCGGTCTGTCGTGGCTATGCGGGACTCACTGTGACCTAACTAACCTACCAACCTAAGTGTTACCCGCTAAAAACCACCTTTGAGGGATGGGCAGTGACCTTTGAGGCCTCTCTGCCGAATCGGAAGCGACCCTCTTTTGGGAGAAGAGGGCGCAGGGGAGAAGAGGGCACAGGACCCATAAAAGTCTAGTAGACTTTAATAGACTGTAACGAATAACGGTTATGTTAACGGAGATAATATTATATGCTTATTGCTTACCGCCTTTATTAATTCCACGTTTACAACAGTTTTTCTGCCGACTTCCAAAAAGGACACGGTACTCAATTCGAGTGTATGTTTTTTTTTTATGTGTGTTACCTCATAACTTTTTACTGGGTGGACCGATTTCGATGATTCTTTTTTTATATGAAAGCTGGTAGTTCTCGTGTGGTTCCATATGAATTTGATCAAGGTCAGACCAATGGTTATTGAGTTATTATTAAATAACTTATATTGAAGTCGCTTATATTGAAGTCGGCTGTACAAAATTTTTAATTTTAAATTATTTTCTACAGCTGTTTCTATAAGTATACAAAACTAGCATTTGAAAAGTCTGTTATGCATTCTACGAGTATGTAAATATTAGATTAAGTTTAAAGATTTTTTATTTAGAAGTTTGTAATAACAATAATCGACCTATGGATATTGTGACAGGCGAAAAACGAAACCTATGCGTGGTAGAGCCATGCTGCAGCTATATTAATAGTATAGTTGTAGAACGAATGGGTCGGCTCGACCGGGGAAGAACCACGCTCTCACAGAATACCAGCGTAAAATAGCAGCTTAACGCTACCGTGTTTCGTATGGTGAGTTTAGAGAACCGGAGACCCTTTTTACTGGAAAAGGGGCATTCTATTTTAGTCCTCACGGCTGACAACGCATCTGCACTTTAATTCGCAAACGAAAATAGATGTAGATATGTATGGGTCACAGCAACCACTTACCATCAGGCGGACTGTGTGCTCGTTTGTCACCCTTATTCTATAAAAAAAAGATATTTGACATAATTGCCACGCATACTATGGTAATTATCCCTCCAATGAGTCTATTTCTAGTGTAGTGGCGATGTATGAGAACCCACTACCCCATAATCGTACCATGGGCGCCGTTAGAGGCGACAGAAGGAAACTGAAACAGGGGATGGGCAGTAGCATCTAGTAGCAGTAATACCAAGAGCTCAAAATAATAAAAAAAAACGTTGACAACCGCAGCCAAGCGTGGCAAATATGATAAATATCTATGAGGCAATCTATGGGGTGGCCTTTGTTTACTTTTTAAATGCGGTTATAGTGATGATGAGTCTATGTGAAAGTTTGTTCAGCAGTGGAGATATGACGGGCTGTAGCGATTATGATGTTTATTTATTTATAAGGGTCACCGACAGATGATACACAAAAACTAAAAACTAGATACAAGCATTGCGAGAAACATGCAATGTGCTCACCCAGTTATAGGCGACCACAGCTAACACAGTAAAAGTTAACCTCTAGTAGCAAAATTGCGTATTTATGAGAAATTAAAAAGGTTTACATTTATCATTTAAAATTTAGATTCTAAATAAAGTAACATTTTCCTTCTGAAATTATTTACATTGTCGTTGAAAATATCCAAATCAGATGGCCCAGATATATCATTATACAGTCTAAACATTCTGCATAATGCTGAATTAAAACACAGGTTAGTCCTGTGAGGTGGGACCATAAACAGCTTGTAGACATTAAAACGGGGTAATCTGCTTGGAGCATTAATGTTGTTAATTAAATGTAAATTAAACAGTCGATGCCGTTATTGTTCAGTTGGTAGAGGAAGCTTAAATCCAAAAATTTGCGCCTGTTATATAATGTTACATAATGATGTTGAATAATAGTAGAAACAAATAAGCCCATCTGATAAGTAAACGGGTGCAGCAGGTGTCCTTGGCCGCTTACAAGCAGATGGATTGAGGTCTTTTTTAACTGTCATGTTATTCGTACAAACCAGGTGTTCATGGCGTGTCGCGACATGACCAAATGCGAGGCGGTCCGTCGCGAGATCGTGCTGGAAACCGGCAACAAGTACGTGTACTGCCGCCCCTGCGATCTCGCCTCTACCGCCTCCGTGCGGGCCTTCGTTGAAAGGTAAGCCTCCTGCTCTTTTTATAAAAGGGTAAAAAGCGAGCACACAGTGCGCCTGATTTTGATTTTTAATCGAGGGTAGATGTAGGTTTCTATGGATCATAGATTCCACTTACTATCTACCACATTAGTTAAAATTATTGGGTTCGTTTTGTAGAGTATTCTTCCTCTCACATTTTTTAATTATTAGTGTAACTTCCTGAACTTTAAAAAAATTATAAATATTTTAAATCTCTCGTAAATACTGTTTATTTCTAAAAGAAATTAAGATGTTTTTATTATGGCATAAAAACATCTTAATGTTCTTATGTGGGCATGCAATGTTTCAAGGACGCAGGACAATCTTAATACAACCACACCATCGATCACTAATTTAAAAAAAATAGATACACAATCCCGTGCAAAAGTTCTCTAAAAACTGTCGCCAATTATTTTGACGTAATCCTAGTTGAAATAAATATACATTAATGTAAACTCAACCTTGAATGCATTGCTTAAAGTTGTATTCACAAAGCTACGTACAAATTAAAAGCTCACCCAAATGTTCGAGTGGGCGCTCATTCGGTAAGGGAATTTTTGTCAATGATTGTGTATCTAATTTCTTATTAGTGATCGATAAACCACACCCAAAATAAAAATAAAAATATAGCACGAATAGCGACCCAAGACTGAGCAAACAGTCATGTTATAGATAGAAATCCTTTCTTTGTTGTACATAGAAGCCATACTTAAATTATTTGAAACAATAAATCGTTTTAAAATGGCTTCTGTATGCCATGGTTAACACCACAAACCAACAACAGGTTCAAATCCGAGGAGCCGAAATTGGATATTCTCGTGAACAACGCTGGTGTGATGGAGACGCCAGCCGGTGTGACCAAGGATGGCTTCGAGACGCAGTTGGGTGTTAACCACATGGGTCACTTCCTCCTTACGAACTTACTACTGGACACCTTAAAGGTATTTTTTTGCATTTTGGACATTAAGTTTGGGAATTATTGTTTATACGTGGTAGAGCCACGGTGCAGCTGTATTATGTTTATAGCACAAATGGGACGGCTCGACCGGGGTAGAACCACGCTCTCAAAAAAAAATCAATTTAATGTAGCTGTGTTTCGTATGGTGATGCTAGAGAAGCGGAGACCCTTTTTACTGGAAACGAGGCATTCCATTTTCTGCCGACTTCCAAAAAGGAGACGGTACTCAATTCGACTGTATGTTTTTTTATGTGTGTTACCTCATAACTTTTTACTGGGTGAATCGATTTTGTTTATTTCAAAGCTCATACTTCTCGTGTGGTCCCATATGAATTTGATCAAGGTCAGACCAATGGTTTTTGAGTTATTCTTAATAACTTATATTGAAGTCGGCTGTACAAAATTTTAAATTATAGTCTTTAAGGATGACAATGCATTTGCATTTTGTTTCTTAATCGAAGATAGATGTAGATGTCTATGGGCCACAGCATCCAATTATCATCAGGTGGACTGTGTGCTCGTTTGTCACCCATATTCTATAAAGAAAACTTTCAAATATTTTTTAAGCGACATATCTTGATGCGACATATCATAGAGGTTTCTGTGAGATTTGAACACAGTTTAACACAGCACGTACGGTGACAGTTGTATCTCGGATCGGAGGGCAGATTGTCTTCACTTATTCTTCTTAATTAAAACAACAAAATTGAACGAATTCCTTCTCAAGGTCAAAAACGCAACATGCATTTCCCAAAAAAATATCCCATACTCACCTAATACCATCGCGCTGGTAATTTTATCCATTAATTCATTGCAGTTCGATGATTCTTTTTTATTTGAAAGCTGGTTCTTCTCATGTGGTCCCATATAAATTTGATCAAGGTTTGACCAATAGTTTTTGAGTTAATCTTAATAATTTACATTGAACTCAGTTGCACAATTTTTTTTAATTTTAAATTATTGTATGTCATGTTTGCCACAAAACCCTTGTATGTATTACCGTATTTCCTGTAGAAGTCAGCTCCGAGCCGCGTGGTGGTGGTGACGTGTGACGCTTACCGTCGCGGCGACATTCACACCGACGACCTCAACCTGACCCAGCAGTACGACCCCAAGGCGGCGTACTGTCAGAGCAAGCTCGCCAACCTGCTGTTCGCGAGGGAATTGGGCAGAAGGATGCTGGGTAAGCTCGACTCATTATCTTATTGATTGTTTTCAACACGCTTTTATTAGCTTCGCGTGTATCTATCTATCTAACGGTGCGTACACATTATATAACATAACATATTATAAAACGTGTTATATAAATTATATAACTCGAACGGCAGAACGACAAAGTCATATAACATTGTTATATTGCATTGTTATTCTAATGTGTACAGTATTGTTATATGTTGCAATGTTGAAAAACAATGTAACTTAATGTGGAAGTGTTATAAAACAAAAGTTACACAACATGTTACGTAATCTGTACGCACCTTAACTGAATCTTTTAATGTAATTTTCATCAACTTGTAAATGGCCGATTGACTTGAAGATTTGCACTCTTATCAAGTACCGATGACAATACAATAATTTCATAACTTTATACTAGTATCCTGATCAGGACCACTGGGATAAAACAGTTATCAGGATCATCACGGTTCATGATCAAAGCTTAAGCTACGTTCAGATCTACCAGCACGTAGCGTGCCCAGCACGTAACGCGGCAGACACCGCACAGACAACCGTTTTCACATCTCACGCACACGGCATGAACAGACGTCACCAAGTAAACTATAAAGTGCACGTGTTTACAAGATTTTTTCATAAATAAAATCCTTCTTACATGAAACTTGAAGTGTTTCTGCTACTTCTTTCCATGCGTAATCTTTTTTTTTGGTTGTCGCTGTATCTGCGATCACACATATCATACCAAAATGTGTATTAGACACGAGCAGACACGCACCAGCACAGACAAAACATTAATGTATAAAAGAATATTATTTTGTCTGCCACGCCACGTATCTGGCACGCTCAATGTCTGTAGATCTGAACGAAGCTTTATTGTTTAAGTTTTTTTTTAACTCTTATATTATTTTTGAACCGTTTATTTTCCTTTGACGACCCGTTATACAGTGTACGGATTTGTTTTTAGAATAACAAACGAACACACAGTTCACCTGATGGTAAGTTGAGGCAAATCAGATGAAATATAACCCTTCGTTGGCTTACTGCTTATTAATTCATTAAGCGGATCTTAACTTCTATGCGCAGATTTTTTTTTAATTTAGAATAAGGGTGACAAACAAGCACACAGTCTACCTGCTGGTAAATTTATCCTCGATTAGGAATCAAAGTGTAGATGCGTTACTAATTTGTGAGGCCTCGATGCTTGATTTGATTCTGGATTCAAAATCCTGCCGATGTCAACAACTTGTGCAAGTCCATAATTTTGAACACAATAATATTTGGACGTGGTTATGCAAAAAGGATCCAACCCGAGTTAAGGTCAAAAATGTTGACTTGAAAAATAATGTTTGTGGTCTATACTATTATGTGATGTAACAATTTTAGCAAACGTAACACAAATAAGAAGAAAAATTACAAACAGACAGAAACCATAACGATAATTTGAGTTTATGATATTTGAAGTATCCATACTCCAACTCAAATTAACTTATCGCGGGTTGGATCTTTTTTGCATAACTACGTCCATTTATCCTCGAACTTAGTCTTATGCTGAAATTAGCAATTTAATCGAACTTCGTCATTGTGCAGTTCATTAAACAACTAGTTTTAGTTGATTGGAATTTAGTTTAACTGTTACACAGTATTAGTACCTACTTCCAACTCGTTGAGTTTTGCAGGCTGATTAATCTCCGTACTACATGTGTTGCTTCTTCAACGCTGTTCTCTTTCCAAAGTCTTGCTTTTTGTGTTTGCTTCCTAAGTCATAGTACACCGACGTCTATAGGAACCCTAAGATATTTCTGACATTTCACAATGTAAAAATGTATGTAAATAGTGTGGCCTAAACTTTTGACGGCTCCGTGGCGCAGTAGTTAAAATGAGTTGGGCCGCGGGTTCGAATTCCGCAAGGAACAAAAATATTCGTATGGCCTACAAATAATCGTTCCACGTCTGGATGACTGGATGTGTCTTTGTCAAATCTATGTATGTAAACTGCCTCACGATACAGGAGAAAATCCTAGTGTGGAGGTAACGTTTAAAAAACACTCCAGGCAGTTTTCGGCATTTATATGTAGATAGACTACATATAAAGATCTAGCCTATATACGTCCTATAGTTGATAGAGCGTCAATCGTGCCCACAGAGAGCGGGGTGGCCGTGGCGGCCGTGGACCCCGGCTTCACGGACACAGACATCACGCGGCACCTGCCCATGTCGCGCAGCGTCACGCGCTTCGTGGTGTACCCGGTGTTCTGGCCCGTCATGAAGCTGGCGCGCATCGGCGCCCAGGTCATACTCCACGCGGCACTCGACCCCAAGCTTGACAAGTGCAAGGGAGATTACTTCGTGTGAGACAGCATTCTTATGATAATAATTTACATAATTTTTTTTCAGCTACAACAAGGTTGTCAACAAGCACCTTCAGTGCTATAAAAAAGCATTGAAGGTCTACAAACGAGCACGCATTCCACCTATTGTAAGCTGTGTTGCAGCCACACAGCTGCCTGTCGTGAGAAGAAAATTATTTATACTATAAACACTATACACACATTCATATTCGAAAATAAACAATTAGGGCATTTGCACTAAATGTTAACGACAGATTTTTTTTATACATAACTCATAAAACAGTAGTGACGAAGGAATTTGCAGTCCACCTGATAGTAGGTTGCATTCTTTGGACATGTTCAAACAAAAGGAGATTAAGGATGAGTTGTCACTCTGAGGACTTAGATGGAATGCCTCACATCTTGTAATTATATTGGATGTCTATATCAGCAGTGCTCGGCTATTTGACGGGCTATTATGCAGAATACCAGCGTAAAATAACAGCTTAACACTGCTGTGTTTCGTATGGTGAGTGTAGAGAACCGGAGACCGTTTTTAGTGGAAAAGAGCCATTCCATCTTAGTCCTCACGGGTGACAACGCATCTGCATTTTGATTCGTAAACGGGGATAGATGTAGATGTCTATGGGCCACAGCAACCACTTACCATCAGGTGGACTGGGTGCTCGTTTGTCACCCTATCCTATAAAAAAAAGATAAAGAGTCCTAGCACCTATAAATAAATTAGAATTTGCGTGCGTGTGTGTGTGTGTGTGTGTAAATAAATTAGTATAAATTTAAAATTTCGAACACAGAGTTAGCGACGTATTAGCTATGTACTCTCACAAGCATTTCACGCGGTCGACACACGCGCAGTCTACAAGATAATATCAAACACTTCTATGTATACTGCTACAACAAGACGGGCCCAACGGTGTTAATATATTACGCACTAAGTTACGGTCAATTCTCCGTAACTCCTTTAGTCGACTGCGAGTGGGCAAGAAGACTAGTTCTTTGTTTGTAAACCGCGAACGTTGTTTCCGACAAACCTAACACTGATTTTGCTTAATATGACTAAGAAAATGCTCTCAACATTTATGTGTGCATTTTTGCCACGTGATTTGAAGTTTTACAACGTAAACACGCTAGAGTATTATGCGTATAACAGTAGGTTGGCTCGACTGGGGAAGGACCACGCTCGCACAGAACAACCGCGTGAAATAGCAGACGATCTACCGATTTTTGAATCGATTCAATGGAATACGATCTTCACCCAGATCGAGTCGTATGCCTATAATATTGTATGAAAAAATTGTATCACAAACTAAAACCTAAACATCAACCGAACCGTAACATACTAACGTATGAACTGATCTTTGCATACATTTCGTATTGGAGGGGAGGGGACAGAATAACTAAAACAAAGTTACATTAAAGTTACATTAAAAGCGTTAATGTATAAAATATGAAGGTAAGTATGATAATATTTTGTTTATTTAATTATCGGGTACCTATGTCAGTGGTCTTTGATCGTTCATTCTTTGTTTTTGCGATAGAAAAGTTGAGCTGTTGTGTGAGCTTAAGCTATCATTTTAAAATAATTTTTAATATGGCCCCGCCAACCAAATAAATTGTTTGGCATTGAAGTACGAATTTCTGACAATTGTTGCAACATCAGTCCCTTCAGAACGGCTGTTTTCCGTAGCTGGAAATACATTAACATATAGACGTAATAGACTGGATCCAGTATGTCTGTCAAAATTAATATTTTTGAGGAGTTTAAATGTAGATAGCTGGAATATAATTTCAAAAATAATAATTTGGAAAAACTCACAGGATACCATAATAGGCATTGTTAAAATAAATAATTGTGCATGCATACTGTGCTTTTCTTTAATTTTTATAATATTACGATACGATTTTCCGAGATCGAATAAGATCGATTCAATGCAATATGATTAAATCATGAATCGATTCACGAGGTTACGATCCATTACGATTCAGAAGATCAATTCTAAACAAAAAATCGGGCATCCCTGTCTAACATCTATGGGATCTATATTAGGATTATCGTACACCACCACATGTTAGACAATCTAAGGCATACAGGGGCTTGATGGATACAGGTGATTCAAGACTATACTTTGAGGCAATCTCAAGACATGTTGTAAGCAGTGAACTTGGAGTTAATAATACATTTTTGCTTCAGGGACATGAAGTTAGCAAAACTTACGCCAAAAGCCGAAGACTACGAGCTGGGTCTCTGGCTGTGGAAGGTCAGCGAGAAGTGGACCAGACTTGAAGATAATAAAAGCATCTCCAAAGCAAATGCTGCGTGATTTGTTCTAACAATTCAACAATAGACTTTTTAAGCATTGTATTAGAGTTTAAATTAAAGTGCGAGTTATTTAACAAAGAGTGTAATCGTCATACGACTGTCGCCACTTGCGAGGATTTTCTTCGTTTTTCATATTACACGCTACATTTCACGCTCTATTCAACAAAAAACAAAATTTTAATAAAATATGAAAATTTTATAGATTTTGTGCTTTAATGCATTTATTGTTAGAACATAAGTGTAGATTATAGCCTGTACAAATTTTAATAAAATGTAGTTATATTATTGTTTTTACGACTTTTTTATTTACTTTAGGAAACAGTCGCACCCGTATCGAGTTAAGTGTGGCTGGTTGTAACGACTGTCTGAGTGTGGTACTAACGATCGTGCTAAGTGCAGTCGCAACTCTCAACGAATGCCCGAATGTAGTATATTAATACTACATTGGGACGTGTGAAGTGTGATTCTAACAGGATCCAGTATTGTCGTGACAAATGTCCAAGTATGGTATTAACCGTCCTACTTAGTGCGGTCGAAACGAAAATCTAAGTGGTATTAACGATCTGCCGAGTGTGGTCCCAATGAATGTACAAGTGTGATTCTAACAGGATCCAGTAATGTCGTGACAAATGTCCAAGTATGGTGTTAACCGTTCTACTTAGTATGGTCGAAACGAAAATCTAAGTGTGGTATTAACGATCTGCCGAGTGTGGTCCCAATGAATGTACAAGTGTGATTCTAACAGGATCCAGTAATGTCGTGACAAATGTCCAAGTATGGTGTTAACCGTTCTACTTAGTATGGTCGAAACGAAAATCTAAGTGTGGTATTAACGATCTGCCGAGTGTGGTCCCAATAAATGTACAAGTGTGATTCTCACAGGATCCAGTGTTGTCGTGACAAATGCTCAAATATGCTGTTAACCGTCCTACTTAGTGCGGTCGTAATGAAAATCCGAGTGTGGTATTAACGATCTGCCGAGTGTGGTCCCAATGAATGTACAAGTGTGATTCTAACTGGATCGAGTGTTGTCGTGACAAATGTTCAAATATGGTGTAACCCGTCCTACTTAGTGCGGTAGAAACGAAAATCCGAGTGTGGTATTAACGATCTGCCGAGTGTGGTCCCAATGAATGTACAAGTGTGATTCTAACTGGATCGAGTGTTGTCGTGACAAATGCTCAAATATGCTGTTGACCGTCCTACTTCGTGCGGCCGTAATGAAAATCCGAGTGTGGTATTAACGATCTGCCGAGTGTGGTCCCCATGAATGTACAAGTGTGATTCTAACTGGATCGAGTGTTGTCATGACAAATGTTCAAATATGGTGTAACCCGTCCTACTTAGTGCGGTAGAAACGAAAATCCGAGTGTGGTATTAACGATCTGCCGAGTGTGGTCCCAATGAATGTACAAGTGTGATTCTAACAGGATCCAGTGTTGTCGTGACAAATGTCCAAGTATGGTGTTAACCGTCCTACTTAGTGCGGTCGAAACGAAAATCTAAATGTGGTATTAACGATCTGCCGAGTGTCATCATCATTATCATCATCATTACAGCCCTTCACAAGTCCACTGCTGAACATAGGCCTCCCCCAAAGAATGCCACAAAACACGGTCCTGAGCCACCTGCATCCATCGACTTCCTGCATGTCTTACCAGGTCGTCACTCCATCTCGTGGGGGGACGCCCTACACTTCGCCTACCGGTACGAGGCTGCCACTCGAGAACCTTTCTTCCCCATCGGTTGTCGGTTCTTCGAGCTATATGGCCGGCCCACTGCCACTTCAGCTTACTAATCCGTTGGGCTATGTCGGTCACTCTGGTTCTACTGCGGATATCCTCATTCCTAAGTTTATCACGCAGAGAAACTCCGAGCATAGCCCTCTCCATAGCTCGCTGAGCAACCTTGAGCTTCCTCATACGGCCAGCAGTGAAGGACCACGTCTCAGTTCCGTAAGTCATCACTGGCAACACGCACTGGTTGTACAATTTCGTTTTAAGGTTTTGAGGTATGTCTGACGAGAAGATGTGTCGTAGCTTCCCGAACGCTGCCCAGCCGAGTTGAATCCGTCGATTGACCTCTCGGTCGAAGTTGGACTTACCCAGTCGGACTATTTGTCCCAGGTAAACATACTCGTCAACAACTTCGAGCTTAGTGTTCCCAACAACTATCGGCATAGGTGTGACATGGACATTAAACATGATCTTAGTTTTGTCCATGTTCATCTTAAGACCTATCCGTTGGGAAACACTATTGAGGTCATTGAGCATAGTGCTTAGGTCCTCCAGCGATTCTGCCATAAGGACTATATCGTCGGCAAATCGAAGGTGAGTGATGTACTCGCCATTGATGTTGATACCGTATCCTTTCCAGTCCAGAAGCTTGAAAACGTCTTCCAATGCAGCGGTGAAGAGTTTCGGGGATATGACGTCACCCTGTCTTACACCTCTCTGCAATTGGATAGGTTTCGTACTCTGGTTCTGTACTCGGATAGCCATCGTAGCCCTACTGTACAAGCACTTCAACACTTCGATATACCGACAGTCAACTTGGCACCGCTGAAGGGACTGCAGCACCGCCCAAATTTCGACGGAATCAAAGGCTTTCTCATAGTCCACATACGCCAGACATAGTGGCAAATTGTACTCTTCGGACTTCTGTACAACTTGCCGAAGGGTATGTATGTGGTCTATGGTGCTAAAGCCCTTTCGGAAACCGGCTTGTTCGGGAGGCTGGAAGTCGTCAAGTCTGCGCGCGAGACGATTCGTAATGACTCTCGAAAACAGCACGTAGACGCGGCTCAGAAGGGAAATCGGTCTGTAGTTCTTCAAGAGAGCGTTGTCACCTTTCTTGAAGAACAAGACCACCGCACTTCTGCTCCACGCCTCCGGTGTAATGCCACCATGGAGGACGGAATTAAAGAGCTTCTGAAGGACTTCAAGTACCGGTCTTCCACCCGCTTTCAGAAGCTCCGCTGTAATTCCATCCTCGCCTGGGGCCTTACCGTTTTTAAGGTGCTGGAGAGCCATCCTAATCTCGCTCAGACTGACATCCGGGATATCTTCGGAATAGTGTCGGATGAGACTCGCTCTTGGATCGTTACTCACACTTGCGTGTGGCTCCAACGATGACGTGTACAACTGCCCATAGAACCTCTCAATCTCACTCAAAATCTCAGGTGTCCCGGAAACGATGCTGCCACATTCTGTCTTCAGCTTTGACAGTTGGCTCTTTCTGGCAGACAGATCTCTGGCAGACTTTGGAGCCTTGGTTCCGCTCGATCGCTTCTTCAATACGAGCTGTATTGAAGTTGCGTAAGTCCCGCCGCATGCATTTGGAGATCTGTCTGTTCAGATACCTGTATGCTGTCAAGTCTGTTGAAGAATGTAGCTTCATCTCCCGTCTAACAGCCATGAGATTAAGAGTGTGATCGGAGAGTTTTTGTGTTCTTCTGCGGCGGGTCTTGCAGAACTTAGCTCCAACCGCATGGACAGTTTCCACGAGCTTGTCATTCATATCGTCCACTTCATTGCAGTCTTCTAGGCACTGAAAACGGTTTTGTAACTCCGAGTTGCCGAGTGTGGTCTCAATAAATGTACAAGTGTGATTCTAACAGGATCCAGTGTTGTCGTGACAAATGCCCAAGTATGGTGTTAACCGTCCTACTTAGTGCGGCCGAAATGAAAATCCGAGTGTGGTATAAACGATCTGCCGAGTGTGGTCTCAATGAATGTACAAGTGTGATTCTAACTGGATCGAGTGTTGTCGTGACAAATGTTCAAGTATGGTGTTAACCGTCCTACTTAGTGCGGTCGAAACGAAAATCCGAGTGTGGTATAAACGATCTGGCGAGTTTAGTTCTAAAGCTCGTTCCAAATGTATTAATTATACTTGGTACTAAGTGATAATTCAAGGCGTGGACGCAACAAATGTGCGAATGTGGTACTAACGATTATTCGAATTTGGTATATACGATAATGCTATTCATCGCCGGCCTCAAGGATCAATATCTTTCAGAGGGTGTTGTAAGAGGCGACAGAGAGAAATTGAAAGAGGAGATTAGTAACAGGAACTTCCTAATAACAAGTTAAAATAATTAAAAATATTGCGGCTGCCAACTCGCCGGCGAGGCGGCAACTATGGCATAAATGAGGCAATCTAGGAGGCCTATTTTCAGCAATGGCTGTAACTCTAATGATAAAAGCGTGGTCGTGACGAATGTGCGAGTGTGGTACTAACGATAATTCGAGTGTGGTGCCATCACCTAACTACTGGATGCGTAGATCACATTTTGAACTGGTCGCTACAGCTTGCATAGAGGCCTATGAAATCTACAGCAGTCATTTTATAATGACCATTTACCCTAACCAATATCTACAATTCGGGGAGCCTATTTAGATACATATTTATATCGACATAATTTGTAAACGTGTAGCAACGTTAGTAGTTTGTTAACGTCCCCCTGTTAGGCACGAACCTCATTTTTAGGAGGGTAATAGATCAAAGTAGTCTCGCACTTGTTGATGCTGAGTGCTGATTTTCAAGTTGCGTAGTTTTAATTTTATAAACAGATTTGTTTCCCATCACAACAAGAGTTCCAAAACAGAATATTTATATTGCTTAGCAGTACAGCTTCACGTGGTTGACAACCAAAACTGGTTGGTGAATAATTATAGAAAAGATTGAAATAAAATAGTATCATAAAAATAGATGATTTATTTATCTCTATTCCCATATGGATGTGTGGTATCGAGGATCGTCGAAGAGCAGTGGCCTGGTTTGCGGCTTGTCGAGCGACTGATCGAGCGACTTGGCAAGCGGTTTGTCGTGTCGATGCAACAGCTGAAGGCATCCGGTGCCGATTGCGGCAGGAACTCCAACAATAATGGACTCCGATACGCCCTCGATCGAGTCCCGTTGTCCGTAGTACGCCGCGTCGAACAGATGGTCCGCAGTTTTTTCGAACTAAAACATAAGTTAACCATTACCATTGCAGCCTATACAATTCCACTGCTGAATTGTTTTACGTGGTAGAGCCAAGCTGCAGCTGTATTAGTAGTATAGTTGTAGCACGAATGGGTCGGCTCGACCATGGAAGGACCACGCTCTCACAGAATACCAGCGTAAAATAGCAGCTTAACGCTGTTGTGTTTCGTATGGTGAGTAGAAAACCGGAGACCCTTTTTGCTGGCAAAGAGGCATTCCATCTTAGTCCTCACGGGTGACAACGCATCTGCATTTTAATTCGCAAACGAAGATAGATGCAGATGTCTATGGGTCACAGTAACCACTTACCATCAGGTGGACTGTGTGCTCGTTTGTCACCCTCTCCTATAAAAAAAACATAGGTTTTCCCCAAAGATCGCCTCATAAGCGGGATATTTGCCATAGTTGCCACGCTTGGCAGGCGGGTTGGCAACCGCAGTTTTTTTATTTTCAGTTCTTATCGAGAAAATGCTGCTGCCTATTTCTACTTTATTTCCCTATGTCGCCTCTTACGACAACCACGGGACGATATGGGAACATAAGTTACAACCTAAATAAGTCAAACTGCAGAAAACTGGTTTCCTGTAATTTCTGTTGGCGATATGTATGCTTCCTCAAAGTGTTTTCTTTCATCGCCAAGCCAAGCGCGGTAGGGAACGTAAGGTGCCGTAGGTCAATTCGACTTGATATATTACATCGACTTTCAGCATAATTGAAATCATCATTCCTTTAAACTCCGTTGTTAAAATACAGCGATAGGAAGAATCCAGAAGATTATGTTAATCTTCGATATATAGTGATATCTATGTCATCGTGTAGTCTTCGATATATGGTGATATCTATTATTAAAATCAGATCTATTATTCTGATCACGGAGAGCAGTCTTAAAGGTAAGAGACATCTGACACAGATCTTCAAGCGTGTTTATAAGCGTCCATACTATGAAAGGCCCATGATCAGTTGTGTGTGATGTGTAATGTTCCTCTTGCCAAATTCAATTTATTTCTACTTTTAGCTCAGTATCAGTCCCCACACTCTCAGCGCTTATTATACATATGAGCGTTGAGAGTGTGAGGATTGATACTGGTCAGGTAAAGCACGGACTTCATAATCCGCTCAAGTAAGGCAAGTTATGTGGAGTCAGGGTGGGGTTTTGTACGCGAGCGCACGGGTCTGTCTGTTTGTGTGAGCGTGCGTGCGAGCGTACGTACGCTGGCCAGGTTGAGCACGGACTCCTTCATGCGCGCGAGCCCGTAGCGCGTGATGCCCAGCACCTCGCCGCGCGCCGTCATCTGCGCCGCCAGCAGCTCCACGTGGCGCCGGTCCACCGCCATGCCGTGCCCCGCCATCACGCCCTGGATCTCGCTAATGATCGTCGACTTGGCCGCCTCGATGCCCAGTGTCTGGTACACCTGACGACCGAATAGGCTTTTTCTTTATTTAATGGAAGCATAGACTTCTATGTATACTACTAAACCGGCAATTCAGCGAAAAACTGTGTCACAGCGTTACATTTTTAGGCAAATACGAAATAACACATATTTCAAATCACGTGGAAAAAGTGCGTACATAAATAATGGCATAAATAATGACACAGTTTTCATAGTCACATTAAACAAAATCAGTGTTAGATTGTCGAAGGCAACTTTCCCAGTTTACAAAACAAAAAACTACTCTTCCAAGCAGCTTGCGATCGACTAAAGAAGTTACGGAGAATTGATCGTAACTTAGTGCGTAATGTATTAAGGACGCAGAGCCTATCCATAGTATAGAGCTCGTCTAGTAGTATACAGCTCGTCTAGTAGCTCACAGCTTGTCTAATAGTATACAGCACATCTAATAGCATACAGCACGTCGAGTAGTATACAGGTCGTCTGGTGTATTACGGTTTGTCTAGTAGTATACAGCTCGTCTAGTAGTATACAGCACATCTAGTAGTCTGAATTGATGTAACAAAAAGAGAATTGAAGTACTGCAGGCCTTGCACTGCAGTTAATTTCAAACAAAGAAGGCTACAGATGCGTTGCCACCTCTAGGGACTTAGTTGAAATGCAACTAAATATTAGCTCTCTTATAAACTCCAAATCAGAACACAACCTTGCAAGCACTGAAAATGAGCGTTACGAACTTACGTCTAACTTCAATTCGTGACTTAAAGCGAACTTACAGATTTCGGTGCATATTAAGTAAATTTATTTTTTTGTAAAGAATAAAGTATTTTTTCCTGTCTTGCTTGTCTTTATTTCTATGATGCGGCAGAAATAGGTAACATGTTCGTACCCAGATGGATACCTAGGTACTAAAGCAATCCTACCACCTATTATTATAATTCCAAACTATCACATTACAACCCTCTCCAAGACTTCCTTGCTGAGAGGGTTATGGAGCAATTTGTCTGCAACACTACTCAAATGCGTTAGCAAAGTTCGAAATGTTTCACACCACAGATATGCAACCTGCAACCTCTGAACACTTAAAATTCCAATTAACAATTTCATTTGTGCCGACAGAGATCGAATTCAGTTCACTCGCGTACTGTGAAATTTTATCGCGACCGCCTAAAGGCTCTTACAGAAATATTTAAATCGTTGTACCAAATGCAATATAACAAGCATAAAGGTTAAAACAATAATTTGAAAAACCCATCTGCGTATAATAAAAAGCCTTTACCTTTCTTGTATGCTCATTAGAGCCTTTTTTTTATAGGATAAGGGTAACAAACGAGCACACAGTCCACCTGATGGTAAGTGGTTACTGCGGCCCATAGACATCTACATCTATCCTCTGTTACAAATCAAAATGTAGATGCGTTGTCACCCGTGAGGACTAAGATGGAATGCCTCATTTCCAGTAAAAAGGGCCTCTGGCCACCTGCACTCACCAAGCGAAACGTCGTGGTACCACCCCGGTTCGAGCCGGCCCATCCGTGCGACAGCAAAAGCTGCCGCGTGGCTCTACCACTGTTGGCCTACTCTAGTTTCTAGTTTTCCCTATCACAAGGTGTACAGGGCACTGTCTTCACCAATATTAAAATTCACCAACGCGTTTAGGCTATAGAGCTTGCCAAAGAAATACACATTACATACATACTCTCGAAAACATTACCTTCCTTCTGGAGAAGTGGGGTAAAAACGAATTAATATATAACATAAATTACCTCTAGAATATTGTTCGATGAAGTTTTAGTGCCATCCACTCCATATGTTGCTATGACGTCTCTTAGTCCATCACCTTCAACGCATAATTTGTATCTGTAAGTAAATGGATATAGTGTGTTACATAAAAAGCATTGAGTTATATGTAGTAACGTACTAGAGAAGCTATTCCAAACAAAAGTTGTGCGCTACTCTATGACTTCGCGCATGCGCGGGAGATAGTAGAGTCGCGCATGCACGAAGACTTTAATATAAAATAAGATATTAATATAAAACACTCTACTAATCTAAACAAACATATGTCTAAATAAAATGTAATAATAATAATCTTATGAAATTTACAAATCTTCAATTTGCGCAATATTTAGTTTAGTGTACGGATTGCAGTACAGTTGAGTTGAACATAGTCAATGTTCGGGATGCAAAATCTAGTGCGTAGTACATATATATCGATAATAAAAAATAAGATGATCATCAATACAGCCCGACTTACAGACGACGAATCGATTTGCGAGCACAACCTGGTGTTGACTTGCACACTAATAAATTTAACAGTCTCTGGTGAAGTATCAGTACAGTGAATCACGGGTTAAAGATTGAGAACATTCTTTCAAGTCACTGTCAACATCACGTGTCCTTCTTCCTCTAAGTTTTGTGTTTTACTTGACGTTTTTAGCGGTAAGTTTTCCAATATGATCACGACCGTGTGTTTTACGTGAATACGATGTTCGTAACGAAACGATCTCAAAATGGCGGCGCTCCCCCCTTCGCTGAGCGTGATACGTTACAGACCTCACTCAACGCAACGAATTCTTTAATTGTTTAGTTATTGTAGGGTGTAATTAAATTTTGGATGTAGATGATAGATATGTAGCTGCAAAACTAAACTGTTATCATCAGTTTTCAGAATTGCCTCCCATTATAGAAGCACATTTAGAACATATAGAAGCATATTTATTCACGTCAAAACATTTGTCATTCGCTTGCTGTACAGTGTGTGCATGTGCAAACTTGCCCATGCAACGGCTTCTCCATACTTCGACTGCCACTTCGCACGCTCGACTCGTCCCACTGTACCTTACATACTAAAATTGCACTGCACCTCCGTGTGTCGGAAATCACGTAAAGCCATTGGTCCTGCGCCTGATCTCTTTCCGGTCGTATCAGATTACCGTCCCATTGGGCTATGAAAATGAGGAATATGGAGTGCACCTGTGCTTGCGAATACACTCGTGCACTATAATCCTGTCCTGGGCAGATGGTTAGTCTCCGTTGATGCTGGCCGCCGTGACCGAAATTCGGTCTGGACGACATTTCTATTATACATGCTAATACTTTAAAATAAAAAATTTGTACATCCGACTTCAATATAAATTATTAAGAACAACTCAAAAACTATTGGTCAGACATTGATCAAATTTATATGGGACCCCATGAGAAGCATCAACTTTTAAATAAAAACAATCATCGAAATGGGTTCACACATTAAAAAAAAAAACAAAAAAAAACATACAGTCGAATTGAGTTCCTTCCTTCTTTTTGAAGTCGGTAGGAAAGGTCAGACGAGTAAAATAGTATTTTGAAATTGTAGTATTGGGACAAATCGAGAAATATGGCGACAAATCGAGAAATATGGCAACTCCTCGCCCGCGTTTGTACTGCAGACTTAATACCATGCAATATAGCTCTGGCGTCTACTTATTTAAATTTTATGGAGGCACTGTTTATAACGGAAGGGGTCCATGTCCTGCTGTAGACTTTAACAGGCTGAAAACAAATAAATAAATATTTATTTCGGACCTTTTCTTTTCTGCCGACTTCCAAAAAGGAGACGGTACTAATTTCGACTGTATGTTTTTTTTATGTGTGTTACCTCATAACTTTTTACTAGGTGAACCGATTTGGATGATTCTTTTTTTATTTGAAAGCTGGTACTTCTCGTGTGGTCCCGTATGAATTTGATCAAGCTCAGACCAATAGTTTTTGAGTTATTCTTAATACATAATAAAAATAATAAAATAAAAGCAAGATAATAAGTGCGCTTCCGGGTGTACTGACATTATCTTAGCGAACAGACTATACTTGGTGGCGCCTAGGCATGTAGAAGGGGAAATAGTATATTGATATATATCGAATCAATATTTTTAAACAGTATCGATATCTCCTGATAAATATAGATATATCGATATATCGGCATCATGCAAATGATTTGATACTACTGACGGTTAGACCCGAAAAAAAATAACGACAACCACACATGAATGCTCCTAGCTCCTTTTTTTGTTTCATGTTTTGCCCATTAATACAACATTTTAAAATATATTGAAATTGATACGGATTCGATACTCTAAAATAAATACCGATATATCGTGATTAAAATTATCGACGATATATATTGATATTTTTTGCCCAAGCCTAGTGGCGCCCCTGTCGTATGACGATGGTGCTGAGGGACGTACTTGGTGGCGCCCCTGGCGTCGTCACAGGCGATGACTGCGCGGGAGACCCTGGGCAGGCCCTGCACCACGACGGCGGGCAGCGCGCGCGCCAGCTGCTGCAGGCTCACGTTGAGCCAGCCGCCGCTCTTGCTCGCCTCGCCGCACACCTTGATCGCCCACTCCGACACCACTTGCACGTTGCCCGCCTTGATCTTCAACTTCGACGTGCATATTCTGGAGTGAAGGGAATTATAACAGGTTTTTTATACTTTTTAATTGAAGTAAAACTTCTTTAGGCGTGACTTGAGAGTAACTCCAGAAACAGAAACAGAAACTTTTTTATTCAATATAGATTATAAATAATACTTACTGAAAGTCACTCTTTTGTTTAATTACCACTAGTTCGGAAAAAAACCTCTGTCCTGGGAAGAACCAGCAAGAAACCCAGCGGGATTTTTTTTTAAAATAACAGCTTACAATCACGTATGTTACACAAATTAACAACATAACAAATTAGAAATAGTGTTTGCGCTAAATGTTAATTTTTAAATTTCTTTTTTGCTGTCGGGCCTCTCTCCCCCGCGCGCGTTCCCCCGCTCACGCTCGGTCACCTGATGTGGCGATTAACGGGATTGGTTTTGCCGAGGCGTCGAGCTCCACGACAGTAGCTCGACGCGCGGGCCATCGTATAGATTGTTTTGCGACCGCTGGGTTGGTTGCGTGCGGCCGGTTTAGATTTTTGACGGTAAAGAATTTGAGTAAATTGTGCGCGCCTAATTTACTATTGAATATTTGGGTCTCGTGTAGACGCCTCGAATTGATTTGTCTGAATTGTACGTTTCGTGACGGGAGGCTTGTATTGGGTTTGAATTATTAACTTAACTTTGATTGACGTTAATTTGATTCGACTAGTTGCTTTGTGACATTTAATATCGTACGAAAGAATTTGGCTTGTTCGGGGGAATGCTGAACTTTGTGACTCAAGAAGAGACCGCGATCGTTCCCGTGTTTGTAATTCTGTGCTGAGTGAACCCGGAACTTTGAATATTGAATGTCGAGTGCCACTTGTTTTAATTCCAATGAACGTTGATTTGGTTGACTCTGAAGTTAATTAAATGTACAATAAAGTTGATAAACTAATACAGTGAAGTGAAAGCAGAAGCTTTCAATTGATGATCGCCCCTCCCCCCCCTTGAGAGATCTCACTTTTGGAGAGAAGCAGCGCTTGTGGATCTGCGGTCCTTTTTATACAAACTTAGTTTAACACGTTGCCTGCCATATGGAAATCCGAATATATTTGCGTTTTTCATCAGTTGTTTAAATGACGTGAAACGACTTATTTATAAGATTTCTATACATAATATATGTTTATATACATTTTTTTGTATATTATGTGCTGTTTTAGTCCGCCGGTCATTTACACCCGGCGCGGCGCAAATGTAATTTTTTTTTCATTGGAGCCACGCCGGTCAAATCGCCGGTTATCCTTGTAAATCGCGTAAAAATTCCCGCCAAAACCATCCTGCGCCCGAGCGAGCGCGCAACTGATGAGTGACGTATAAAGAAATATTAGGATAGTGCATGCTGCGTCCCTTCCCCGCTGCCCCCGCATGACATTTCTTCCGCGTCCTGTGCGAATAATGTTTTTGTAATTGAAGGTAAACAACTCAGTGAAAAGTTTTATTTGTCATAGGTCGGAGTGCGCGCTAAATGGTCACGTAATATTCTAGTTTATTGTTATTACTTTATATCAAAGCTATAAATGAACATGTTGTTTGACGAATTGGATCTAACTTTAGATGATTTTCGTGAAATAGAACATATTGAATCCCAATTTCGTGAGACGGAGAGTCATTCAAGTGATAATGAAGAGGTTATTCGGTTTCCAAATCGCCGTGCAAGGAAGCGCTGCATAGTGCCATCTGATACTGAAGACGAAGAAGTCCTTGTACCCTCACCGTCAGAGTCTGGTTACACTCCAAATACGGAATGGCATGAACCACAAGGTAAACAACCTAAGATAATACCTTACACTGAAATTTCTGGTTTGAAGCCGATGCATTTGCGACACGCTTTAGCTGGCGGTCAACCTGGTGATTTTTATAATTTGATGGTACCAGAGGCTCTGTTAGAAGATATAGCTAGACAGACCAATATTTTTGCCACGCAAGTTTTATCTAAAAGTCGATTATCGCGGCAATCCAGGCTACACTTGTGGAAGGACACTGATAAAACAGAAATCAAGAAGTTTTTTGGTCTTATAATTTGGATGGGTTTGGTGAAATTACCAAAACTGGCACTATATTGGTCTAATAACCCAATGTATGCACAACCGTTCGCTAAAAATATTATGAGCCACAACAGGTTTGAAAGAGGATGTTGCATTTTTCTAATAACGATGAGGCTCGTGAAAATGATCGTTTATGGAAAATAAACAATCTTGTAAGTACCTTGAATGCTAATTTTGCTTACCACTATACACATAATGAATATCTTTGTGTGGATGAGAGCATGATTCCATTTCGTGGTAGAGTAATCTTTAGACAATATAATAAGCAAAAACGCCATAAATATGGTATCAAACTATTTAAATTATGTACTGTTCCCGGATACACTTGGAAAATTGAAGTTTATTCTGGAAAACAACTCGATTCTGCTTTTTCTACACCGACAAATGTGGTGCTCAGACTGTGTGAGGATTTACTAGGAAAGGGCTATTCTGTATTTGTAGACAATTGGTACACAAGTTTGGATTTGGCAGAAAAGTTAATTGACAATGAGACACATCTTATTGGTACTCTACGCAAAAACAGAAAGTACTTACCGAAATACGTGATGGAAGCCCAATTAAAGCCTGGTGAGTTTGCAGCCAAAGAAAACAGTAAGGGAATTACAGTTATGAAATGGAGGGACAAATGTGAAGTTTGTCTACTGTCAACTAAACACTCTATAGGATTTATAAAAACTAAAAATAAGAGAGGAATAGAAGTGATTAAGCCGAAGATAATTATGGATTATAATAAAGCTAAGGCAGCAGTAGACCTCTCGGATCAAATGACAGCGTATTCTTCTCCGCTTCGAAAGTCTATCAAGTGGTACAAGAAGTTGGCCTTAGAACTGCTTCTAAACACAGCTGTAGTAAATACTCGGGTTTTATATGAAGCTACAACAAAAAAGAAGATACCTATTATTGAATTTAGACGAAAACTGTCACAACAAATGATTGACTCAAACCCACGTGATGGAGCTAACATTCCATGTAGGCCAAAGAGAATAAAACATTCTCTTGTAAAAGCAGACGGAAAGACTGCGACGACAAGAAAATTTTGTGTAGGTTGTTACAAAATTAATTCACAAACGCATGGAAGAAAAATTGCCAAAAACGAAACCAAAAAGGTTACGACATTTTGTTCAGTTTGCCCAGACAAGCCATATTTGTGCAGATTGTGTTTTGATAAAAAACATTAATTTTCTGTTTTGTTTTTTAATTTTAAATTACTTTGATCTCAACACAAAATAATGTGTCTCTAAATAACACTAGTCTTTGATTTATAATAATAAAAATATTTTAAAAAGTATATTGTCTTTAATTTACATCATAATTTTGTTTGACTGGCTACAAAAACATTCCTACAACCAAAAAATTATAAAAATATTTTGAGGCCAAGTTATCTAAAGTGATCATTGGGACCGCGCCGGCCACTTCTAATGGTATTTTACGTTACACGCATGGCCGACAGCGAGCAAAAGGTGTTCAAATTCACCTTAGTTGTGCCGGTCATTTAAGCCCCCCATGGCCCCAACGCTTCTACCAAGTGCCGGTCATTTTGACCCCCCATGGCAGCCAACGTGTTAATAAAGTTTTTGAACTTTGAGCCGGTCAAATTTTGTATATTTTCTGGAATTTTGTTGTAAAAGCGTATACATCGCCCCAAGAATAAATTACTGACTCGATGAAGTCGAGTAATTGGTACTACTAGCTTGTGTCTGTTCCTAGTATTTACAGAATGAATATCACTTATTTTTGTGAAACTACTTTTGTTTTTGTGTAGTATTTAATTGTTTGACATTTGGAGTCATGAATTTCATACATACGTTTTAGTGCCATTTAAATGCAAATTATTAACATTGAACCAATTTACTAATTTAGACATAGCATTATTTACTTCGTCATATTTTAATAATTGTCGACTTAATTTGAAAATTAAAGACGCGTTTACAAAATTGATAGGTATAGAATCGAACTATTACATTGACACGGGTCACACACACAAGTGTACGCACGGTTACCTGCGGGAATCACAATCAAGTATAAACATTTCGATAATTTGAAAGATTGTTTTTTTTTTCATATTTCTTATAACTACAAAAATATACGTAGATACAAAATATAAATAGCTGCTCCAGTGACATCTAGGCACTAGAAGCCCTCTACTGAGAGTGAGATGTTGGCTGTGGACTTTGGGCTGGTTTTGTTAGTTATGATAACTTCAGCTCCGAACTTGGTGAAGTGACTTGAAGGTATACTTGGGTGACTGCTACTGGAAGTCCGGGACGAGTAGTACCATGTGTGCCGAATTTGGGCTCGTTTTGTTAGTTATGATGAGACCTTACCTCCTGACTTAATGGAGAGACCTGATGGTGTACTTCAGTGACTACTACTAGAACTCCTGGACGAGTAGAACTAGGTGTGCCGAGTTTGGGCTCGTTTCGTTAGTTATGACGAAACCTTACCTCCGGACTTGATGGAGAGACCTGATGCTGTAATTTAGTGACTACTATTGGAACTCCTGGATGAGTAGAACTAGGTGTGCCGAGTTTGAGCTCGTTTTGTTAGTTATGATGAGACCTTACCTCCGAACTTGACAGAATGACCAACCTTACCTCCGGACTTAATGGAGACACCTGATGATGTAATTTAGTGACTACTACTGGAACTCCTGGACGAGTAGAACTAGGTGTGCCGAGTTTGTTAGTTACGATGCGCAGTTGCCCTTGAATTTGGTAACACCATTTATATTTTCTCCGACGTTAGGCACGTCTCGGCACACCTAGTTCTACTCGTCTTGGAGTTACGAAGTACACCATCAAGTCTCTCATCAAGTTCGGAGGTAAGGTCTCGTCATAACTAACATAACGAGCCCAATCTCGGCACACCTAGTTCTACTCGTCCAGGAGTTCCAGTAGTAGTCACTGAAGTACACCATCAGAGCTCTCCATCAAGTGCGGAGTTAAGGACTCGTCATGACTAACGAAACGAGCCAAAACTCGGCACACCTAGTCCTACTAGTCCAGGAGTCCCAGTAGTAGTCACTGAAGTACACCATCAGGTCTCTCCATCAATTCCGGAGGTAAGGTCTCATCATAACTAACTAAACGAGCCCAAACACGGCACACCTAGTTCTACTCGTCCAGGAGTCCCAGTAGTAGTCACTGAAGTACACCATCAGGTCTCTCATCAAGTCCGGAAGTAAGATCTCGTCATAACTAACAAAACGAGCCCAAACTCGGCACACCTAGTTCTACTCGTCCAGGTTTTGCAGTAGTAGTCACCAACGTACACCATCAGGTCATTCTGTCAAGTCTGGAGGTAAGGTCTCGTCATAACTAACAAAACGAGCCCAAACTCGGCATACCTACTTCTACTCGTCCAGGAGTTCCCCTAGCAGTTACCGAAGTACACCTTCAGGTCATTCCATCAAGTCTGACGAATAGGATTTATATATTATAAATCCCACTTGCTTTTAGCGAAACAAAACATTATAATAAGAATTTGTGATTATAAAAATATATTTATATTACATATGTGTTACTATACTTTGTCAGGTCAGGTACCTATTTATCAAATTCAAATATTTTGTGTTTGTACAGCGATCTTTTTCAGCTGCTACAGGCGATACAGCAACCAACCGCGATGGCGGCCGAGCGCCGACTGTGGTTTCATCGAAATTTTTGTACAACAAATGAAAACAGGCACTAAAAATAAAATAACCCTTATTGCAATCCATTAGGATTCATCCGTATCAGCAAAATATGTCAAAAAAATCAGCATCAGTTTTTAATTTTTTTACGACCATTTGTGACATTTTGATAAAAAGTAAACACCAGCATTTTTTATTGAATATGTCTGCCTACTTACAGTATTTTTAGAAATCTTAATATATCTTGATAATAGAACAAAAAATGTACCGAAATATGAGCCGGTATCGTTAATTTTGTAGAAAATGGCTAGGGAAGATCCTTTTTACAATGTAAAAAACTATTATTTTCAACAAAAAAGTTACCACCATTTGAAGATAAAGAATCATTCTATACGTTGTAGTTAATAGTTATATTTGATTTGGTTTAGTTTTGTCACAAAATGTACCGAAAAACAGCATAATTTGGCCCCATTTGCAAACGCACCCTTAAAGAAGTGTCATCTGCAAATAATACTATATCATGGTTATCCTCTACTATGTAAGGTAAGTCATTAATGTATACAAGAAACAGAAAGGGGCTGAGAATTTAGCCTTGAGGCACACCCATTTGTACCATCGACCCGGAAGAGCTAATATTGTTAATGACAACTTTTTGCGTTCTCTTACTTAAATATGAAATAATTAATTTAAGAGCATCATTTCTTACACCGTAGTTGTTACGGCCCGCAGCTGCTCCTGCAAAGGTCGCCTTGGCTGGGGCCCATAGCAGCCTGCTCGACGGGCAGACGCGGGTCGGGCCCAAATGGTCATATGGAAGAATGTTCTATCATACTAAACGATGAAACGACGATGAACGACGAAAAAATGTATCCGAATCTAAGACCGCCCCAAGGCTCGGTCAGGCCGTAGGTGGGTGTAAGGTGCATGGAAAGTAGTGTTTAGTGATGTGTATGTGTCTGAGGCCTGGCCCAGCTGCTGCCCCACAACGCTGCATCACTCCAGCAGGATTTCCCGCTGGACCATTTCTTTCTTCATGTCACTATTTCAGTCTATTAACTTCATTGTACATTTAACTAACTTAAACTCGCCTAATTCAAAGAAATTACTTTAATCAGTCAAACACAATACAAGCCTCTTGTCAAGAACTTAGACCCTAGACAACCTAAAACGAGGCGGTTTTCACGAAACAATTACGTAGCGAAGTCACGCGCACAATTTCCAAAATTCTAGACCCTAATCCAAAAAAAAAACGGTCTCGCGAAACCTCAGCGGCGGGCATCGAAAGACACCAATTAACTGCCCAGCCGCCGTCGAGCTACTACTCGACTCGACCCAGCGGCCGGTAGCAACCGCCCACTCGTCGAACCAGTTATGAACGCGCCGCATCGAGCCGAGCGCCCTCCGGTGTCAAATATTGAAACCAGCGTTTGGGCGCGAACAGTAGTGTTGAAATTTCCTGCTTAATGTTTCATGGTGAACACAATCGAAGCAAGGTCTTCGATTGTGTTCACCTGATAGGTCACAAAATATACCCAAAGCATCCTGTGAATTCTCCCATGCATTAAAGATATATTTAATCAGCTCAACACCGGCATCAGTTGTAGAGCGACCCCTTGTGAAACCAAATTGATTTTTAAAGAAAGTTAACATTTGATCAAGAATATTTTTTTTCAAAAATCTTACAAGTGTTGGTAGTACAGAAATAGGTCTAAAATTGGCGGGGTCTAATGTACTACCAGATTTAAATAAAGGTATTACTTTACTATGCTTCATTAAATCAGGAAACACACCAGATTCGATACTAGTATTAAAAATAATAGCTAAATGAGGCGCGATTGTATCTATTATAGACGCAATAACTTTAACGGAAATCCCCCACAGATCCGCAGTTTTCTTAACATCAATAGTTTTAAAATATTTTACAATATCTTTTGATGATACTTTATGAAATGTAAAATTCTTTGTACACGCATTTATATTTTGTTTAAGTAATGATTCAGCGACGGCAGGAGAAGAATTCAGTGACTTAGTGATCAATATCGGAATATCAGTAAAATATTTCTCAAAAATTATTGCTACGTCCTAATCATCTTATTCCGGACGCAAATGACAATTCGTAAAAGATATGGTCCGTTTTCTTAGTTTCTGAATTTAAAGAAACAGCGATTAACTATAGTATTACTTCATATTTATTGCAAAAGTAAGACTGGAAATTCATATTCATTTAACTAGTAGAAAATCACTTACGAATAAACAATGGTGTGCACATTGACTTCCAAGCTGAGCAATTTGATGCGCTCCGCGTCCAGACGGATCAGTAGGAAGCATTCACTCGGGAGGTACACCTCCTCGATATACGTCGTGATCTATTAAAAAGTAGATATAGCAGTTTAGTCTCTCTTCCCTTTCAATATGGACTATATTCGATTGCACGTGACAAATATTGCAATCTGTAAGTAAGTAAAGCAGTCACTCTTAACCGGTGATCTTAAAATCACAAATTATACCTAAACGTACCCACAGTGGTCGGCGAAGACATCATAAAATTCTCTCAAATATAAAAAGTATACAACAATTTTGGAGATGATGGCCGATTTGCGAATATTACCGATACGGTTAACAATACAATGCATTGGCTTTATATTAAGTTGCGCAAAATGCTGTCACATATTCATTTTGCTGTATATGTTATGTTTATGCTTATAGAACGAACTTAAAAATCAACCTTTCCATAATTTATATTATGTCTCAAAGTTGGTGGTGGGTCTGCAAGCCAAAAATTGATCAAATGGTCCCTCATCACTAAGAGGGGTTACGAACCAATGAAGTAAAGGAACTGATCAACAACCACAAGAATCCTGTGATGGGTCTCCTGTCCCAGGATCGTCAACCAATTTTTTACATGAGGAATGCCTACACGCCTAACGAGTCCCGTCCGCGCAAAACGCGTCCCGCGGGGGCAAGGACGGGGCATATCGGACTCACACCAAATAAAACCTCATAATAATCACCTTCACCGCATATTGGCAGGGCCACAGGAATGCTTTTGCACACAACCGCGGCCTCATGGTGGCCCCTTGACATGACCCATTTACAATAAACATCAAATATAAAACATTTCGTGAAGAGTTCCTACCATGAAGGAAATACAAAGAAGAGACGGCGTAAGCAACTGTGCACTGTGATTCTAAGTAGGTCCTGACGTCATCATAGTGGGCGTGGGTTTAGTTAGTATACTATCAGCATTCGTCCTGTGCGCTGTGTGTTGAAAATCACAAATCGCTGTATTTTTGTAGTATTAAGAAGAAAAGGATGAAGTGTTGTGTTTTATCGTTCAAAAACTACTCAGATAGACGCTCTGATGCTATGCACGCATTTCATTTGTGAGTAATTTTACACCTAATTTATTAAAATAGATCTAGAAAAATCTCTTTGCGTCGACTTTCAAATATAACTAAATATATTCGACACTAGATGGCGACACTTAGTGTCATGTGAACTAAAAATATAAAGGTACGTAGAGCTCAGTATTTTTTGAAATAATATGATAAATTATTTCAAAAAATATGTGAATAAACGAAAAGGGAACCACAGCCACCCATTACCATCATGTGGACTGTCTGCTCATTTGTCGCAAAAACATGGTCAAGTTTATTTTCCGATGAAAATTTTGTCACATTCTATTACACATAGTTAACACACATATAAACTTACTTCACCAAGTGTTGTCTTCTCCACGCGTCCCTTAACTCGCCTTGCGAACTCCTGATCATACGGTTGCATCAGTTCGGCAGTGATAATGGGCGTGGAAATATTCTTTGACGCGTTGATAATCTCCTTGACTCTAGGTACTCCCTGGGTGATGTTCATTGACGCTACGCCAGCGAAATGGAAAGTCTTTAAGGTCATCTGGGTGCCGGGCTCTCCGATACTCTGTATAGGAGAAATTCATTGATATTAAATGACGAAGTTAAAATACATTAATTTCGAACACTAAGTATTAGAGTAAAGATACTTAATATTGGCCTTAATTTATTAAATTTACTGAAAATGTGCTAGAAAAGCTAATGCTCCAAATTTAAAAATAATAATTTTCTGTATAATGTTTTATTTTAACAAATAAACCTCCATACTTAGTTTGAAACAAATCTTAGGGGGTCGATTAGTCTGTGCTGCATTGCATCGCACAACACTGTGCTGCAGTGCATCGCAATACACTGTGCTGCAGTGTATTGCACTACACTGTGCTGCAGTGCATCGCACTACACTGTGCTGCAGTGCATCGCACTACACTGTGCTGCAGTGCATCGCACTACACTGTGCTGCAGTGTATCACTTGCCTGTGCGGCCAGCGCGCCCACGGCGGTACCGGGCTCGATGACGCCACGCTGGTACTTGTCGTGGCAGACGCGCACGTCGCACTACACTGTGCTGCAGTGCGTCGCAATACACTATGCTGCAGTGCATCGCACTACACTGTGCTGCAGTGCATCGCACTACACTGTGCTGCAGTGCATCGCACTACACTGTGCTGCAGTGCATCGCACTACACTGTGCTGCAGTGCATCGCACTACACTGTGCTGCAGTGCATCGCACTACACTGTGCTGCAGTGTATCACTTGCCTGTGCGGCCAGCGCGCCCACGGCGGTGCCGGGCTCGATGACGCCGCGCTGGTACTTGTCGTGGCAGACGCGCACGTCGCACTACACTGTGCTGCAGTGTAGTGCAGTGCGATACACTGTGCTGCAGTGCATCGCACTACACTGTGCTGCAGTGTATCACTTGCCTGTGCGGCCAGCGCACCCACGGCGGTGCCGGGCTCGATGAAGCCGCGCTGGTACTTGTCGTGGCAGACGCGCACGTCGCACTACACTGTGCTGCAGTGCATCGCACTACACTGTGCTGCAGTGTATCACTTGCCTGTGCGGCCAGCGCGCCCACGGCGGTGCCGGGCTCGATGACGCCGCGCTGGTACTTGTCGTGGCAGACGCGCACGTCGCACTACACTGTGCTGCAGTGCATCGCACTACACTGTGCTGCAGTGTATCACTTGCCTGTGCGGCCAGCGCGCCCACGGCGGTGCCGGGCTCGATGACGCCGCGCTGGTACTTGTCGTGGCAGACGCGCACGTCGCACTACACTGTGCTGCAGTGCATCGCACTACACTGTGCTGCAGTGTATCACTTGCCTGTGCGGCCAGCGCGCCCACGGCGGTGCCGGGCTCGATGACGCCGCGCTGGTACTTGTCGTGGCAGACGCGCACGAAGCGCACGAGCTGCGGCAGCGTCAGCCTCTCCAGCTGCAGCGCCACGGGGCCGCACTGCTGGAACTTGCTGCGGAGTCTGCGCACCTTGTCTGCTACCGTCTTCAGAAACGACCTGCGTTCACGAGAAACCATCAAACGATCAGGCGCGTTCTTAAAAAGACTTTTAACTAGTGTTTGATTAAAAAATCTAACATATAATTAAGACAACAGAACGATCCTAAATATGATAGGTATGACCATTAAGCAAATACAAAGAGGAGGTGTTGTAATTAGATTTCACTATGTAACAACGCGTGACAATTTGCGGGGTGAGGGGATGTTAAGCCCCGCCCACTCTACACTATCTACATCTACCGATAAATAGTAAAACTACTCGAATCGTTCTATATCGATGTTGCAATGTCGTTTAGCTACCTTGACGATAGATGGCGGTCTGTTCACAAAATGGTTATAAACTATAAAAATAATATTTTGGCGATTAAAATTTCTTTATATCTGAATGCAAAACAAATGTCAGCATCTTCGTATAATTATTTTACCAATACTGAGCCCTACGTACCTTTATATTTTTAGTTCACATGACCAAAGTGTCGCCGTCTAGTGTCGAATATATTTAATTATATTTGAAAGCCGACGCAGAGATTTTCTAGAACTATATTTATAAATTACGTGTAAAAAAATCCATAGCATCAGAGCGTCTACCTGAGTAGTTTTTACACGATAAAACACAACACTTCATCCTTTTCTTCTTAAAACTACGAAAATACACCGATTTGCGATTTTCAACACATAAGCGCACGGGAAGAATGCTGACAGTATACTATAACTAAAGCCACGCCCACTATGATGTCGTCAGGACCTACTTAGAATCACAGTGCACAGTTGCTTATGCCGTCTCCTATTTGTATTTGCTTCATGGGTATGACGTAAAGTGTAGATGCGTGTGTGTACGTGTAAAGTACATGGGCGTGCGTATGCGTCCATAAGCAAACTTTGTGATATTTATTTATCTTGGGAATAATATAATTTATGGAATATCTTCTCCGAACGGCCCAAAGTGCGGCAGTTTGAACTTTTTATAAGCAAAGATCCAAAAATACAGCGGTTAGGAATCATAGCTTTTTATTTTTAGTTATTATTACGAAGACGCTGTTACTCATTTCCTAATTTGTTTCCCTCTGTCATCTCTCACTTTACCCGCGGGACGATAACGGGTAGTGAATATTTTTACACCGCCACTACACGGTCAGCAATTGTTGTGAATATGTAATTTTTATCAATATTTATCATTAATACTTTATAATAAAGTGATAAACAAGCTTACAGTCCACCTGAAGATAAGTGCTAATCATGAACATAAAAAGCCTACTGATGCCTACACTACCTGTATTATCATCTACGCTAGAACACAATACAACACCAATACACAGTAATTAAATAGTAACAACTGAAAAAAAAAGGAGTCTAACAATCTTATCAACGTGTTCTATAATGAACTTTATAATAACGTTGTACTACTCTTAGAAGTTAAAATCTGCAATATATACTATCTGCTGCTTTGACACGAATTACACTAACTAATCATTAAACTTACAATAATTCTTTTTTGAACTCGTCTGGGCATGTTTTGAAGTCATCTAACGCGAGGGTCTCTTCTGCCGCCAGTACAATCCCGTCCCCGTCAAGTGGCTCCTCGTCCCTGTAGTAAGATTTCAGAATTATAATATTATGAATAATGACTCTTGACATGCTTCCTGGTTAAACACGTGGTAGTGCCACGCTGCAGCTTTTGTTATGGTTGCAGCACAAATTGTTCGGCTCGACCGGTTACTGACCACGCTCTCACATAAAACCGCCGTAAAATAGTGTTTCGTATGGTAAGTGTAAACAACCGGAGACAATTATGACTCGACGAAACGAGGCATTTCATCGTAGTACTCAGGGGTGACAACGCGTGTGTTTTGACTCTTAATCGAAGATAGATACAGATGTCTATGGGACACAGCATCCAATTACTATCAGGTGGACTGTGTACTCGTTTGTCCTTCTTTATAAAAAAAAAGAAAAACACCGTCTTACATAGCGATTCTTTGAATCGACGACCTAAGACTACTATGTAGAAAGCGTGGTGTGTTTCTCCAGTACTGCGTAGAGAGTGTGCTGTATGTCTCCAGAGCGAATCTTTGAATCAGGACGACCTAACAGTACTTGTAAAGAGTGTGGTGTTCGTCTCCAGAGAGAGTCATGGAATCAGAACGACCTAACAGTACTGTGTGCAGAGTGTGGTGTGTGTCACCAGAGTGAGTCTTGGAATCAGAACAACCTTAGCGTACTACATGAAGAGTGTGGTATATGTCTCCAGAGCGAGTCTTGGCATCAGAACGACCTAACAATACTGTGTGGAGGGAGAGTGTGGTGTGTGTCTCCAGAGAGAGTCATGGAATCAGGAAGACCTTAGAGTACTGTTTGTAGAGTGTGGTGTGTGATCTCACCGAGCATGGCACTGTGCGCGTACATCTGCCAGGACTCGTGCCAGGTCTACCGGACGGTCCTTGCCCTCCATGTAGCTGGGATCTAGGCCGTCGCTACCGTAGCGGAACTGCACCACCTCACCCGTTGCATTACGCACCGTCATGTCGTACTGCAGCACCAGGTCTTCCAGCGACTGGCCCACGGACAAGAAATAGTATATGTTATGTGTGATTGAAATAATAATATAAATAATATGTTTATAATAAAGAATTTAAATAATGACACATGTAGTAAATGCCATAGCGGTCCAGAAACGTTTCAGCATTTCACAGGCGCGTTCAAGTCAATAACTCAAACAGACAACAAACATAGACACGATCAAGTTAGCCAATATTATACACCAAAAATTAGCACACCACCAATACAAACTTATATATTCCGTTACACCATACTACAAATACAATCCAGAAACTGTATTAGAGGACCCCTCAACAAAACTATATTTTGACCGCGCTATTCTTACCGATCGGACAATCCATTTCAAAAGACCAGATATTACAGTTATAAACAAGATAAACCAAACTGGATATTTAATACATATTGATATACCAAACATGCTGACATTGCAAACTTGCAGACAACAATAGCAGAAAAACTGAGCAAATACACTGAATTAAAAGATGAAGCAGCCCGAATCTGGCATCTGTAAAACTATGTCTACAACAGGAATAATACCAAAACAATTTCACCAGTCCCATAATTCCATCGACTTATCTCCAAATACCTATCATTTGCTGCAGAAGGCCACGATACTAAACACATGCAGACTCGTTAGAAAGTTTCTGCAATGTGAACCAGAAAACCCAGATCAAAACACAAATACGCTACCATTTTCTGTGCAATATTCTACGTATATGTGACCGTATTTAATCCAACTGGATCGGAAACCGTCTTGTTGCCAGAAACCGTGCTCGAAAATAACGCGCTAGGCTCTGCTGGGACCGGACCATCATCACAGACAGGATTATTCTCGCATATAAGCTTGATATTGTGCAGATGGACCAGGCACAGTCAAGAATATTTTTGGTCGACATTACTATCCTGTGTGACAAGAACCTCGTGAACACTATTAAGAAAATTCTTTTATTAAGAAAATTTAGTATTCTTTCTTTAGAATCAAAAAGAATACTCTTGGATCAAACTTTGCTTTACAATATCTGTCATAACAAATTTGACTGTAATGAACTCACCAATCAAATATACATTCGTATACCCAGTCGCTCGAAGCGTATACGTGAGCTTCAATCACATCAAATTTTCTTTCCTAAACCAAGTAAAACAAATGCCGGTGCTCGTGCATCTTGAAATCGTATAATGGAACAATACAACAAGAAATTTAATGAAATGGATATTTTTGGATTAACTTCTTCCAAATTTAAAAAAGCTGTGTATGAGGGAGGTTCTATCTTTTTTTTTATAGTATAAGGGTGACAAACGAGCACACAGTCCACCTGATGGTAAGTGGTTACTGTGGCCCATAGACATCTACATCTACCTTCGATTACGAATCAAAATGCAGACGCGTTGTCACCCGTGAGGACCAAGATGGAATACCTCTTTTCCAGTAAAAAGGGTCTCCGGTTCTCAACCCTCACCATACGAAACACAGCAGCGTTAAGCTGTTATTTTACGTTGGTATTCTATGAGAGCGTGGTCCTTCCCCGGTCGAGCCGACCCATTCGTGCTACAACTATACTACTAATAGCAGCAGCATGGCTTTACCACGTATAATCTACTTGTATCAGATGCAATTTAATGTAATTGTTTATTTATGTTTAATTTAATTATTTACATTTATGTATTAACTATGTATGTGTATATGCGTGCGCATGTACATTCATATATATATATATATATATATATATATATATATATATATATCAGTTTGTTTTTCTCTGTATCTACTAGTGAACGGGTCGTTTTAATAAAACATTAAAAATTTAATTTTAATTGTTTAGTACACTGACCCAATAGTAATATGTGGATAACGGTGTTGATTGTATGATTATTAAGCTTAAATATAGTATTGTGTTTAATAATGTGATTATATTTTACGATTGTTTGTTATTCCAAATAAAGAGAAAAAAAAACACCGAGACAGATGAGCGAAGAAAACATCTGGACGTGGATCACGATGTGACCAACGTGTGGGTGGTACGCCCGCCGAAATTATTCGTGTAGTCGTCTCTGCGAACGGGCTAATCCCGGTCAACCTCTCGGGTCATCTGTGGTGACTGGGTCTCCATGATGGACAGCTCCGGGCTCAAATACAGAAGGCGGTGCTCCTCGATACCGCCCGCATCATGCGTCGTTTTCTTTCCCTTTCCCCCTAAACCTCTGGCTTTCACCGTGTCTCTATCTGGTTGGGTTTTTATTTATATATGTTATGTTATTTATTTTGCAATATTTAAAATATATTTATTAAATATAATATATATAATTTTCTTTTATATATTTATGCAACCCAACCAGGTGAGTGAGACAAAAAAATAAACTAGTAGTAAGACCGGCACGTACTATTCCACTGGTGTTGCAGGCCTCCTCTCCTACAAAAAAATCTATGAAAAGACCTAGTTTCAGCACTGGACTTTTAGTACTTTGTAATGTGATAAACCCTCATTATCCCCTATCCATTACCTTAACTAGTCTCCGTTGCAAATATCCCGTCTCTGCAGTTTTGACCGCGGTGTCGACGAGCCCCTCGCGGCCGCCCATAGTGTGAAAGAAGAACTCAGTAGGAGTCAGCCCCGAGTAAAAACTGTTTTCCACGAACCCACGTGCAGCCGGGATTTTGGCTGCGGAAACATTGATCGTGGTTACTACAAGTAATCTATCCAAAATATAGAGAAAGAGTGACAAACGAGCTCACAGTCCACCTGATGGTAAGTGACCCATAGACATCTACATCTATCCTCGACCAAGATTTAATTTTTCGTTGTCACCCCTGGGGACCAAGTTGGAATGCCTCGTTTCCAGTAAAAAGGGTCTTCGGATCTTTACACTCACCATAAGAAACACAGCAACATTAAGCTGCTATTTTACGCTGGTATTATGATAGCGTGGACCTTCCCGGTGGAACCGACCCATTCGTGCTACAACCATAAAATAGCTGCATCATGGATCTAACACATAAAAACATCGTAAGAAAATCCACCACTCTTTCCTTTCAAAAAAATACACCACTCTTTATCCCAAGTGTGGTCAGATTCGAGTAACCAATGAAGTAATTCCCACGGTAGTCGGAAGGATTATTTCATGTATCCATCAATCCGTTACAGCCTATAACAGTACACTGCCGAACATAGGCCTTTTCATTTCGTTGTCGTTTCGGTGGAGTTCAGTCAAATACACACGGACAGAAGAATTATATAATATAACATATACCTGCATTATAAACCGTTCTCTTGAATCTTTCTGTCTATTGATGAAAACCGCATCACAATCAGTTGCGTAGTTTAAAATATCTAAGCGTACAGACGGCAGGAAGCGACCTTGTTTTATACTATGTAAGAGATAAGAGATAACTTACAATGTCTCTCAAAATGTGGCAGCGATCTGTCTTCAAAGCCGTTGGGCACTCGTTTCCCGTTCAACGCCTGCTGGCCCACACACGCGATCATCTGCGAGATGTTGATGTTCGAACCTGGAACAAACACAATAATCATTTCGGTGTTTTAAACGTTTTCGTGATGTACGGGCTACTGCATAATAGTTAATAAAACATGCATTACTCATTAATTTGGGTTACTTAGAAATAATATTCTTTGTTAATTACGCCCAATTGTATGACTTCCGTACTTCTGCTTATATATCGGTTCCGTACTTCTGCTTATAGGGCGGTTCCACCGGGAAGGACCACGCTCTCACAGAATACCAGCGTAAAATAGCAGCTTAACACTGGTGTGTTTCGTATGGTGAGTGTAGAGAACCGGAGACCCTTTTTACTAGAAAAGAGGCATTCGATATTAGTCCTCACGGGTGACAACGCGTCTGAATTTTGATTCTTTATTGAAGATAGATGTGGATGTCTATGGGTCACAGCAACCACTTACCATCAGGTGGACTGTGTGCTCGTTTGTCACCCTATCCTATATAAAAAAATAAGATTTTTATAGCAATCATAATATAATTATATGAAGTATATTCCTTTACAATAAAATCAGTGTTAGAACGACTTTCATTGGGTTTTTTTCGTACATTAACTTTCCCTTACATCTAGTTTTGCACTCATCTTGTAAACTGTAGACACACTACACGTAATAATTGAGACATTGTGTTATACGTTATAACGTTATAGCCTATTAAAAGTCCACCGCTGAACACAGGCCTTCTCCTTAGGATGGGGAAATTTTGCCACATTTGTCACGCTTGGCAGGCGCATTATTATTGTTTTCAGTTGTTTTCGGGAAGATGCTCCGCCCCTCTCCTGTTTCTGTTTTCTATTGTCGCCTCTTACGACACCCACGTGACGATATCGGGTAGCGGATATTCTTACACCGTCACTACACGGTAATTTTGTCATATATCTTCCTTTCTTTCTATATAGAAACTGTGGCGAGAAAATTAGTAGCTAGAACGGACCATAAGATCACGCCACCACTACGTCATACATCGCGTGATGTCCTACGTCGCCGATTAGTAAAGCCCGCTCATTAGGGCGCATGCGTTCCTACCTATTGTTCTCATCGATGGCGCCGTGGGCGGAGTATCAATGGCCGTCTGCACAGGTATTGTGTTGTTTGATAGTACGACCAATCAGAGCATAATTTAAGACAAAACAACATAATGTAAATTTAATTATTATTATTACTTATTTTATAAAGTGTTTTTGGATTCAATAAATACACTGTCTAACTTGTACTTGCGTGTTACTAAATATACTTATTAGTGGTCTGCAGTATTTTAATTCCAGGATCCAACGACTTATACTCCTACTCCTACGCTCCCTATAAAACGATTTGAATTACGTCATTTGGTTATTCATCTATAGGCGGCTCTTCACCTTGGCCAACATATACCAATACATACCAATGTTTGCTTAAATTGGTATGTATTGGAATGATGGCTCAAAAGTTGGCTCGAGATCCGTGTGATGTTGGTTTTTTACAAAAGATCAAAGGTTTATGGCCGCCGCGTCCACACGCTGGGCGCACGCTTAGCTTGCTACGAGATTCCAGAGTGATTGCACGCACCTGATTTAAATTTTATATTCGCGCATCGTAAGTAGTGTCTACAAAATGGCAGTAACAATGAGCAATGAAGAAACTTTTCGCTTTATTGAGCTCAACCAAGCCGAAAATTGTTTATGGAACCAAATAAATAAAATTACGTTTTTTTTTCCACTTCCTTTCAATCACCCATTTCTTATACACATTCACGTAGTAGCGGTATGCTGTGAATAAATAAACCGCAGCAGGCGTTAGCGGCTCAATATAGATTTTAATAAATTTGTCCGCACATTGGTCTGAACCGAAGCAAACTGAACGACCTTCCAACGTATGGACGCCATCACAAACTCTTGGCTAACATCTTAGCCACAACATTCGCCATAATGTTGGGCCAACGTAAAGAGCTGTCATAACTACAAAAAACGGATGAAATGGTGGCGGCGTAAGATAACCTTTTTTTTATAGAATAAGAGGACAAACGAGCACACAGTCCACCTGATGGTAAGTGGTTTCTGTGGCCCATAGACATCTACATTGATCCTCGTTTGCGATTCAAAATGCAGATGCGTTGTCACCAGTGAGGACTAAGATGGAATGCTTTTTTTCCAGTAAAAAGGGTCTCCGGTTCTCTACACTCACCACTCACCATACGAAACACAGCAGCATTAAGCTGCTATTTTACGCTATTACTATTCTGTGAGAGCTTGGTCCTTCCCCGGTCGAGCCGACCCATTCGTGCTACAACAATACTATTAATATAGCTGCAGCATTGCCCTACCACGTAGTTACTACTGCCCCATTTCTTTTTGCGGGTGTAAAGACGAATATGAGAGATTCCTGAAATACTACGCATCTATACTGTTTACCACCCAGACTATATGCGACAGAGACAAAAGGTACTTACGTTTTCAAAAATGGGTTGAACGATTGAATAACTTAAATTAAAAATTAAAAAAAAAACGAAAAAAGAGCCGATGATCTTCAAACAGCTGAACAGATTTTCTTGAAATACAGCTAAGAACACCCTCGATTAAGACACCTTTCAAACGAAAGAAACTGAATCAAAATCGGTTCATGTGTTCAGGGGCTATGATGTCACAGACAGACACAGAGATACTACAAATATATTACACGCCTCTGTTTTCGTCGGATTATTTAAAACTAGCTGTTCCTCGCGACTTCGCCCGCGTGTTATTTAGGGTTTTAATTATGTTGCGCGGAACCCTAATTCTTATTTCTAAAATATAAGTAGCCTAAGTTACTCCTTATAACATCAGCTACCTGCTAGTGAAATTGGTCCAGCCGTTTCGGAGATTAGCCGGAACAAACAGACAAACTGACAAAAATTTTAAAAATTGTGTTGTTGTTATAAGTACCGTATATAGTTTCATATACATACATATATAATCACGCCTCTTTCCCGTAGGGGTAGGCAGAGACTACTTCTTTCCACTTGTTACGATCCTTACATGCTTGTTTCGCTTCGTCCACTTTCATTATTCCCTTCATACATGCTCTTCGGTTTAGGGTACTCTTGACCTGGCCTTTTTTCAAGACGTCCCTGATTTGGTCTAGAAACGTCCGCCTAGGTCTACACCTTCCAACACTTTAATTCACACTCGCCTTATACACTTTTTTCGTCAATCGTTCTTCGTTCATTCTCTCGACATGGCCAAACCATCTCAGCATACCTTTCTCCATTTTAGTCACTACATCTTCTTTCCGACCACAACGTTTTCTTATCCTGTCACTCAGTTTAACTCCTATCATACTCATCTCAACTGCATTTATTCTGCTTTCATGTTTCTTCTGCCATACCCAACTTTCACTTCCATACATGAGTGTCAAAATCAACACCCCCTCATGCACAGCCAAACGAGCCTTGTTAGACACCTCCCGACTGCTCATAAAGGAGTGCAAAGCTCCATTCACCATGTTCCTGCATTCACTCTTCTTTCGATATCACTCTCACACTTTCCATCTCTCGTAAACTTTGAACCCAAATATACAAACTCCTTCAAACTCCTTATTTTGACATTATTTTGATGTTATTTTGACATTATAAACAGACACTTCAATTTTATTTATTTCGAATTATTTAAAATTTAATGGAAAACACTTTAAAAAACAGCAAATATTATATTATATTAGCTTACATATAAACTGTTTTATTTATGATTTACGTAAAACTTTCAGTGTAGCCAACGTAAATAACGAAATATTCATTAATGTTGATAATACCTTTTGAGCCACTTTGCGCCATTATAAGCGGTGCGTTGGTCGGATGCAGCTCTCGAAAGCAAGCCTTCGCAGCCAGCTCTCTGTAAGAAGTCAGCGTAACATATACTTATATACAATCTGTTTAGGAGTCGGTCTTCGTGGCCGACCGTAGTTACTGGTAACTTACGAAGATGACGAGAGGGCCAGTATCTTAATCTTCATGGATAACAATGCATCTGTAGATTATAAAGCTGTGTATCGATTATGCGCTCCAAGAGGTCGAACACTGGCGCGCGCTCTAGCTGCGCGAAATGGATACCGCCTTGGAGCGCGCGCCTAATTGTTCTTTGGAACGCTCGAACGTGGAGCGGGCCGCTCCATCTGGTGTCGGTTTTGTTACCGCGTATCAAAGTAGTTTAAGTATTGGCGTGCGCGCTAGTTTGGGCGACTGTTTACATTATTCGCGTGTTCGTTGCGTTTCGAGCTATGGATAACCAAAGATACCGTAAATTAATACAATTATATCTGCTGTGGAATAGCAAAAGTAGTTTTTATCATAATAGAGCGCTCAGAGAAGATGCATGGAACTATGAAAGTGGCAGCTGCTCGTACACGACCGACATCCATGTTGAACGGCCATACACTGGAACGGCTGCCGCGCGCGCCAGGAGCGCTGAGTTGATACACTTGGAACGTTTGGACGGTCATTTATGGCGCGCGCGCCAGGGGCGTGTAATCGATACGCGGCTTAAGGTTACTAGCATCCATACAACTGCTTACCATCATCATAACTACAGCCCATCACAAGCCCGCTAAAAAAAGAGGATACCTGCCGAATTATTTTCGCTGCTTCTTCTCTGGACAGACTACCCTCATTCGGAAACGGTAGTGGATCAAAAACATGGCAACGTTACAAGTAATTTTTATTACGTACTAGCGCGATGCTTTCCGGCTTCGCACGGTAGATTTCTGGGTCCAGTTGTGAATGTAAACTATTCTCTAATCAACTTAATCACACACACAAAATTTCATCAAAATCGGTCCAGCCGTTTAGGGAGTTTAGTCACATACACACGGACAGAAGAATTATATAATATATAGGTAATATGCATATATTATACATATAAACATTTCTCTTGAATCATTCTCTCTATTGATGGCAACCGCATCAAAATCCGTTGCGTAGTTTAACAGCATACAGACGGCGGGAATCGAAAATCGCTTCCGTCGCCGTCTATACCCTTAGTTTTATACTATGTAAAAACATGCATTTATTTATTTATTTATTTATTAGGATTACCAACAGAAATTACAACAGTAATACAAAGATTATTTTCTTAAAAAATTCAACACATTACAATTGTATTTCTTTTTATGGGTAATCACAACATGCATTGATTATTTTGTAAGGAATAAAAACTGAATTACATCATTGAATAAATACAAATTATGAAAAATAAATAGAATTATTTGACAATATTATAAATATCTTCATTGTCATATTATATTATATTAATCAAACTATTAAAATCAAAAACAATTCCAATGTTATAATTAATAATTCGTTAATTCGTTAATTCATAGAAATTGATTAATTTTGGTTTGAAGGTGGATAAACTATCGCAATTAATTTCGAGGCCAGAAATCTTCGAGGACAGTTCGTTGTAAGTGCGAGCCAGTCTGGCTAGAGGGGAATACTTTCCCAAGGTAGACCTATAAAGGGATACATTGAAAAAGGCGTGCGGATTTCTAGGCATTCTTGATGGCACCTTAAAGTTAAATAATTGAACTATTGCTGGACAATCAATACTATTATTGAGCGTTTTATATAGGAACATCATGTCTGAGATACTTCTACGCGATTGTAGTGATGTGATGTTAAATTGTGCCAACTGTCTTTCGTAGGAATCATTAGTTTGATAGCTATTCGAACGGTACGCAAGATGGCGCAGCAGTCGCTTTTGTATTCTTTCGATTCTAATGCTATGGATTTTGTAGTGCGGATTCCAAATTTGACTGCAGTATTCTAGTTTACTTCTAACCAGAGTACTGTAAAGTTTGTAGCTGTACTGTAAAGTAGCTGAGGTGATTAACAAACGCGAAATATCGAAATACAATGAATGCAAAGACAAACAAATAGAAAAATACCAAAAATTAACTATCAAATCAAATGCCAAACATCCATGTCAACGTAGAAACGAAACGCAACAACCGTTGACCACAGACGCAAACAATAAACAACGCACGGTCTATAATTTGTCAAAAGAAACACTGGACGAACCAACAATAAGAGTATTGTCGAAAGGCTTAAATTTTGCTATAACGCCGCAAAAAACCCCGTACGAAGAAATTATCTGTAGTGTTGAGGATTGTCTGTTTAAGAATAATATCGGTAAAGAGGATTTAGAGGCTATACGTCAAGACATTTCGTCCTTGTTACGTCGAAGTTCAGCGCCGAAACTAAATCTTCCCAAAGACGAATTTAAAGCGTTGTACAACTTACGCAACAGACCAGAGCTCACTATTCTCCGCGCGGATAAAGGAAATGCTACGGTAATAATGGACACGTCAGAGTATAATTTCAAAATACAACAACTTTTATCGGACGTAAGTACATACAAAAAGGTCAAAATAGACCCTACAACTAATACACTCAAAACAACTACTGATTTAATAAAGAAATACTCCGAAAAATTAGATCTTGACGTGAATTCGACAATACCATCATGTGCCAAACCACCGAGGTTGTATGGGTTACCGAAAATACACAAACCAAACGCTCCACTACGTCCTATAGTAAGCCAGATCGATTCACCAACTAATAAGTTGGCTCAACACTTGGCAAAAATACTGTCACCACTAAGAGGACATACCAGAGCACACACAAAGGATTCATACCATTTTGTTAGTGAGATTAAAGACCTACATCTCGCTGACAATGAAACTATGGTCAGTTTTGATGTTCAGTCACTATTCACATGCCTACCTATTGAAGACTGCATCTCAATTGTTACTAGAAAGCTAGAAGATAACAACATGCCTACAGAATATGCAGTATTACTCAAACACTGCCTCACATCTGGCTATTTATTGTGGAAAGAAGAGTTCTACATGCAAGTAGACGGAGTGGCAATGGGCTCACCTGTATCTCCCGTAGTCGCCGACATATTCATGGAGGACTTTGAGGAGAAAGCCCTTCTTACTTTTCCTGTAAATCCAAGATTCTACAAGCGGTACGTAGACGATACTTTCACAATTTTACCATCTGACAAAGTAACTGCATTTTTAAACCACCTTAATTCCATAAACCCTAAAATACAATTCACAATGGAGTTAGAGGCAAACAATACTTTAGCTTTTCTAGATGTTTTAGTCATCCGAAATCCTGATAACACTATTGGTCATACTGTGTACAGAAAAAATACCCATACCAACCGATATTTAAATGGTGAATCTCACCATCATCCTTCACAGTTAGCTACCGTGGGAAAATCTTTGTTTCAGAGAGCACGAGGGATCTGTGACAGAAAACATCTGGCCGCCGAGCTTCAGCACGTCGAGCAAGTACTGCAAGACAACAAGCTTCGGGTCCCGCGCCTACGTCACAGTGACCGAGTGAAGCCAGCCACAGTCGAGCGTGTGCCTGCTGTACTACCCTATGTCAGAGGAGTCACAGACAAGGTTGGCTACATCTTGAAGCGAGCTTCCATTAAAACGTACTTCAAGCCGCTGAAGAAGATTAGTCAATTTTTACCATCCGTCAAGTGTCAAATCCCTCTACAAGATGCAGGAGTGTACAAGCTGGATTGTGAATGTGGTCTCTCGTACATAGGACAAACAAAAAGATCTATTAAAACCCGCGTTAAAGAACATATAGCTGACGTGAAGCACCGACGTATTGGGAAGTCTGCAGTTTGTGAACATGTTCAAGATCGTCCCCGCCATTACATTAGATTTGATAGACCACAAATCCTCGTAAAAGAACACCGATTCCTCCCAAGGATGATTCGCGAGGCTATTGAAATTAAAAAACATCCTAATTTCAATAGAGAAGATGGATGGGTGCTGCCATCTGCTTGGGATCCCATAATTAATAAAATCAAATCCAAACCCAAGTATACCACTGCTAGACTTCAAGATACTGTAAGCTCATTCTGCGTAAATCGAACCAAAAATTAATATTAAAAAACTGAAGGTAGCCGGGCTAACTATGACAGCAGGACGTCAAACAACTCAGTCCCCCGTGACCACGGGTGCTGGAAAGCACCTTAAACGTCGGGAATATATAAAAATAAGTTAATATACGCGATAAAATCCGTAAAATTAGTTTTATTTAAAAATGAGGTGATTATGTTATCGATATGGTTTGTAAATTTTAATTCGCTATCTAGTATAACGCCTAAATCACGTATCGCTCGAACTGCAATTAGTTTCTCAGTATCAATATAGTATTGACTCTGTATATAATTATGTTTTCTGGTAAACCTAATAAGTTGACATTTTTTGGCATTGAGAAACATTTGGTTGTTATTACACCATTAAATAAGGCTGTTGAGATCATCTTGTAGTAATTCGACGTCAGAGTTGCTTCTAATAGTTTTAACTATTTTGAGATCATCACCAAATAGGTAGACTTTAGAGTGTTGAAATATCGAAACAATGTCGTTTATAAAGATGTTAAAAAATACTGGACCTAAGTTCGAGCCTTGCGGTACACCGGAGTATGCAATATATGGCTGCGAGGAGTACCCATCAATCACCACGGTCGAAGATCTACTTTGAATGTATGATGCACACCAGTTTAATAATGTCCCATTAATACCAAAAGCTCTTAGTTTATTGACAAGTAGTGCGAGATTTACTTTGTCAAAGGCCTTGGAAAGTCTGTGTATATAGCATTCACTTGTAGTTTATTATCAACGTTCTCAATTAAATCGGTGACATGTAAGAACAGATTTGTGACAGTAGATCTACCAGACAAAAAACCATGTTGCTGCCAGTTTATACGTCGTCCTAGATTCTTGAAAAATGATTCATAGACTAAGATCTCAAAGACCTTTGACATTGTAGATAATATGGATATAGGTCTATAATTAGTAACACTCGTAGGATTTTGACTTTTAAAAATTGGTACAATCCGCGCTTCTTTCCACTTGTCGGGGAAAATGCCAGAACTCAAGGAAGTATTGAATATAATAGTTAACGGAGCAGCCAAAGAATTTGCACACCTATATATAAATATAGGCGGAATACCGTCTGGACCAGCACTTTTTGATGTATCTAACTTTTTCAGCCTTTTCTCAATTTCTCGTTCAGATACGTAAATATTACCTATATGTTTTTTTGTTTTGGAGGCTGATTGTGTGTCAAAATTTTTATTAATATCATCCTTAATAAAAACCGATGAGAAATGACTAGCAAACATATCACATATTTCTTGCCTACTATTTGCATCACAATCATTCAGAGACATTTTATTAGGATAATTTGAGCCTTTACGACGCATGTTCTTCATATGTGTCCAAAAATACCTCGTATTATTGCTAATAGCTTCCTCGATGTGTTCAATATAATTATAATAACATTGTTTTATTAGTTTATCGCAATCCTTCCTTAGGTAAGAGAATTCAATTTTATCTAATGGATTATTAAACAGTTTAATTTTATTATGACATTTGTGTTTCCGTTTGATGAGTTTAATTAGAGCGGGTGTGAACCAGATAGGATAAGATTTTGAAGATTTGTACGATTTGGGGACGAATCTGTCTAGTGCTACTTGCAGGATTTCGTAGGATTTCGATATCATTTCATTAACATTATTTAGTACGCCTAAATTTTGTAGCCAATCAACATTGTTTAAGAATGCTATAATGGAATCAAAATCTGCTCTTTCGAAATTGTGGAAAGATTTATTCTTAGTTGCGGGGAAATTAATTGATAAGTTGATTTTAAGGAAAAATTCTAATGGTGGATGTAAAATGTCTACGTTGCGTATAGGATACTGACTTTCGACCACATTGATGTTTACATTAGACAAAACTAGATCTACTATCTTTCCGCTTGCGTTTTTGTTAGTGTTATATTGATTCAGATCGTGCAAAGTGAAAAAATCTATTAAGCTACTTTTAAAAAGACAGTTAGAGTAGTTACTTGGGTATGCGTACTGACCGTTAATGACGGGTTGAAGTGCCCACGTGATAGAACTCATATTGAAGTCACCAAGCAGCAAAATTGAGTAGTTAGCCGTGCCTAAATTATTATTATTAATGGTATCCGTAGTATTATTAATAAATGTTTTAATGTGTTACGATCAACTGGTGGAGGGATATATACTGCGCACACATGTAGCCATTCCTTTAGATTACTTGTGTTAAGTTCAATTGTGACCCATAAGTCTTCACCGAGACTTTCCCATCTAATTTGCCTGCGCTAGCTTAATCCGTCCTTTTTTACTGCTATCAAAACTCCGCCACCAATTTTCTTATGACAAGAAAGAGGAGATGTATCGCCATCTCGTCTATATATGTGGTATCTATCGTCGAAGATCTCAGCATCATACACACTATCGCTGAGCCAAGTCTCAGTTAAAACAACTATATCATAGTTTGAATTAAGAACTTGGTTATTTACATCTGTTAAGTTAGAGCGAACTCCTCGGACATTTTGATAATAACATTTTAATGAATCGAATTTAAAAATAAAATTAGTATACCAACACATGTAAGATTATTATCAGTAAGCTACGATAAATTTAGAAGAGATTGAGAATTTTTAATAAGCTTTTCCTCATAAAACGCGACCATTCTTAATCCAGACGAATTCGTATTTAAGTTCCTTAGCTTTGATACGTGCTTCTGCATGCAATGCCTTTGTGGCTGGTGATAGGTGTTCAGCAACATATATAGGACATTTCTTAGCTCCAATTCCTAAGTGGCTGGTATTAAATTTGTCCTCGTTGCATTTTGCTTGTTCATTAAAAGCTATTGTTGCTGCAAGAAAAGTATCTCGGATCCTTGGGCTACTGAATTTGACTATTACGGAGCGTGGTCGAGGGCTCTCCTTGTTAAGCTTCATTATTCGGCTACAGCTCTGTATGTCAGTGTCAGATAAGTTACATTTAATTGTTGCAGCCAATTGTTTTACTGTCGACACAATATTTTCGGATCGATGTTCGGGAATGCATTGAATTTCTAGGTTACTGGCTCTAGATTGGTTTTCAAGTAATGTAAGTCTAGCTTTTAGGTCATCAATTGTGGTCTGTAAAGTTTTATTATCATGTTGTAGTGACTTAATCACTTCGTTTTTAACTGATAGGTCCTTTTTAATACTTTCGTATTGTTATTCGAGAAAATTGATTGAAGCCAGGACTTCATTAGTTTTTGAGGTAAATTCATCTAATATACTTCTCTTAAATACATCTAGCAGCGATTTCATTTCTTCTCTGACTATGGATCGAACGTCATCAAGATCTAGTCCAGCCGTAGTAGGTCCTATTATTTTTCGTTCGTTGTTCTTTACGCGACGAGTGACGTTGAAACTTTGATTAGCGTGTTCCTCTAAAGCCATGTAAGTTAGTGAGCTTCTAATTGTCGTGTTCTCGCTCTTTGGTCTGGTGCAGATCGGACATAGCCAATTACTCTTATAATTCTCAGTTAATTCATTGTAACATGTTTTAGATGTCGAAATACATCGATTTTTGCATGTGCTACACGACATTATTTCTGTAGAGTTTGGGAATCTATGACAACATTCAAACTTACTTTTGGAAGACACGACTAGCTAGTAAATATTTTGCTTAATCCTAAATTTCAATTTAAATTAAAAATTTTGTAGAAAAAAACTATTTTTTCTTTCCGTCCTTTGGATTTGATCTCGGGTCCTGCAGCTCGTAGACCAAGCGCTCGACGCAATACGCCAATTTGTACAACACAATTTTGGTTTAATAGAGATAATATATAAATTATATTTATATGATATTATTATAATAAATAGTTATTTTATGTACATAAAATAACTATTTATTACTTTTTTTTATTTTATTTATCGACCGACTTCAAACAGGATATGAGAGGTTTACAATTCGTCGGAATTTTTTTTATGTATTTTCACCGATTAATCGAAGACGCCTGAATCCATTTGTGAAATTTTTTTTCGTTTCAAAGGGTATACTTCCCATGTGGTCCCGATTTTTAAAAAATCGACAGTAAATTATATTTATACTAGCTGGCCAGGCAGACATTGTTCTGCCCTTTCCGACGACCCTTCCTGTGCAAAAATCCTTAAATTCACAATAAACAAATATTGAAGGTCACTTATCAGGATAAAAAGTATCCTATCTCTCAAGTTGGACCAAACTGCACACAGCGTTCAAAATTTCATTGAAATCAGTTCAGTAGTTTAGGAGTTCATCGCGGACAAACAATGTGACACGTAATTTTTATATATAAATTTAAAAAAAAATAATTTTACATACACAATAGGCCTCTCCCATAGATTGCCACAAAGTACGGTCCTGAGCCACCTGCATCCATTGACTCCCTACGTCTCATGCCAGGTCATCACTTCATTTATATGCGAAGCCGTCCTACACTTCGTTTATCGGCACGAGGCCACCACTCGATAATCTTTCTTTCCCGTCGGTTATCGGTTAGTCGAGCTACTTCAGCCTAGCACGTTTGTTACTATAATATTATTAAAAATATAACTACTTTATGTGTGATAATTTCACATTGTGATATCTACTAATGATAGTCCGAGTGTGCCCCCCTCCCCCGGAGGGTGAGGCGTTGGGAGTAACGCGGTAAAAACAGGGTATCCTAGTACAGGTTCCGCTCTCTCACAATGGCCAGTCATTAGTAAAGTAACTTAAAAAAGTATTTATAAAAATACATATTTTGCGTAATTTTATTCATATTTTTTTATTTGTATAGTCTGATAGTACAAATAATTAAATGTTACCTGATACTGCTCAATTCGCTGAGCATCATTGCTTCAAGGGTCTCCTCCATGGTGCATCCGGGCTGACATTGCAACGTGCCTTTCTCCATCTCCAGGATGTAGCCGTCACACTTCGAATACCTTAAAATAGTCAGTTAAATTTATATACAAACACTCACGCCTGTCACCCAGAGGGGTAGGCAGAGACTACGGACTTCCATTTGGCGCGATCGTGACACACCTCTCTCGTCTCCTTTACATATATTTACGTATACACGCTCGTCGGTTAAGGGTACTACTAATCTGGCCCATTTTCAATGTATCGCCGATTTGGTCGATAAATCTTAGTCTAGGGCGTCCCTTCCCGACTTTACCGTTCACTTCTGAAACATAAATTTGCTTTGTCACTCTTTCCTCGTTCATTCTTTCTACGTGACCAAACCATCGAAGCATTCCTTTTTTAATCCTAGTCACAACGTCATCTTGTAAACCAGACTTTTCTCTTATGACACTATTTCTCACCTGTCATTCAGATTCAGCCCTAGCATACTCCTTAATGATAGCATTTCTACAGCATTTATTCTACTCTCATGCTTCTTCTGCCATACCCAACTTTCACTACCATACATTAAAGTAGGGACTAACACAGCATTATGAATTGCCATACGTGCCTTCTTTGACACATTCTGACTCTTCATAAAAGCGTGTAGAGCCCTATTAACTCTTTCTTGACTTATCAGTCAAAAGTTGTTTTGACCAAAAATGTTAGTCATTTAAATTCAAATTATATTATCAATTATTCAAATTATATCAATTTGGTCAAAATCACTATTACCCAATATTTTTGCAGTTAAAAGTGGTTTTGACCAACATCCTTAGTCAAAACTACTTTTGACTGCAAAAATCAGTTAAAAGAGGTATTGACAAATGTTCTTAGTTAAAACTAAAAAATGATTTTTTTGACCAGGTATGAGTTTTGACTGTAACATATACAAGTGATAATTTGAGTAATCTTTAGTTAAAAACGAAAACAAATCTTAGATTATTTAATATTTGCTTTTATGTTCATTTGTATAGGGAACCGGATCGCTTTTAATGGTTTTTTCAAAACGATTTTTTTATATGTGGTGGAGTCATGCGGCAGCTTTATTATGCTTATAGCACCAATAGGTCGGCTCGAGCAATGAAGGACCACGCTCTCACAGGATACTAACGTAGCAACTTAATGTTGCTGTGTTTCGTATGGTGAATTTAGAGAACCAGAGACTCTTTTTAGGGTTCCGTTCCCAGAGAGAAACCAACGGGACCCTATTACTAAGCCTGTCCATCCGACTGTCTGTCAGCGGGTTGTATCTCATGATCCGTAATAAGTAGACAGTTGAAATTTTCACATTATGTATATTTCTGTTGCCGCTATAACAACAAATAATAAAAATAAAAATAAATAAAAATTTAAATGGACCTCCCCCACTAGAAACGTGTTTTACGATGGTACGGGACCCTTTATGTGCGAGTCGGACTCGCACTTGGCCGGTTTTTACTGGATACGAGGCATTCTATCTTAGGCCTCAGATGTGACAACGCAACTGCATTTTGGTTCTTAAACGAGGATAAATGTAAATGTCTTTCGTCCACAGCGTCTACTTACCTTCAGGTGGACAATGTGCTCGTTTGTCACCTTCAACTTTTAAATACCATTAATATTATTAATGACACAATGAATAACTGAATCTCAGATATTTATTATAAAATGCAATACTCACCCAGACTCCAGTAATTTATTCTTTGCTTCGATAAGCTTTTTGCCCGGCGTCACGTCGATTATGCCAAAGCTGAATCCCCTATTCATCATGTAGTAAGAAGCCATACGCGCTAGTCTGTAAATAAATCATAAATTACAAATTAACCCAAAGCCAAACTAACCGACCGGGGAAGGACCACGCTCTCACCGAATACCAGCGTCAAATAGCAGCTTAACACTGTTGTTTTTCGTATGGTGACTGTACCGGAGACCGTTTTTACTGGAAAGAGGCATTCCATCTTGGTCCTCACGGGTGACAACGCATCTGCATTTTGATTCTTTATTGAGGATAGATGTGGATGTCTATGGGTCACAGCAGCCACTAACCATCAGGTGGACTGTGTGCTCGTTTGTCACCTTATCTTATAAAAAAAAACCTCCTCCCACAACGTTAACATAGATAAGGAACTCAGTCATAAGGACTAATGTAGTACGTAGTAAAACCCCCCAAGGGATGCCACAAAACACGCTTCCGAGCTTACCGGCACCCATCCAATTCCTGACTTATGAAATGAAATTTTTGAATTGAGAAACCACTCGAGAACATTTTTTCACCATCGTTTGTCGATTCTTTAAACTATACGAGGGCGGCACTGAAAATTTCGGGAATCAAGGAAGTGACACAACATTACTATTTAAAAATGTATTTATTGCTTTTCGAAATATTCTCCGCGAAATTTGACACATTTTTCCATACGATGGAACCAATCATTGAAGCAACCATTCCATTCGGAAGTTGGGGTCTCCAAAATGGCCGTTTTGTAGGCGTCCACAGCTTCTTCAGGTGATGAAAATCTCTGTCCACGCAATTTATTCTTTATTTTAGGGAAAGTATAGAAATCATTAGGGCTTAGATCGGGGCTGTACGGCGGATGGTCTAATAATTCTATGTTTTCTTGCTCTAAAAACTCTTTTGTTCTGTGTGCGGTGTGAGAACTCGCATTGTCGTGATGAAGGATGATGCGGCGGTTGCAGTTCTCTTTACTGAGTTCAGAAACGACCTGTGGCAAACAAATGCTAGCACACCATTCTGCATTAACCGTTCTTTGTCCCGCCAGAGAAATAGTCGTAACACGGCCGGTTTTGGAGACAAACGTGGCCACCATTTTTTTTGCAACACTCCGTGAACGAACAATTTTTGTTGGCTTTAACTCATTTTCGAACACCCAAACTCGTGACTGGTTTTTTTGTTTCGGGTTCGTACGCGTATATCCAGGATTCGTCACCTGATACGATGTTGTATACAGCATTTGAGGATCCTGCGTGGAATCTTTAGAGAGTTCTGACGCACCAAGTAACGCGAGCCGCTTTTTGCTCTTCAAAGAGCGAGTGCGGTATCCATCGGGAAACCAACTTTTTTACACCTAATTGTTCATGCAAGATTATTTGTATTTGACTCATGCCAATGTCTAAAGTTGCCTGAATTTCGCGGTATGTCACATGTCCTCAATCAGCTTACGCACAGCATCAACGTTTTCTTGGGTGACTGCAGTTTTTGGACGACCATGACGGGGATCATCACTGATCTTGACACGTCCACGTTGAAATTCAGCAAACCAGCGATAAATTGTGGTTTTGGATGGAGCTTCATCACCAAATGCAGAAATCATCCGGTCAACACACTGTTTTTGTGTTAAACCACTTCGAAAGTCATAATAAATCATCGCTCTTGAATTTTCTCGAGTGAATTCCATTTTCTCAACGACTAAACAAGTTTGACAAAACCTTGTGACAAGACCGAGAATCTTTTTTTTAAATAAATAAATGGTATTCGATTTTTAAAACCAAGGAGTTTTCAATTAAAAAGATTTTAATATGACAGGAACAGTGGAAATATTCCATTCCCGATACTTTTAGTGCAGCCTATGTATGGCCGGTACATTGCCACTTCGGTTTACTGATCCTTTTTGCTATGTCGGTCACTCTGGTTCTTGACTGGCTCGTTCGTCTAGTGGTTATGAACACGATTGCTGACCATGAGGTCCCCCCGGGTTCGAATCCCAGTGAAGAATTACTTATTGTTTTTTTTAATTTATTATAAGCCAGTGCTTGACCACAATCCCACCTGGTTGGAAGTGGTGATGCAGCCTTAGATGGTAAAATAAGCCTATTCACTCTCGCCTTTTTATATGTGGTAGAGCCATGCTGCAGCTATATTAGTAGTAAAGTTGTAGCACGAATGGGTTGGCTCCACCGGGGAAGGACCACGCTCTCACAGAATACCAGCGTAAAATAGCAGCTAAACACTGCTGCGTTTCGTATGGTAAGTGTAGAGAACCGGAGACCCATTTTACTGGAAAATAGGCATTCCATCTTAGTCCTCACTGGTGACGACGCATCTGCATTTTAATTATTTATTGAGGATAGTCGTGGATGTCCATGGGTCACAGCAACCACTTATCATCAGGTCCACCTGTGGACTGGACTGTGTGCTCGTTTGTCAACCTATCCTATAAAAAATAATAAGAAGCCCAGATAATTCTCAAGAAATTCTCGGTAGCAGCCTCGAAGTCAGGAAGTTGGTGGTGTTTCAACCCCGTGCCTCGGAAATCATGTGAAACGTTGGTCCTGTGCCTGATCTCCGGTCGTGTCGGTTTACCGCCCCATCGGACTATGAGAGTGAGGGAATAGAGTGTGCACCTGTGCTTGCGCATACACTCCGGCACTATAATCCTGTCCCGCGTAGATGGTTAATCTCCGTTGATGCTGGCCGCCGTGACCGAAATTGGGTTTGGAGGACATTATTATTATTACTCTGGTTCTATTACAGATATCTTTATTACGGATTCTCACGCAGTACTCCGAATATAGCCCTGTCCATGGGAAACCATATAGTACCGTCTTTGTATTTGTCATGCTTGAGTGAAGTACCAGTCTACATTAGTCTCACGGGTGGAAACAGACCGTTCATTTGTAGTGTAGTATAGCCCCCACGACTATATATATTAGTGTTAAGGTAGAATAAAAACAGTATAATTAAAGTCATAGAAGCAGCAACACGCCTCTCTATTTCATTGACATATATCCTATATCACACATTTCTAACTGGATTATAGAACAAGTGTCCGCGATGCTGCTCTTTTAAAAACTGGCACAGAACATGTAGCCAATTGCGATTAACATTTTCAATTGCCGGCGAAAATTCAAAGCAACTTTATAAGTCTGGCGATACACCCCGACTTCGCACGGGTGATTTTTGGATCGCGACAACAGCGCCACCTACCGGATCCAATTGTGAATATAAACCATGCTCGAATCGACTTAATCGCCCACACAAAATATTCATCAAAATCGGTCCAGCCGTTTAGTAATCGAGTCACATACACACTGACAGAATAATTATATATATATATATATATATATACATCCGCTCGATAAAATAAAATGATGTGTCTTACCTAGTTTGAAGAGCACCTCCCGCCCTCCCACAATTGCGTGCACTATCACCGTCATAACTAATCCCAGCACCACTACACTAGGAAAGACAAACCACTGACGATAATACGACACGTGTTTCGCCTCTACACGAGGCATCTTCAGGTGATGTAGACTCTGCGGTAGCTGACCGCTAAGATATTTGTATTTTATGTGCGGTTGAGAGTGAAATACAGCTTGCTTAATATATAAGCTTAAGAATTTGATTAATTACGGTCGTTTTTCAATCACTAGGTGACCACTAGTTTTTATCACCTCACCTCCACATGCCCCTGACCGCGTACTCCTCCCCCCAGTCTCGCAGCAGGATGTAGAAGATACTGCTCTTGGTCCCCGAACCCAGAGTGCTCTTGTCCATCGAGCCGCACAGCAGTTCCGAGTTCCTTATTATTACATCTGTTGACAACACATTTTCATGTATTTGCACAAAGCTTTATTTTTTTTAAATTCTGGAGTCTTCCTTATTAATCGTTCGAAAATATTTTAATTGAATTTTATACAAGCAAACAGAATTGCCTACCCATTAGTTTACGTGTTTACCAAAAATCTAGGGTTACTGATGGATGACGCAGTTCGCTTTGAGACACGTGTGCTCGAGAACTCGAGATCGCACGTAACTGCTTACGTACAGACTAAAAGTATATATATTTTATTATATTTGGAGTTATTGTGTTACCTTTTAATATCATTTAGAGTAAGAAGGTAGTTACTCCAAATTATATTAAAATGTAACACAATAACTTCTATATACAAAGTATGTTCGTGTTGCGGAGAAAAGCGGGGCGAAGTTATTTATAATAGTGGTACGAGCTAGGGGTTCGAGAAAATTAAAAACTGCCGATTGAATTACCAAAATTGACACTTTAATTACGGAACACTAATTACAACTTAAAACCACACTAATAATAAAACACAATTGTACTACTGATAACTTTAGTTCGCAGTTATTTCGCTTCAAACTATTCGCTTATATCGCCAATTCAATACTGACTCGGTCGTGGTCTATAACGGCCTTATATAGGGCCTCAGATAGTTTCCCGAACCTTATACTGTAGCGACATCTAGAATGTTTGAGTACATATCGGTCCCGAAATTTCTAGAAGGATCTTGACTCTCCTAGTTCCGCTACTCGACAATATAGGGCGCTAGTGGTAACTAGTGTTGCCATGTACAAGACATTAATAGTGGCGCGCAATAATAGTAAAATTTATTATATAACTTTAATTAAAAAGGGAATATTTGATATTAATTTAACATCAAAGTTGTAGTACCAATATTTACCTACTATTTTGACGTGAAACGTCTTCAAAATTACACCGAAACGTACGGGTAGTAGGTCAAAAAAGTGAACCGTAACGAAAAGGTTTATATCGCCTTGCCTTAAATAATACAAATTACTAACTTTAAGAGACGTACTACGTGTGTTTTGGCCAAGGTGTAAGGGCATTTTACATTTATAATAATATTAAACAAGTCTAATAATTAACAGTTCCTAAAATTGTATAAGTACAAACAACATAACATAACATAAAGGAAAAAATATATAAATAAACAGACTTGAGATATAAAATTTAAAAATTGCGAGTAGTGAGGTAAGATTTTCATATCTACACACCGTACAAGAGGGCCTTAATTAGTCCAATGAAATGGGCATCCACGACTTTTTCCGCCACCAGGGCGGCGCTACTTTGGAATGGGTAGAAATATTTGACAGATTTCATAGAGGGGGAAGTTAATTTATTATAAAAGTATAGAGCTTACATAGTGTTTCTTTTTAAGATATACGTTATGTTCTATATCAATTACATTAGAAATGGATAAACCAAACTACGCATATACCTAAAAGTAAAAGAATTAAAAAAGTAAAAAAAAAAATATTACAGCACTGAGGCATTGTTTTTGGGTATAAACAAACATACAAAAGAAACTGAAATACTTATAACTTTTCACTAATGATGACACTGAGTGATCATTTGCGTAACTAGTAAGTTCACCTTAGTCCCAACTAGCGACATATGTAGAACGTAAATTTATCAGCCCTCATTAACGACAAACAAAGAGAACAAAGTTGCGTGGTAATGGGACCTAGAAATAAATATATATCCAATTAACACTTACAAGAGTCCTGCACGCACATGTCCTGGTTGCCCGTGTAATTCTTGCCTTTCACTTCTAAGTTGGCTTTGACCTCGCAACGTTTGTTCGGTTTCATTATTAAACTGAAAAAAAATATATAAACACAATGAAGAAGACCAACAAATAGAACTTTGTTACTTTAAAGAAATCATATATGCATGCAATATACAAGAATTAGGCGTTCATTCACTGACAGCTTACCAAAAGTACACTGCTGAAGATAGGCCTCCCACATAAATTGTCGCATAGGGGAGAGTATATTTGCCATAGTTGTCACGCTTGGCAAGCGAGTTGGTAACCACAGTTTATTTTAGTCGTTATTAAGAAGACGCTGCTGCCCATCTTCTAATTAATTTTCCTCTGTCGCCTCTTACAACGCCCACGGGATGATATGGAGTAGTGGATATTCTTACACCGCCACTGCACGTTAAAAAAAGAAACCATTATGTAAACAAGTAACTCACCTAAAAATCTGCTTCCCCGTCCACAGCATCCTCGGCTTAAGGATGGCGGGCTCGGGCATGTCGATCCTCATGGTGCTGTCGGGCCCGGCCAGCAGGCAGCCGGCCAGCTGCTGCGCCTCGGCCCGCGTGAAGAAGGTGTCTCGCTGCGTGATGAGGTACCCGCCCGTTATGAAGTCCTGCGTGGCGGCGATCAGCAGCTCGCCGTTCCGCGGTGTCACCAGGTTCGATTTGTTCTAATGGTAAAGGGTTTTGTAAATTATGCTTTTAAATTTGACAAAAAATTACTTTGCGTACATCCGCTAGATAAAATAAAATGATGTGTCTTACCTAGTTTGAAGAGCACCTCCCGCCCTCCCTCAATTGTGTGCACTATCCCCGTCTCTACTAATCCCAGCACCACTACTCCCAGCACCACTACACTAGGAAAGACACACCACTGACGAAAATACGACACGTGTTTCGCCTCTACACGAGGCATTTTCAGGTGATATGCTGGTGATAAGACTCTACAGTGGCTAACCGCTAAGTGAGCGGCGAGCCAAAACAACTGCCTTTTATACAGACCGCTGACGCAACCTCTCCCTGCTTAAGGAGCGAGCGACTGTGTCATGCGATAAAACATGCGACCAATCACTGCCGGACTTACGCAGCCGTTTGTAAAATTAAAAACAAACCGCCGCGCAACGCCCGCCTACTCTCCAACCACGCAACCAATCGCCGATCACCGTGAGGGACAAACGATCATATTGCGAGGTTGCCTGCTATTAGAGAGCAGACTTAAAGATATTTAGGAGAGGTGAGTTAGAAACGTTTGTTCATTCAGCAGTGCAACGTTACTGTTATTACTTTTTAATATCTCTAACTGTTCCAGCACACACAGTCGCAGCCCTTTATTACACGTATGACTTTAAAGGAGTGGTCGTTGGCTAGGTTGTGTCCAGTGTCCAAAAGATGTTTAGCAAAATGGAATTTATCGGGATTGCAATTCCTGTACGCGGCTAAATGCTCTTTATAACGTGTTTCGAAGTTGCGACCAGTCTGACCTACGAAAACGGCGTGGCATTCGTTACAAACAAGTTTGTAAACACCTGACTTTTGACGAATATCCAACTTATCTTTATTATTACAGATATTTCTAAGAGAATTGTTTGTTTTGAACGCCACATAAACGCCGTTTTGTCGAAGAGTCTTAGCTACTTTTTCAGATATGGAGCCTAAGTAGGTCAAACTGCTCACATATCGATGAACACTTTGAGGTTGAACCGCGTACAGAGTTGCGAACAATATGCTTTTGTTTCTTTTTAATTAAATTGTTAATGAGATTTTTTGAAAAACCGTTAGAGACCGCTATTTGATAAATTATATTAAGTTCTTTTAAATAATTTTCTTTGCTTAATGAGACAGTGAACAAACGGTTAATGTAACAATAAAAAGCGGCTACTTTATGTTGTCACGGATGACACGATGACGCGGGGATGACCGTGTCGGTGTGAGTTGGCTTTCGATAAATTTGGAAAACATGTGACGATTCTTTTCTTGTTATTGTTAAGTCGAGAAAATTAAGGGATTATGAATTATGCTTTTGTTTTCAGATCATTGGGCATAAGTTACCAACATTAATTAATTATTAGGTTAGTACACTGTAAGTATAATTTGAATATATATAATAATTACTATTGTTGAAAATAGTTTGTACAACCATTCCTATGTATCCTGGGGATTCTTGCTGGTTCAAAAAATATAGGTGATAATAAAAAACGAATTTCAATAAAAATTGCATGTAATATAATATATTGAATTAAAAAAAAAATACTCTATTCAATTCCGTCTCGAAACTGACCGACTTTCCGTTTTAAAGGTTATTCATACATTATAGCCTACAAAAGTGAACATAGGCCACTCTCATAGATTTCTTCATTTTTGCCATAGTTGCCACGCTTGGCAGGCGAGTTGTCAAGCACAGTGTTATATAATTTTGAGTTCGCTGCCCTCTTGTTTCAGTTTCCCCCTGTCGCCTCTTACGACACCCACGGAACGATATGGGGTAGTGGATATTCTTACACTACTACTACGCGGTAAAAATAGCTTTCTATTATTTATTGATGTAGGTGTGGGGGTAAATGATAAAAGTTAAAAGATTAAACCGAGACTGACCAACTGAGCTAATTTTAATTAAAACAAACAGCTTTGCATAATAATACACATACCCCCATAAGTATGAGCGCCTCTGCTCGGGCCTCCTCAGTCTGCGGTAGATGCATGTTCATTTCATCGCCGTCGAAATCTGCGTTGTATGGTGTACACACGCACTCGTTGAACCTAAAATATGGTACTTAGTCATGTTATGGATAACTTAGTGAACTATGTTTGAGACTAATGACGTGATATTTGAGAATATAATTGGAAGTCGTTAAATTAGCAAGCGAGAAGCATGTATTCTAGTTGCACAACAAACTCACACAATTACGACCACAGGTGCAGCATTATATAAATCTTATGACCTAAATATTGTCTTATCTTTGCCTATTATATCTTGTCGTTTGCAATATATGTTAAGTAATAACCTTTGACCACGGTCATGTATATATGAGAGAACTGTGGACCAAACGCACTCCCTAGTGGGACACCGCAAATGAGTGACACCTTAAGCAAGATACATATTCCATTCACGTTTTTGTATATTTAATTTTCAAGTGCAATTTACATCCTCACAGTAAATAAATTAAATTTTATATCCTGTTACTCCATTAAATACAAGCCTTTTAATAATATTTAATTATTTACATAGTCGAAAACTTTGGACATAACCATATTAGTAGTTCCAAATTGCTCATACATTTGGTATCCGTATTTTCCTTCGTATATTAAAATATTATTACATGTCATATTATTATTTTGTACATTAGTGCAGCTAACTTAAAAAAGTCAAAATCCGAAAATCTCTAAAAATAATTATCGATATTTATATAATGTTTTTAGTATAAATTATTATTTGTGCATTTCAATTAGGTTATATAATAAATTACACTTGACAATTGGTTGAATACACAACGAAAACATTTATCTAAAACATGTTTAGATATGCCAAAAAGTACGGCCCTGGTGAGCCAATGAGGGCTTATAATTAGCCGCTCACCAGATGTCGTTCGTTAGTCCCAACTAGCGACATCTGGTGAACGGCAGATTAGAAAAGCTGGCAGAGGTGAAGTTTTCTTGACTTCCTGCATCTCTTAACAGGTTGTCAAACATCATTATATCATCTATATCATCATAGCTATATATCATCTCAGCTAATGATTGGCAATTAGTTTATTTGTTATAGTATTACCTTAAATATTTTCATTAGGTTATGCAGTAAACTAATATATTTTACATTTAAGGATATCTTAAAGAGTTAGATAAAAAAAACTATATTTTTTTACATATCTTGTTGTAAAAAGACTGTGCAAAATACAAGATGTGCATAAAATGAAACCATAAAGTGTCACCCAACCACAGCCTAAGAAGAACATACAGCCAGTCAACGCGTTTGATGTTGTCGGAAAAACCGACATAAACAATAAATTGCTAGGGTTGTCACAACGGGAAGTAATAAAAACAATGCAAAACTGATTTTATTTCACGTTCAAACAAATTCCTGTGTATGTGAAAACTGATCAAACTTTAATTTCTTATCTTTAAAACAGTACAACCCACAGTTTTACCGCACATGTAATGTGAAGTGGCGGGTAAGAATACCCTGTGTAGTGGCGGGTAAGAATACCCACTACCCCATAACCTTCCGTGGGTGTCGTAAAAGACGACAGAGAGAAACTGAGGGAGAAGGTAGGCTGCAGCATCTTTCTGAACACAACAAAAGGCAATAAAAAAACTGCGGTTGCCAACTCGCTCGCCAAGCGTGGCCATAAGCAATGACACTAATAAACGACCCCCAGTGCCCGGCGGCCCCGCTATTCCTGGCTACGGTGGCGAACATGGTAACGGAAGAACAGGGGGTGCTAAGAATCTCCGGTGGAGATTCCGTTGTCACCTACGACGACTCAACCTGGCAACTCATAACCCAATACCCTGAGGACCCACGAGAAGATCCTGGAGTTGGAAGAAGAGATAGACATGTTGCGCTGGAATATTATAGGATTATCCGAGATCCGAAGAGAGGGCATCTCGAAACCGGCAACTTGTTCTATCACCGGGAGAACGACCATCTGTCCCAAGCAGGTGTCGAATTTATCGTCCACAAGTTTCTCGATAACAACGTTATAAAGATTGGGAGTGTGCCGACGAGGGTTGCGTACCTTATACTGAGAATCACCAAACGGTATTCGCTGAAGGTCATACACTAATGGTTTACGCAATAACATAAAGGTTTATGCACTAACTTTGGCACATCCCGATGAGGAGGAGGTGGAGTAAATGTATGAGGATATCTCTAGAGCCTTCCTTCAAAACCCACTATAAGGTGTTAATGAGAGAATGGTTAGAACACACTGAACCGAAACGTTACGTTGGAGAGGTGTGACCCTCATGCCCTAACCCAAAGTCCCGAAACCTTGCAACTCGAGTTACAAAATCGTTTTCAGTGCCTAAAAGATTGCAATGCAGTGGACGATATAAATAACAAGTTCGTGGAAACTGTCCATGCTGTCGGAGCTAAGTTTTGCAAGACCCGCCGCAGAAAAATACAAAACTCTCCTATCACACTCTTAATCTCATGGCTGTTAGACGGCAAATGAAGCTGCAGTCTTCATTTGTGATAATTGTGTCATTAATGATCCAAGAGCAAGTCTTAGCCGACACTATTCCGATGATATCCCGGACGTCAGTCTGAGCGAAATTAGAATGGCTCTCCAGCACCTTAAAAACGACAAGCCCCGGGCGAGTATGGAATTATAGCAGACCTTGTGAAAGCGGGTGGAAAACCGATACTTAAAGTCCTTCAGAAGCTCTTTAAGTCCGTCCTCCATGGTGGCACTACTCCGGAGGCGTGGAGCAGAAGTGCGGTGGTCTTGTTCTTCAAGAAAGGCGACAACGCTCTCTTGAAGAACTAACAGATCGATTTCCCTTCTGAGTCGCGTCTACGTGCTGTTTTCGAGAGTCATTACGAATCGTCTCGCACGCAGACTTAACGACTTCCAGCCTCCCGAACAAGCCCGTTTCCGAAAAGGCTTTAGTACCATAGACCACATGCATACCCTGCGGCAGATTGTACAGAAGACAGAGGAGTATAATCTGTCACTTTGCTTTGCATATGTGGACTATGAGAAAGCCTTTGATTCCGTCGAAATTTGGGCGTAGCTGCAGTCCCTTCAGCGGTGCCGAGGTGACTGTCGGTATATCAAAGTGTTGAAGTATTTGTACAGTAGAGTTACGATGGCTATCCGAGTACAGAACCAGAGTACGAAACCTATCCAACTGCAGAGAGGCGTAAGACAAGGTGACGTAATATCCTCGAAACTCTTTACCGCTGCATTGAAATACGTTTTCAAGCTATACTGGACTGGAAAGGATACGGTATTAATGTCAATGGCGAGTACATCACTCACCTTCGATTTGCCGACGATATAGTCCTTGTGGCAGAATCGCTGGAGGACCTAAACACTATGCTCAATGACCTCAATAGTGTCTCCCAACATATAGGTCTGAAGATGAACATGGACAAAACAAAAATCATGTTTAACGTCCATGTCACACCTAGTTGTTAGGAGCTGTAAGCTCAAAGTTGTTGACCATTATGTTTACCTGGGACAAATAGTCCGACTAGGTAAGTCCCAGTTTGACCGAGAGGTCAATCGACGGATTCAACTCAGCTGGGCAGCGTTTGGGAGATTACGATACATCTTCTCGTCAGGCATACCTCGAAACCTAAAAACTAAATTGTACAACCAGTACGTGTTGCCAGTGATGACCTATGGATCTGAGACGTGGTCCTTCACTGCTAGCCGTATGAGGAAGCTCAAAGTCGCTCAGCGAGCTATGGAGAGGGCTATGCTCGGCGTTTCTCTGCGTGATAGATTTAAAAACGAGGATATCCGCAGTAGAACCAGAGTAACCGACATAGCCCAAAGAATTAGTATGCTGAAGTGGCAATAAGCCGGCCATATAGATCGAAAAAGCGAAAACGATGGGGAGGAAAGGTTCTCGAATGGCAGCCTCGTACCGGCAGGCGAAGTGTAGGGCGTCCCCCACTAGATGGAGTGACAACCTGGTAAGACATACAGGAAGTCAGTGGATGCAGGTGGCTCGGGACCGTGCTTTGTGGCATTTGTCGGGGTAGACCTATGTTCAGCAGTGAACTTGTGAAAGGCTGTATGGTGATGTCGATGTGAACTATTTTGATTAATTTTCGTGATAGGACAGCCCTACCGGACAGTTCTAAGACTAAGGGCCGCTCGGGAACTGTCCGTCCGGTGGTCAGCCCGCACCACACAACACGATTGCCCGGTCTAGACGTCTTCGATGATCGACTGTTAGTAATAGTTAGACTGTGACCCAACTATAGCAACCAATACATCATAATATGTAGTTGCTAATTGACATGTTAGGAAATAAGAAGGAAGTACCCTCACCTGAATGTCCTCTGCGGCTGTACGCGAGCTCGGTGACACATGATGGACAGCTTGTGTAGCGATGGCTGCCGATTGAACAGCACCACGTCGCCGTCCACTAGGTGCCGCTCCACTATGTCACCGCACTGTCACAAAATGTTGTTAGGTCAGTATAGTAAAGTTACAGTCTATACCCACTTCTAGACACAGGCTGCCTAATAGTATAAAATGTTACTTTACCACTATGGATACTTCTTGTCCGAAATAAATACCTTATTATTTTTATTAGAAGGTTATGGAACGATAGCTCGCCGCGCTGCTTGAATTCGTAATAGTTCACTTCACGTTTCTTCGAAATACTGTTATCTCTCAGACATGTGGTATGATGTTGGTCGCCGAATAATTTGAAATTCATCATTATCATCATCATCATTACAGCCCTTCACAAGTCCACTGCTGAACATAGGTCTCCCTCAACGAATACCACAAAGCATGGTCCTGAGCCACTGATTTATATATATATATATGTATAAAATAATACGGTAAATTATTGCAAACGTTGCCGTTTCAATTTCTATGACTTTACTAGCCAAAAACTCAAACGCCACTCAATTTTAAGATGCCATTAAGTCTCGTAGTGTCACTGTCACTTTGACTTAAAATGATAGAGACAGCACGAGACTTAACGGCATCTTGAAATTGGGCGGTGTTTGGGTATTTGGGAATATATTTTAAAATAATAATAATAATAATAATTTCATAGTGTACTAGCGAATCGCTCTGGCTTTGCACGGGTGACTTCTGAATCCCGACAACAGCACCGCCTACCGGATCAAATTGTGAATCTAAACCATCCAGGTATCAAACACACACAAAAAATTTCATCAAAATCAGTCAAGCTACCTTCGAGTTTTAGCGAGACGGAACGGATAGCGATTGAGATTTTTATATATAGACTAGCTGTTCCCCGCGATTTCGCCCGCGTGTAATTTAGGTTTTTTATTATGTTGCGCGGAATCTTAATTATTTTTCTAAAATATAAATAGCCTAAGTTACTCCTTATAACATCAGCTATCTGCCAGTAAAAGTCCTGTCGAAATCGGTCCAGCCGTTTCAGAGATTAGCCGGAACAAACAGACAGACAGACAAAAATTTTAAAAATTGTTATAATTACCGTATATACTTTCAATATTTTTAATACTTCAATTTTATTTATTTCTATAGATATTATGGCAAAATAAGTATTAGCAAGAGAGCAGTGACCTTGAGTTCCTGCGCGATCTTCTCCCGGTTGCCGTACTTGAGGTACTTCTTGTGGCTGAGGCCGCGCTGCTGCACGTAGTTGGCGCCGGGGTGCGCGTCGGGCCCGTGGCACACCAGGCGCCGCAGCCACGCCAGGTTGGCCGGGAACACGCGCTCCGGGTACGTCAGCACCTTGGCCACGTGCACCGGCACACCCACCTACACAAACGGAACACCTTAATGCTGCTGTGTTGTCTACGGTAAGTCCATCCATCCATCCATTACATTTATTATTTTGAGATGTTATCAGGAAGATGCTGTTGCCCATCATCATCATCATTATCATCATTACAGCCTGTCACAAGTCGACTGCTGGACATAGGCCTTCCCCAAGGAATGCCACAAAGCACGGTCCCGAGCCACCTGCATCCACCGACTTCCTGCATTTCTTACCAGGTCGTCACTCCATCTAGCAGAGGGACGCCCTACACTTCGCCTACCGGTACGAGGCTGCCATTTGAGAACTTTTCTTCCCCATCGGTTGTCGGTTCTTCAAGCTATATGGCCGGCCCGTTGCTACTTCAGCGTACTAATTCTTTGAGCTATGTCGGTTACTCTGGTTCTACTGCGGGTATCCGCGTTTTTAAGTCTATCGCGCAGAGAAACGCCGAGCATAGCCCTCTCCATAGCTCGCTGAGCGACTTTGAGCTTCCTCATACGGCCAGCAATGAAGGACCACGTCTCAGATCCATTAGTCATCACTGGCAACACACACTGGCTGTTGCCCATAACCTGTTTCAATTTCCCACTGTCGCCTCTTACGACACCCACGGAACAATATGAGGTAGTGGATATTCTTACACCGCCACTGCACCTGTAAGGGTGAGTGTAAAGAATCAAAGACACTTTTTTTTTCTGGAAGACACTTATTACTAACACGAAAGTCGAATACTTGATGGGTAGAGAATGACTATAAAACCCGCCCTTTGTATTATTTTATGGGAATTCGATTAAAATTAATGAGTTAAAGGTACGGCCTATATAGGTCCCACTGCTGGGCACAGACCTCTTATTTCTGAGAGGGTTTTAAGGCAAGGAAATGTCCGCCGCTCTGCCCCAATGCGTGTTGGCGAACTTCATGTGTCTTCGAAATATTTTTTTCTTATTTCTCAGACATCCAGGTTTCCTCACAATGTTTTCCTTCACCGCCGAGCACGTGGTAAATCATCACTTAAAATTGAAATTAATAATTTCATTGGTGCCGGCGGGGATCGAACCCGGGTTTGCACGCGTACTGTAAAATTTACAGCGTGCGTTTAGCCCGTGAGCTACCACGGCTCTTCAGTCACTTTGTCAGTAGTTATTTATTGGCAGTAGTTTAAAATTCTTCGACGCCAACCTCTACTCTATGCAACTGTTTGACCATAGACTATTATTTATTAAACAATTGACATTGACAATATGAACGTAAATAATGAATTTTTTATTTTATTTATTTTATGCAATTGGTAACACATAATGTATCTGATTTTTAAGTTGCTCCTCTTCAACTGCTAACTGCACTCCTTCTCCATATAAACTTTAACTATACCAAATCTCACACTACTCTGTACGGGAAATACATAAAAAACCGGCCAAGTGCGAGTCAGCCCCGCACCTGAAGGGTTCTGTACCATCGTAATACACGTTTCTAGTAGGAGAGACCCTATTAATTTTTATTATTTGTTATTATAGCGGCAACAGAAATACACCTTCTATGAAAATTTTAACTATCTTTTACGGATCATGAGATACAGCCCGCTGACAGACAGACGGACGGACAGCGGGGGATTAGTAATAGGGTCCCGTTGGTTACCTTTTGGGTACCGAACCCTGAAAAGGGTAAAAATTAAAGTTGACAATAAATTTTAATTTAATAATATAATGGACTTCCGCAAAGTAACGCCTGATTCTATTAAGGGTAAAAAGTTAAACTACAATCACCATTTGAGAGGTGATTCGAGAGAAAAAAGGTTGTTCCAAAAACACGGCTAATCTCTCAAATTAGATCGTCCCAAGACCATTTAAAGACTACGTATTTGTGTATAGTGGTTTCATGCAATCTCAAAAAATCTATCATTTACTTACCTCTTGTATCTGCAGGTTGGGGTCCGGCGAGATGACGGTTCGACTGGAGAAGTCGACACGTTTCCCGGACAAATTGCCGCGGAACCGACCCTGTTTACCCTTTAGCCGTTGTACCAAACCCCTTCCCGGTTTTTTGGGCTGAAAAATATGATAAAGATAATAAAGTATAAATGTTACTCCTGTCTAAACCTTGTTAGTAGCCGATTGGCGGGAGTTAGTAGCCAGGGTTGGGAAGTGGGAACGGCTTGGCTCTAGTGGACACTCCGGTTTGCACGTTGGTTGGACTGTGAAGTGAGGGGCAGCCTCTCCGCAATCAAGGTGAAGTCGCCCTTATCCTCCACAACTTTGGCGAGGCCAGAGCTAGCGCGTCTTACTAAGAGAAAAGGGGCGAGCAAATGTCCTCACGAAGAGGGGCCGGCATTGTTAAAGCCGTGGATTAAGTGTGGGCGTTGAATGAACAAACAGTTTTTTTTTCGACAGTTTATAGTCTACTGATAAGCTATTTTACTCGTGAACGACATTTTACATCGCGCATTACAAACACCGTCGAGCGTTTGCCGAAACAATTTCACTAGTCACTCGTCGATCAAGCATTCCGTTCTCTTCACACCTTGTTCTGACGACTATCTCTCTTTCTCCACGTGCTCGACTCTCGAACAATTGAGTGGGCGGTGTTTTGTAATAATAAGCTCTATTACAATGCATATAGATATGAAATATGCATGTCAATATAAGGCGTAGGGCAGAATTTTGAACTTTATTTTTTTAGTCTCGATTGAAATGCGCTTTGTATAGGTCAATGTTACACGTATTTAGTACTTTTCTAATTGGAGACGGTAACTAAAATGTAAATAATTATTCATAGTATTAAGTTAATGTTAATAGTAAATAGTGTGAACAGTAATAGTGTTACTTAAGTATTAAAGTGGTAAAATAGTGTAAATATTAATTATGTCGGCATCGGCCCGTAAAAACAGTAGTGTGATATGGCACCATTTTGAAAAAGACAATAAAACTTTTAAAGCAACGTGTAATGAATGTAAAGATGTATTAGGTTATAAGTCATCCACCGCCAATTTAAGTTTTATTTATCTAACAATTTACTCTAGTCGTCGTTTACCAATTAGCGAAGCAAAGTAGAACGATAAGTAGTTTATATTGACGTAAATTATTCATCGTTCATGTTTTGTCGACGGCATAAACTAGTCGAAAAAAAACCTGTTTTATAAACTAGTTTATCATTGACGATAAACAGTCTCGTTTCGTCGACTGTAAATACATCGACGAACCATTTGTACCGTGGATATGTGTTCCCATGGCCCTGTCCATATGTGGGAAAGGTCACTGTGGGATAATAGTCGGTGCGAACCCGACATAATCCGTTTTTGACCCAGCGAAGTATGTTTTAAGCATTTCCCCCACGTGAAAAACCCACTTGCCATCATAAAACTATTAACCAGTTTCATACTTTTGGCCGGGGAAGGAAAAGGAGAACCCGCCAGCAAGGTTTAGTAAGGAGAGCGGTCAATCAATGATGCTCCGCGTGGTAAGTACAGAGCTATTCTATATATAGCGCAATACTTCGGAACTTTAATAGCGCGATTTAGGCTTCAGTGAGTTTCGCTTGTAGCTCGACGAAAGCGTCGCCATATTCTAAAATGTAATATTAAGTCACACGACAAAGTAACCCTAAGCATTTCACCAACGCACAACGCGACAAAACTCACGTTACCATTTTCATCATCTGGATGTTTGGCGGTCCGCAACTCTATGCGATTTAGTATGCTATTGGATTTACTAGGAGTTTTCTTCTTCGTCCGACTTCTTTGTGGACTTGTTTACTACCGGTAATTTTTCCGGAGTGATGTCCTGCGCCTGTCGGTACGAGGCTGCAACTCAAGAACCTTTCTTCCCGATCGGTTGTCGGTTCTTCGAGCTATATGGCCGGCCCATTGCCACTTCAGCTTACTAATCCGTTTAGCTATGTCGGTTACTCTGCTTCTACTACGGGTATCCTCGTTTTTAAGTCTATCACGGAGAAAAGCCCCGAGCATAGCCGTCTCCATAGCTCGCTGTACGATCTTGAACATCCTCATACGGTCAGCAGTGAAGGAACAAGTCTCAGATCCGTAGGTCATCACTGGCAACACGCACTGGATGTACAAACTTGTTTTGACTTTTTTGACGTCTTATCTGACGAGAAGATGTGTCGTAATCTCCCGAACGCTGCCCAGCCGAGTTGAATCCATTGATTAACCTCAACGTCGAAGTTGGACTTACCTAGTCAGACTATTTGTCCCAGGTAAACATACTCGTTAACAACTTCGAACTTAGTGCTCCCAACAACTACCGTCATAGGTGTGACATGGACATTACACATGACTTTTGTTTTGTCCATGTTCATCTTAAGACCTATCCGTTGAGAGACACTATTTAGGTCATTGAGCATAGTGTTTAGGTCCTCCAGCGATTCTGCCATAAGGACTATATCGTCGGCAAATCGAAGGTGAGTTATGTACTCGCCATTGAAGTTAATACCGTATCATTTCCAGTCCAATAGCTTGAAAACGTCTTCCAATGCAGCGGTAGAGTTTCGGGGATATAACAAAACACTGTCTTCCACCTCTCTGCAGTTGGATAGGTTTCGTATCTGGTTCTGTACTCGGATAGCCATCGTAGTCCTACTGTACAAACACTTCAGCACTTCGATAGAGTATTGTCGCCGGTGGTGTGTCTTTCCTAGTGTAGTGATGGTGGGAGTAGTGGTGCTGGGATAAGTGGTGACGGGGATAGTGCACACAATTGTGGGAGGGCGGGAGGTGCTCTTCAAACTTGGTAAGACACATCATTTTATTTTTTTTGAGCGGATATTGGCAAAGTAAATTTTTCCAACTTTAATATAATGTATTTCCTCACAGTAACGCCTGAATCTATTAATTGGCTTTCTCTATCTCTAATAAAATTAATTAGACTATCTACTTACGCAGGACATAGTGGCGATTTGTACTCCTCGGTCTTCTGTACAATTTACCGAAGGGTATGTATGTGTTCTATGGTGCTAAAGCTTTTTCGGAAACCTGTTCGGGAGGCTGGAAGTTGTCGAAACTGCGTGCGAGACGATTCGTAATGACTCTCAAAAACAGCACGTAAACGCGGCTCAGAAGGGAAATCGGTCTGTAGTTCTTCAAGAGAGCATTGTCGCCTTTCTTGAAGAACAAGACCACCGCACTTCGTGCTTCCGCATCCGTGCTCCACGCCTCCAGTGTAGTGCCACTATGGAGAATGGAATTAAAGAGCTTCTGAAGGACTTCAAGTACCGATTTTCCACCCGCTTTCAGAAGCTCCGCTGTAATTCCATCCTCGCCAGAGGACTTGCCGTTCTTAAGGTGCTGGGGAGCCATTCTAATCTCGCTCAGACTGACGTCCGGGATATCATAGTAACAGTATCGGATAAGACTCGCTGTTGGACCGTTACTCACACTTGCGTGTGGCTCCAACGATTACGTGTACAGCTGCCCATAGAACCTCTCAATCTTACTCAAAATTTCAGGTGTCTCGGAAACGATGCTGCGCCATTCGGTCTTCAGCTTTAACAGTTGGCTCTTTATGGCAGACAGGTCTGGCAAAGACTGGAACCCTGGTTCCGCTCGATCGTTTCTTCAATACGAGCTGTATTGAAGTTGCGTAAATCCCGCCGCATGCATTTGGAAATCTATCTGTTCAGTTGCCAGTATGATGTCAAATCTGTAGAAACCGCAGGTTAATTTCCCGTCAAACAGACATGAGATTAATTGTGTGATCGGAGAGTTTTTGTGTTCTTCTGCGGCGGGTCTTGCAGAACTTACCTCGAAAGTTACATTAGTTAAACGAAGTTACTCCCCTTTAAAAGGCCGGCAACGTACCTGCAGTTCTCCTGGTGTTGCAGGTGTTTAAGGGCAGCGGTCCACACTTACAATCAAGTGTGCCGCTAGCTAGTTTTTTTTTAGTTATTAGAAACCAGTGCTTGACCACAATCCCACCTGGTGGTAAGTGGTGATGAAACCCTAGATGATAAATCGCACTGTCTTAGCGTAACAAAAGCCTATTCACTCTTGCCTTGAAGACGCCCAGGTTGTATTCGGACGGAAATGCAGACGCCGGCAAATTATTCCACTGCTTTGCTGTACGCACTACAAAAGGTGAAGCAAACCGTTTGGATCTAATGCGTGGAGTATCGACAGCAAAGGGTTGAAGACCCAACGACCGTCTGGTTGTCCGATGGTGGAAAGGAGAGGGAGTTCGTCCCTCTATAAAAGAGCATGGCGGTAGACCCAGTGGTCCTGCAATAGGTTACTATACCTGCATGGAGAGCGGGATGCCGGACATCTCGCTATTGATGTAGAGCGCGGCGTGCAGCTGCAGGTAGTCCCAGTCCTCCTGCAGCAGCTCGCTCTTGCCGCCGCTGGCGATGTGCCGCGCGATCACGTCGTTGATCAACAGGATCTCCGATTGTTTCATCGTCAGGTCGTCTTCGTTGCTGAAAAACAGTCGTAATCAAACCTTATTTGAGAAAAATCAAATAGCCTATTAAATACGACGGCTCCGTGGCGCAGTGGCTTAGGAATGAGTTGTTGCGCTGGGGGCTGCGGGTTCGAATCCCGCACGGAACAAGTATTTGTATGACCTACAAATAATTGTTCCGAGTGTGGATGTTTGTCCTCGTGCAATTTATGTTTGTAAACTGCCTTCACGACACAGGAGAAAATCCTAGTGTGGGGGTAACGTTTTTTAAACTAAAAAAAAAGAGCAAAAAAAAAGAGCAGATAGCCTTTAGCCGAAATTGTGAAAAACTGCATCGTTATTTATGAATTCTTTTTTATATAGATAAGGAGTGTATAGAATATGGGTGAAACGAGCACATAGTCCATCCGTGAAGCAAATACAAAGAGGAGACGGCATAAGCAACTGTGCACTGTGATTCTAAGTAGGTCCTGACGTCATCATAGTGGATGTGGCTTTAGTTAGTATACTGTCAGCATTCGTCCTGTGCGCTTATGTGTTGAAAATCGCAAATCGGTGTATTTTCGTATTATTAAGAAGAAAAGGATGAAGTGTTGTGTTTTATCGTGTAAAAACTACTCAGATAGACGCTGTGATGCTATGGATGACATCACATTTCATTTGTAAGTAATTTTCCACCTAATTTTTTAAAATAGTTCTAGAAAAATCTCTTTGCGTCGGCTTACAAATATAATTAAATATATTCTGCACTAGATGGCGACACTTTGTGTCATGTGAACTAAAAATATAAAGGTACGTAGAGCTCAGTATTGGTAAAATAATCATACGAAAGTACTGACATTTGTTTTGCATTCAGACATAAAGAAATTTTAATCGTCAAAATATTATTTTATAAATTATAATCATTTTCGAACAGGCCGCCATCTATCGTCAAGGTAGCTAAACTACATCTCAACATCGATATGGAACAATTCGAGTAGTTTTACTATTAATCGGTAGATGTGGATAGTGTAAAGTGGGCGGGGCTTAACATCCCCTCACCCCGCAAATTGTCACGCGTTGTTACATACTGGAATCTAATTATAACACCTCTTTTCATTTGCTTCATGGTCCACCCTGATAGTAAGTGGATGCTGTAATAACTAGAGAACTATGATAGATTTATTCATGAAATTAGACATTCATCGTAGACATAACGCATTTGCGCACAACACATTTCACATTGCAATTGGGAATGGGAAAATAAAATTATAGAATTCATTTATATTTTTTCTTTATATAAACTTACGTGCCAGCCTTGATATCAGAGACGACACTAGGCCGAATACACAGTGGCGGTACGAGCAATCGTGTCAAAATCAGATCCTCGGGACGGCAGGCCTTTACATTCATTCCCAGCAATGGAATATCTTCATCTGGTATACGTCGGAATAAATTTAACACCTGAAAAATCATTAAAAAATTTATAGAATTCATTTATATTTTTTCTTTATGATGGCTTTCTGAAAAAGATATCCGGTCTGTAAGAAATATGATGAATAGGTTTTTAGTGGTCTTTTGCTGTCGCGCTGTGCTCGAACGACCGAGAGAGACAACAGCCGCTTGGACTGATTATACCTATATATAGTTCAATGATAAAATCATTTCAAACAGAATACTTACATACTCTATGTCATTGGTATTAGGCCACACAAATCTCGTTTTTTTTTATAGAATATGGATGACAAACGATCACACAGTCCACCTGATGGTAAGTGGTTGCTGTGGCCCATAGACATCTACATTTATCCTCGATTACGAATCAAAATGCACATGCGTTGTCACCCGTGAGGACTAAGATGGAATCCCTCGTTTCCAGTAAAGGGGTCTCCGGTTCTCTACACTCACCATACGAAACACAGCAGTTTTAAGCTGCTATTTTACTCTGTGAGAGTGTGGTCCTTCCCCAGTCGAGTCGACCCATTTGTGCTACAACTATAGTAATAATACTAATATAGCTACAGCATGGCTCTACCACGTAAGAAGATATAATTATAGATATAATTAATCATGTACAAGATGTGATTAAACAGGTATATCAAATTCCTTTTAATGTAACTTGGTTACTGTGCCTATTTGAATAAATATATAAATAATATCTCAATGCAGTATGATTATGTTGCTTGTAAAAATCATTGTCATGGACTATTGCAAAGCAATTGCTATCCTAACTTTGTCAATTTGGTCCTCACTTAGCAGACATAATTTTAAGCCCAGTACCAGATACGTCACACTTGTACAGTGCTCTGTAACAGTTCACAGCTTATATTTAAACAGTCCCTTTGTTTGCTTTATCACAAAACATTTTGCTTTTTTTAGCTATTGTTTTTTTTTTAATTTCTTTTTGTAATAATAATTTATCATCAGACAATCAATGGGGAAGAAAGGTTCTCTAGCGGTAGGTTCATACCTCAAAAGGTAGGGCTTCCCCACACTAGATGGAGTGAATTGCAGGAAGTCGATGGATGCAGGTGGCTAAGGACCATGCTTTGGACATTTCTTGGGGGATCCCTATGTTCAGCAGTAGACTTGCAATTGGCAGTAATGAATGAATTAATAAAAAATATAATGCATCATGTGTGTTTATTCCTTTGTCTATAACAAAAGTTTGGATGTTATCACAAAAAGTAGTTTGTAATTTGTCTCAATTAGAATCTGTGTGAATAAAGAAGTTCCATGGAAAATATGCAAACTAAAACGTAAAATATGGAAATTGACAGCAAATGTCAAATTTCGCAAAGACTGTGGCTCTGTAACTAAAGTTTGGAATTAGTTTGAGATCATTTAAAATTGAAAATTTTGTACAACCGACTTCAATATAAATTATTAAAAAGAACTCAAAAACTATTGATTAGACCTTGATCAAATTTATATGTGACCACACGTAAAGCACCAGCTTTCATATAAAAAAGAATCATCGAAATCGGATCACGCAGAAAAAAGTTATGAGGTAACACACATAAAAAAAGAAAGAAAAAAAAAACACAGTCGAATTGAGTACCTCCTCCTGTTTGAAGTCGGTAGAAAAGATCTTTGAGCCTGATCGAGAATCCACATTTTGTAATAAGACTGTTAATGTTTGCTTATTTTATATACTAGCATTCTTCTTATTTTTAAAAATATCTTTTTAATACAGTTGCTCAAAAAGTGGCATATTGCAGGGACATATAGCGTTCGAGATGTGGGCTATTACATACTCGAGCTTTTTCTTTACCTTTTCCGAACTCGTGCGTTCTCTTTCCCAACTGTCAAAATTATGTCTATTAAAAAGAAAAAACCAACCACGAAGTTTTTACTACAAAAAATTCATAGAAGTTTTTATGATTCAGGCAAATATTTCTAAAAAAAAACTACTAATTTGTTTCAATATCAGATTTAATGATTTGATTCAATGAGTTAGGTTAGGTTTCATTTCATTTCATCTCATTAAATTTCATCTTCATTTCATATCAATAAAAAAATTCTACTGAAGACTTGGCTGTATGGGCATAGTTCCCTTTGCCTACCCAGAATGGGTGAAGAAAAAACAAAAAAATCAAAAAGTTGGCGCTATTTTCCTAAAATGTTCTTTGCGAGTTTAGTTGTTTGTAAATTGCTTCATTTTTTCGCAACTGTATTAAAAATAGTTGTTCAGTACACATGCGGAACCGTCATTGCAACTTGTTCCGACTGTCAACCCTCACCTTCGGCTGCGCCTCGGCTCGAGTAGACATTTGTCGGAACTCTTTGCTGACAGGCTTTCCGCACTCGTAATGAAATATACTATTTTGTTACATGCATAAACTACAATTGGTGGCAGCACAGGGTTACAAATAGCATTCTTATGAAAATAACTTACCTCTAATGGACTTAATTCTATGATCAAACCACTATTTATCATTGCTGCTATCTCCTTATTAGATTCCTTGGCCTCGTGAAAGTTTTTAAGCACATTCTGAACGATTGGATCGGTTGGTTTCTTTGTCCTGTACTTATCATGTATGATCTTCAATATTCCAGCGGGGCTCTTTTTGACAATGCCGTTTAGAGAGTCACAATAAGGGCACTTTGTACACGTTTTCGCCTTCTTTAGCACAGCCGCTCGCAATGTTTTCTTGTGTAAGTATGATAGTTCTGGATTTATGAATTTGCGTCTGAATGATTTTTTTATTTTTTCCGGTAACATTACTTTTGCACAGTCCTGTAAAAATACAAGGTATGATAATAAAGTATAAACCTTTTCGTTTTAATGTAAATTCGGTCGCAAGCACAACAGTTAGTTTCACAGCCGGTGAGGTGTATCTAGTTGAAAAATGGCCAAAGGAGATAAAAAAATAAATGAACCCTACCACAATTACTTCAATTCCAAATATGGTTTGAACGGGGGGACAATGATTTGTAAACATATGGAATTAAATCTAAGCAAAATTTGACAAATTCATTGTATTCATGGTATTGGTAAGAACTCAACCTCGATCGAAGCTTTTTCAAATGTTAACTTTTAATAAAAAATATATGTAAAATATTCATTAACAATACACCACACCATACAAAGTTTTAAATCTAATAAATAATAATTAAAATTCGTTGTTCGTATTTTATGCGCTGCCATACCATTTGTTTACTTTGTCAACTTACTGCTGGCACTTCCGCGAAGGTTATAGGCATAGTACAAATAAAGCTTACTGCAGGTGACGAGCATATTGTACCGACAAATTTATTTGAGAGTTATATATCGTTCAATTTCAATGAATCTATTATCATTCCTAATTAAAATAAATCTTCCAAATTTAAAACGTTATATGCACAATTATTTCTTTTGCGACAGCAACGCACCCGGTACCAGCTAGCCTAATATATAATAATTAATATTTGTTTGTTCGTTTTTTTGCCCTGCCATACCGTTCATCAGATTGTGCTAAAATTTTGTAAACTTTTTGCTTGCACTTGCACGCGAAGGTTATAGGCATAGTATAATTAATTTACGGTAGGTGACACTCGTATCGTACCGACAAATTTATTTGAAAGTTATTTTTCATTCAATTTGATCACAAATGTATTATGATGCCTAATTTTACAATATAACCAACGGGTATCACAGCTAGTCAATAAATAAATAAGTGCCTTTGAAATATAATAATTTTATTAAAATGATAATACAATGAGAGAATCCCATGTCCAGCAGTGGACTTTATGTGCATGGTACCCTCCGGAGTTTAACACTAGTTAGTAAGTGTTAGTGTTACAAGGGCTGGTTTACACTACTTCACATAGGCAAGAAATAATACTATGCAGGCCACCCAAACTCGTCAAGAATCCTAGCAACTTTCTGATGTCACCAAAGATCTTGAAGAGTACCTTGAGCTTCCTCATATGGCCAGCAGTGAAGGACCACGTCTCAGATCCGTAAGTCATCACTGGCAACACGCACTTGTTGTACAATTTCGTTTTAAGGTTTTGAGGTATGTCTGACGAGAAGATGTCGTAGTTTTCCGAACGCTGCCCAGCCGAGTTGAATTCGTTGATTGACCTCTCGGTCGAAGTTGGACTTACCTAGTCGGACTATTTGTCCCAGGCAAACATACTCGTCAACAACTTCGAGCTTAGTGCTCCCAACAACTACCGGCATAGGTGTGACATGGACATTAAACATGATCTTTGTTTTGTCCATGTTCATCCTAAGACCTATTCGTTGGGAAACACTTTTGAGGTTATTGAGCCACTATTGAAGTTCTTAGGTCCTCCAGCGATTCTGCCATAATAAATGCTATATCACTACATAAATTTACCTTGCATATAGTCTGCAGTATGGTTATTATTGAACGAAAGTAACCAACATGAAACACCGGTAGTGCCAACTCTATATAACCATAGTGACCAATGCAATCTGCCAGCCCCAGGCCACAAGTCTCACAGTTGGCATCCTTTTGATTTGTACCCTGAATAAACAAAGAGCAAAGTATATTTAACATAATATTATATAAAATATCTCAAGTTTGGGATCCTTAGGATCCCTTATTAGATTTGTATATTGAGATTAGAATATTTAATGGTAAAACAGCAATGCCATTACATTAAAAATTTTTACAGCTTAACATATAATAGAGCTAACATTGCTTTCAAAATATTCAATACTTCAAAAAATCTCATAACATAGCAACATTTAGCGATAGGAAGGTATTGTTTACATTACTCGTGAGTCTGCATTTATCTAATGTATAAAAATTAATGTTTGTTTGTTCTTATTTTATGCTCTGCCATACAGTTTTGCCTTGTGTAGTTTGCAAACGATGAAGGAATCATCATTACATCATTACAGCCCTTCACAAGTCCACTGCTGAACATAGGCCTCCCCCAAAGAATGCCACAAAGCACGGTCCTGAGCCACCTGCATCCATCGACTTCCTGCATATCTTACCAGGTCGTCACTCCATCTAGTGGGGGGACGCCCTACACTTCGCCTGCCGATACGAGGCTGCCACTCGAGAACCTTTCTTCCCCATCGGTTGTCGGTTCTTCGAGCTATATGGCCGGCCCATTGCCACTTCAGCTTACTAATCCGTTGGGCTATGTCGGTCACTCTAGTTCTACTGCGGATATCCTCATTTCTGAGTTTATCACGCAGAGAAACTCCGAGCATAGCCCTCTCCATAGCTCGCTGAGCGACCTTGAGCTTCCTCATCCGGCCAGCAGTGAAGGACCACGTCTCAGTTCCGTATGTCATCACTGGCAACACGCACTGGGTGTACAGTCTCGTTTTCAAGTTTTGAGGTATACCTGACGAGAAGATGTGCCGTAATTTCCCGAACGCTGCCCAACCGAGTTGAATCCGTCGATTGACCTCTCGGTCGAAGTTGGACTTACCTAGTCGGACTATTTGTCCCAGGTAAACATACTCGTCAACAACTTCGAGCCCAGTGTTCCCAACAACTACCGGCATAGGTGTGACATGGACATTAAACATGATCTTTGTTTTGTCCATGTTCATCTTAAGACCTATCCGTTGGGAAACACTATTGAGGTCATTGAGCATAGTGCTTAGGTCCTCCAGCGATTCTGCCATAAGGACTATATCGTCGGCAAATCGAAGGTGAGTGATGTACTCGCCATTGATGTTGATACCGTATCCTTTCCAGTCCAGAAGCTTGAAAACATCTTCCAATGCAGCGGTAAAGAGTTTCGGGGATACGACGTCACCCTGTCTTACACCTCTCTGCAATTGGATAGGTTCCGTACTCTGGTTCTGTACTCGGATAGCCATCGTAGCCCTACTGTACAAGCACTTCAACACTCCGATATACCGACAGTCAACTTGGCATCGCTGAAGGGACTGCAGCACCGCCCAAATTTCGACGGAATCAAAGGCTTTCTCATAGTCCACATACGCCAGACATAGTGGCAAATTGTACTCCTCGGACTTCTGTACAATTTGCCGAAGGGTATGTATGTGGTCTATGGTGCTAAAGCCCTTTCGGAAACCGGCTTGTTCGGGAGGCTGGAAGTCGTCAAGTCTGCGCGCGAGACGATTCGTAATGACTCTCGAAAACAGCACGTAGACGCGGCTCAGAAGGGAAATCGGTCTGTAGTTCTTCAAGAGAGCGTTGTCGCCTTTCTTGAAGAACAAGACCACCACACTTCTGCTCCACGCCTCCGGTGTAATGCCACCATGGAGGACGGAATTAAAGAGCTTCTGAAGGACTTCAAGTACCGGTTTTCCACCCGCTTTCAGAAGCTCCGCTGTAATTCCATCCTCGCCTGGGGCCTTACCGTTTTTAAGGTGCTGGAGAGCCATTCTAATCTCGCTCAGACTGACGTCCGGGATATCATCGGAATAATGTCGGATAAGACTCGCTCTTGGATCGTTACTCACACTTGCGTGCGGCTCCAACGATGACGTGTACAGCTGCCCATAGAACCTCTCAATCTCACTCAAAATCTCAGGTGCCCCGGAAACGATGCTGCCACATTCTGTCTTCAGCTTTGACAGTTGGCGCTTTCTGGCAGACAGATCTCTGGCAAAGACTTTGGAGCCTCGGTTCCGCTCGATCGCTTCTTCAATACGAGCTGTATTGAATTTGCGTAAGTCCCGTCGCATGCATTTGGAGATCTGTCTGTTCAGTTGCCTGTATGCTGTTAAATCTGTTGAAGAATGTAGCTTCATCCCCCGTCTAACAGCCATGAGATTAAGAGTGTGATCGGAGAGTTTTTGTGTTCTTCTGCGGCGGGTCTTGCAGAACTTAGCTCCGACCGCATGGACAGTTTCGACGAGCTTGTCATTCAAATCGTCCACTTCATTGCAGTCTTCTAGGCACTGAAAACGGTTTTGTAACTCGAGCTGAAAGGTTTCGGGACTTTGGATTAGAGCACGAGGGGGACGGAGCGTTGACTTCATTAGAAGAGACCTCTCCAACTTAACGTTTAGGTTCAGTGTGCCTCTAACCATTCGGTGATCGCTGCCGGTTTTCACCCTCGCGATCACTGAGACATCACTGAACAGTTTTCGTCTGGTCGTCATAATGAAGTCAATCTCATTTTTTGTCGAACCGTCGGGGCTCGACCAGGTCCACTTCCTGTGGGGCCGCTTCTGGAAGAAAGAGTTCATCATAAAGAGTCCCTCTTTCTCCATGAAGTCGGCCAGCTGCTGGCCCCTTGGGTTCCGTTGCCCTATTCCAAATTTCCCTACTTTCAGCTCACCGTTCTCTCTTGTGCCTAGTTTTGCATTGAAGTCTCCCATTAACACCGTATATTGGGTTTTGGAGGAATGCATGGCTCTAGAGATATCCTCATACATTTCCTCCACCTCCTGATCGGGGTGTGCCGAGGTTGGTGCGTAAACCTGTATGACCTTCAGCGAATACCGTTTGGTGATTCTGAGTATAAGGTACGCAACCCTCGTCGACACACTCTCAATCTTTACAACGTTGTTAACGAGAGACTTGTGGACGATAAATCCGACACCTCCTTGGGACAGATGGTCGCCCTCCCGGTAATAGAGCAAGTTGCCGGATTCGAGGATTACCGTGTCCTCCCCCTCTCTTCGGACTTCGGATAATCCCATAATATGCCAGCGTAACTTGTCTATCTCTTCTTCCAGCTCCACAATCTTCTCGTCAGTCCTCAGGGTGCGTGCGTTGTATGTTGCCAGGTCGAGTCGTCGTAGGTGGCAACCGAACCTCCACCGGAGATTCTTAGCACCCCCTGCCCCGCCGTTACCATGGTCGCCACCGTAGCCAGGAATAGCGGGGCCGCCGGGGACTGGGGGCCGTTTATTATTGTCATTGCTCATGGGGGGTATATTGCCATAGTTGCCACGCTTGGCGAGCGGGTTGGCAACCGCAGTTTTTTTATTGTTATTTTGGCTACTATCAGGAAGATGCTGCTGCCCATCTCCTGCCTGTTTCCCTTTGTCGCCTTTTACGACACCCACGGGAAGATATGGGGTAGTGGATATTCTTAACCGCCACTACACGGATGAAGGAATAGGAAACGTCTTTTAGCAATGTACTGGAAAAAACGTTTTTGAACACTGACTGTTAATCGGTCTAACAGCTCTTTTCGTATACCTACACTTACAATACGCAAGACAAGAGCCGAGGAGTGCCTATAATGTTACCATTGATCAAATCCGTTAAAATGAAACGATAAAGAAAGTTACATCTTAGGTATGTCAATGCAATAATGTCTAATTTAGCTTATCATAGGAAAGTTATCATATTTATCATACTTAATAAATAGATACAAACACACATTTGCTAAACTTCGTTTCGGCACCTACAACAAACGTGTAAAAATTTAATAAAATTTGAGGTATGTTATAACAATAATTGAGGAGCATTTTTTGTGCTTATTATTATTTTCTTAATATTGATTGCATCCTTGGATGCTTTTTATTTTCTCATGTTATGGATGTGGGACTTTATTTCACTACTGTTAATTGTTTTATCAACACTAATTTGCTTAAGACTTTTATTTTGATCAAGAAGTCATCAACTGTGTGTGCAACAAACACTACAATTTAAGCAGATATCAAACGACTGAGAATGACTGACTGAGATAATTATTCCATACAGATTTTACAGATAGATACAGTTTAAACTGTTTAGTAGTACTGATGACCAAATAGAGCCAATAGAACTAATAGAACAAACTAGTTTACTGTCCATAATGAACTAGTATGGAGCGATCTTTAAAATGACCAAGCAGGCACAAGACTAATACAGTTCATCAGATTGCGGTAAAACTTTGTCAACTTATTGCTGGCACTTATGGGATGGTTATAAGCATAGTAAAATTAACTTACAGTAGGCAGTGCGTGTATCATACCAACACATTTATTTGAAAGTTATATATCATTATCATACCTAATTAAACAATACAACTCTTCCAAATTTAAAATGATATTTTAATTATTTCTTCTGTGGCAGCAACATGCTGGGTACCAGCTAGTTACTAATAAATATTCCAGTTAAAAGCAAATGGTATAGGGTGTATAAAATAATCTAAAATCGTCAATACTGTCTAAAATAGCAAAACCAATTACATACCATGCGTCTGTCCAGCACGCCGTAAGTAGCTGGTGTCCTCTGTCCATCTTGAGCATATAAATTCTTTGTAATCACTTGTATATTGGCTGCTTGCTGTATATCTGATGCACTGTCCACATTGAATGTAACATGAGATCTGAAAGCAATGCAAAATAGTATATTATTCTTCAATAAATCATACTAACAACATTTAACAAATACTTTAATTGGAATACAAATTTGAATATGTAAACATAACCTACACTACTTACATCTTTCTTCCAATGTAAGTTTCGCGATACTGTTCTTTTGGCATTGTTAATAATTATTTACAACATCACAATGCGAAAAGTTAAGCGTTTATTTATTTAAATAACAAGTAAACATGATCTAGGGAATTGTGATTGTGTTAACACATGAACATCTGATTTGTTTTTCATTTATGCTCTGTGGTTTTCATTTTTCATGTATTGACATTTGTACTGGATGTATTCCAAATTAAGTAAAAAAATTAAAAATATATTGCAAAAAAAAGAGAAGAATTGAAGTTATAACGAAAAATTTGCAGTATTCAAAAAGTGAAATGTTAAAATAGAAAAATATGAAAGATTTATCATTACATAAAAAAACAACTTTAAAGTGAGTAAGTAAGGTTAAACCAATTAAAATAAATTTTGAACGAAACTTTAATAAATGTTGCACTATAAAAATTTTAATTACTACCAAAGTTATTATACAATGTGTTAATTTTACACTTGATCAAACGAAATGTGCGGATACTAGATAAAAAATTATCGGTAAAAAATCGAAAATTTTTTTTTTTATGTAAACTGTTTAAAAAATAAAAGCATTTGAATTTTGTTTTTGTTAAAATTCCCATCCTTCGGTTTTAAATTATTTTCTCTTTAAGTAAACGGTGTATTTTTTTCAAAGTAGTTTTATTTGAAAGTTAGAAAGATTAACTAGCAATAAAAATTAAAAAAACCTACGATATCAAGCAGGAAATTTGTCAAAAAAATAATAAGATAATTTTTTTTGTTAAAAAAATACTTTTCTTTTTAATTTTTGGTCTGTAACTTCAAAACTAGTACGTTGAGATAACCTTTTTAGCATGTTTTATTAAACTACGTAGCTTATTGTACAAGTTCTCCAAAATAACATGCGTTCTATCTTTTTTCGTTGTTAAGATAATCACTAAAAATAAGGTAGGTAATCTGAGCACAAAATTCAAAAGTGATTTAATAATGATTTAATTGTCAAAATTATGGAACAAAACAAAAGAAACCGTAGAAAAATGATTTAATTTATTAAATTTTCAAAATGACCACCATTTTCATCCATACATACAGTTGTACGTAATGCCACACTGCGTACTGTTTTTTTTAATACTGTACGATTTTCTTTTATTTGACTAGCCGCAGCCATTACTTTTTGTAACAATTCTTCTCTTGTACTAATTGGAGTACTGTACACAATCTGTTTCATGTGGCCCCACAAAAAAAAATCTAGGGGGGTCATATCAGGGCTTCGTGCCGGCCACGCTACTGGTCCGCCTCGTCCAATCCATCTGTCTCCGTATAGTTCGTTTAAATAATCACGCACGATGGTGCTGAAGTGAGCTGGAGCGCCGTCATGCTGAAACCACATCTTCCTCTTTGTTTGTAGATCCACATCACTCATCAGGTCAGGTAACTCTTCTTGTAGAAATGTTAGGTAAGCTGGGCCTGTCAACCTTGACGGAAGAATAAATGGTCCGATTAAGTAATCACTTATCATTCCAGCCCAAACATTAATCGAAAATTCGATTTGAAAGGACGCTGGCCGAACTGCTAAGGGATTTTTTTCCTCCGGCATCCACAAGTGAAGGTTTCGAAAATTTGTGATTCCAGTTCTGTTAAAATTTGCCTCATCGGTCCACAAAATACGGTCACAGAATTTCGGGACTAATCGTCTTTGCCGCAATAGCCACGAACAGAAAACACTTCTTCCGACGTAATCTGGCTCGTGCAAATTCTGCACTCTTCGAAAATGAAAAGGGTACAAACATTCCTTTTTCAAAATTTTCCACACTTGGACGTGATTGATCCCCAATTGGAGTGCTATTCGTCGAGTACTAATTGTGGGGTCTTGGTACACCAAACGCAACACTTGTTCATCCACATCCACCGGTACAGTAGAAGCACGTTCACGATGTGGGCGATGCAGTCCATTTTCACTTAATTCTCGATGTACTGCTAAGAAAACCCTGTAGTCAACGGCAGGTCTTGTCGGGAATCGCTGATGATACTCTCGAGAGGCGGCGCGAGCGTTGCCATCACAAAACCCGTAAATGTAATGAATGTCAGCTACTTCACGAGCAGACAATGAGTCTATCGTAGAAGGCATAACGACGAAAAAAATGGTGAGCGTATTCAACGTGCAAATTAGGTAACGTTACAAGATGAACTGTTTAAAATAGCTAAAGCTGCCTGCATGCCTTACGAGAACGAGACCCAAATTTCCCAAATGACCCAAACGACAATTCACTCTCTCACTCACTTGTTTCGCCTTTCATTGATCTATCTCTTTTTATCTTTACCTGCTATTGTTCGACCAGGGGTGTTCAAATTAGAGGTAGGTGCGGCGCATAAGCGCAAATCAACATACCGAAGGCATTCTTTGATGATTATTATTTTAAAAATGAAAAGAGATAGAACGCATGTTATTTTGGAGAACTTGTACAATAAGCTACGTAGTTTAATAAAACATGCTAAAAAGGTTATCTCAATGTACTAGTTTTGAAGTTACAGACCAAAAATTAAAAAGAAAAGTATTTTTTTAACAAAAAAAATTATATTATTATTTTTTTGACAAATTTCCTGCTTGATATCGTAGGTTTTTTTAATTTTTGTTGCTAGTTAATCTTTCTAACTTCCAAATAAAACTACTTTGAAAAAAATATACCGTTTACTTATAGAGAAAATAATTTAAAACCGAAGGATGGGAATTTTAACAAAAAAAAAATTCAAATGCTTTTATTTTTTAAACAGTTTACATAAAAAAAATATTTTTCGATTTTTTGCCGATAATTTTTTATCTAGTATCCGCACATTTCGTTTGATCAAGTGTAAAATTAACACATTGTATTATTTGTTCTTATATTACATTTATTTTTACATGCTGTACTTACTACCCACACAATGGATGGTTAATGGTAACACCGTAAAAAAATCTAAAGGTACATAAAGTAATAATTACGGTGAGAAGATTGTTTGAGAGGATTTAAATTCCAGAATTGGTAGATTGGAATTTTACGTACCCACAATTGGGAGGCATAGCATACACGAAAACTCTTATAATGAATAAATAAATATAAAATATGTATACAACTTCAATTGTAATGCTCCTAACAATTACCGGCATAGGTGTGACATGGATTTGTCTCACCATCTCTTTACAATCTGGGCAACAATGAAAAGGCTTTTGTAATTGTTAAGCAAAGACAGTGTCATTTACCATCTACTTTCACCACTTACCACAAGGGGACATTGTAATCAAGTACTGGCCTATAATAAGTTAGAAAAAAAACTAGTCACGATAATCCCCATTCTTATTGATCAGTACATTACGAGTGTTCAATACATTCATTTATCTGAAACATTGTCTTGTAGATAAGCTTTAAAGCCTTATTTCAATTTAATTTGCCCAAATTAAATTGATACATGAAAATCAGCAATTTTTGACCAACTTAACCCCTTTTTACGTTGGGTTATTTTGTGTAATTTTAGTAGATGACACTAGAATCAACACTAAAGTCATATATATGTAAAATTATGTTGAAATTTTGACTTTTTAGCACACTTCAAAAAGTGAAGAACTTGTCAATTCGACTGTTTATTTTTTGTTATTATTTTACGTGACATCTCATCAATTTTCGTACCGATTTTGACGATTGTTTTGTTATCAAATAATGAAATATTTCATACTTCAGGGGTGATCAGAAGCGTACTTCAGGAGAGATATATTTAGAGAAAAAATTCCACCTTTAAGGGTGGTAAAATGAGGGATGAAGATTTTAATGGAACCTTTCAGACGACATTAAGAGTGATATTCCTCAATCCATTCAAAAGGGTTAGTAATAACTTTTAATTAAAAGTAAGAGCTGACATTCTGAATTTCTATAGGCTTCTATAGTTCAGGCTTTAATTTTCCTATACACTATATCTCAGCCCCAATTCTTTTTCTTCGTCTTCCTGGACTTGTCCCTTTATTTGGGGTCAGCTCTCCTCATTTTTATGCACTAAGATATTCCAACTAGGCACCGACATCAGAATGTGAAAAACCGATACCGAAATTAAGGATTTAAAATATCTTTTTTTTTTAATAGATTTTAAATAAATGTTTTGATGTCATTTACAATTATTAAATTCCCTTTATTTTATCAATGTTTATTTTTTCATAAATATCTTTTGGTTTCGGGGGGGCCTCTCGCCTGAAAAGAGAACCCTTTGACATTGCTGCCCGACGATTCTGGATATTGGACATAAACGAGATGATAATGCCGTGTACATTTTTTGAATTTCCTATAGTTACGTCTTACGATACCAAGGTCACTAAAATGGAGCAATGTTTTCTCTTACGATGCCACCACACGGCAACTATTTTACAATTATGTATAAGAAATCAAATTTTTTTTTCAAACGTCATTCTTTATCTATTAATGCTATTAAATAAGAAAAACTTTATTTTAATCGGTCAATTCTTCACCTTTTTATATGTAGTTATCCGTTTAATGCTTTATAGTAATAAGCTACTTTGAGACTGTGTGTATGTTTTTTTTATAGAATAAGCGCACACAGTTACCTGAAGGTAAGTGGATGCTATGGCCATTAGACACTTTTATCTAGCTGCGTTTAATTGACCAACATTTAGCTGCGTATAAAGAGGTCTGTCACCCGCTTTCACTCACTTTTCGTTATCTCTTTCTACGACATTATATTTTATATAATTTTTACATTCAATTAATTAAAAAAAAAAACAGATCTAGTATAACTACCAAGCTAAATTAGCATACCACCAGAAATTCTTTCCTTATTGTATTCTTTTTTAAGTTTGTACGTCAATGACTCTTTCAATGAGTATATGACGTTTTTATAAAATACGGTAGTGATCATATTATGTTTTTGTGACAAATATCACGTTTTAAATACCTAATTTTAATATATATACATATATATATATAAATTGTAACTAAAAGCAAAATTTAAACGTTTAAAAAGTTACCAATTAGTAATCTCTGTCCAGTGCCCCAACACATTTCATATGTTTCTGGCGTAAAAAGAAGCGCAGAGCGCGCCGTTTTTTGGCTTGTCAACTGAAACCACGCAACAATTTTCCTGTAGTAATCTTGATAAATGTTATTAATTTTCTAATACTCTATTTAATATAATATAAATATCAATGTGGGGCATAAAGTTTTGTGTAAAACTACAAAAGTGATAATTTAAATCATATTGAGACTAGTTTTCCCACCGTAGTGACCCGCGAACTCTTTTAACATGCCTCTATTGAAAAGAAAAGCCTTTGAGAAATCGACGGCGTCTGAGTACCTTCGCGACGATGACGAGGTCTTCCATTGCGAGATCACCGACGAGATATTTAAGGATTATGAGTGAGTTTGTTTAGATATAAATATTTCGCACATATCTCGCGTTCTTGTGAATAAAAGTGCAGATATCAGTTGAGAGAGACCGTTGACATTACTTCCGCGCGGCTGCTCGCATATTAACGCAAGCGTGACATAATGTGTCATAGTTTCATTAATATATGTTGAAATTTTTCAGTGTTTATTCAACTATATACTATTATTTTTTTCAAGGGAATACTGTGAGAGGATCATATTGGTTAATTCCATGGTGTGGACCTGTGAGATGACAGGGAAGAATAACTTAACTTATGCAGAGGCATTGGAGAGTGAGAAAGCTGCAAGGAAATCTTTGAAAGACTTTCCCATGGAGCTTCGCATACCAATTCTATACTTAGCCTCAAAAACCAATAGAAGTTCTTTTGCAGAAATGTCAGAGGATGTTTTTAATTTTGTAAGAGAAAGATATTTTGTTGGGGAGTCAGTTGAAGCATGCCTTGAAGGTGATTTGTGGCGTGAGGCTCACATTCTGTCAGTAACAGCTCAGAAACAACATCCAGGAAGGTAAGTAATAAGAATTAATATATTTTATTTAGTTTCATATGATTATAGTTAGTTGTCTAATCAGTTATATTTTCCTGTGCACTTTATACATTTATTTTATTAAAACGAAATATTAGCAAATGGCATATTTTTTTCTGATAATATTATTATAAATTGACATTTTTTATTAATCATGTAAATACTTATTGCAAATAAAAGTGTCAAAGTAATTGAATACTTTTTAATTCGAGGAGAAAAATAAAACTGACTGGCGTTTTCGTAGACAGTAATGATATAGATATTTTAATAAGGATCTAATAAGAACTCAATCATTAATAATAATTGAATAATTTGTATAAGGTGTTTCATATATGAGTCCAGTAATACTTTTGTTCCTAAACTTTTATCATGTTTATTATTTATTTTTGCTTAGTATATACAAATTATGATATTGATTGTATACATATTGTCAAACCTTCTTTTTAATGAAATACTTACCATAAAGTAGCCTAAATATATTAATTGTATTTTGTTAACATGTCTTATCACCTGGCATAAAACATGGTCATATACAAGGATTCTTCGAAAGGTTAAATACATAAGGAAATTATTACAATAGATAACATTGGTTGCTGTGAATGTAAAACAAATGGAAAAAATCTTAAATAGCTACACAATTTTTTTCACATTATTTAATTTTCTTAGTCTATAAAAACTGTAATATCAATATTACTCTAAAACTTCATTTATTAAATAAATTATAAAATATCTCTGACTGATTCAATTAACTGTACAAAAAATCTTGAATTGCAACACAAAGAAAATTACATTTTTTAATTATATTAGTATATTAAAACTTTGATATTAATATTACTCTAAAACTTAATTTATTAAATAAATTATTTATAAAGTATCTCTAAATGTTTCAGTTGACTGTACAAAAAATCTTGAATAGCAACACACTGAAAAATGTACATTATTTAATTATCTTAGAGAATTAAAACTGATACCAATATTACTCTAAAACTTCATTTATTAAATAAATTATAAAATATCTCTGACTGATTCAGTCGACTGTACAAAAAATCTTGAATAGCAACACAAAGAAAATTACATTTTTTAATTATATTAGTATATTAAAACTTTAATATTAATATTACTCTAAAACTTAATTTATTAAATACATTATTTATAAATTATCTCTAAATGTTTCAGTTGACTACAAAAAATCTTGAATAGCAACACACTGAAAAATGTACATTATTTAATTATCTTAGAGAATTAAAACTGATACCAATATTACTCTAAAACTTAATTTATTAAATACATTATTTATAAAGTATCTGTAAATATTTCAGTTGACTGTACAAAAAGTCTTGAAGAACAACACACAGAATAATTTACATTATTTAATTATCTTAGTGAATTAAAACTTTGATATCAATATTACTTTAAAACTTAATTTATTAAATACATTATGATGTATAAAGAATATTTAAGTTTACTGTACAAAAAATCTTGAATAGCAATACAAAGAAAATTTACATTATTTATCAGTCTATAAAAACTGTAATATCAATATTACTCTAAAACTTAATTCATTGAATACATTATAAACTATCTCAGACTGTTTCAGTTGACTGTACAATAAATCTTGAATAGCAACACAAAAATAAAATACATTATTTATCCGAGTCTATAAAACCTGTAATATCAATATTACTCTAAAACTTAATTCATTAAATACATTATAAAGTATCTCAGACTGTTTCAGTTGACTGTACAAAAAAATCTTGAATAACAACACAAAAATAAAATACATTATTTATCAGAGTCTATAAAACCTGTAATATCAATATTACTCTAACACTTAATTTATTAAATACATTATAAAGTATCTCAGACTGTTTCAGTTGACTGTACAAAAAATCTTGAATAGCAACACAAAAAAAAATACATTATTTATCAGAGTCTATAAAAACTGTAATATCTATATTACTCTAAAGCTTCATTCATTAAATACATAAGTTATAATGTATCTTCGACTGTTTCAGTTGACTGTACAAAAAATCTTGAATAGCAACACAAAAAAAAATACATTATTTATCCGAGTCTATAAAAACTGTAATATCAATATTACTCTAAAGCTTCATTCATTAAATACATAAGTTATAATGTATCTTCGACTGTTTCAGTTGACTGTACAAAAAAATCTTGAATAGCAACGCAAAGAAAAATATTACGTTATTTAATTGTCTTAGTCTATTGAAACTTAAATATAATATTAGTCTAAAACTTCATTTATTAAATAAATTAATTATAAAGTATAAGTAGTGGCACGAAAGTCTAGCGGTGACCGTTATTACGCATAAGTTGAAGATAGGTATCATGGGGTTGCGGGTTGCAGGGCGGGCGTGCGTATCGTTCGCACGAATTGATTGGTTCGTGCATATCGTTCGCACGCGCTGATTGGCTCTCCAGTCGCATTCGTGCGATTCAATTCGTGCGCGACAGTACCCATATGCAGCTATCCCCTTCACGTTCCGTTCAGCGCTAGACTTACGTGCCTCAACTTTTATCTTTGCTACTTCAGTTGACTACAAAAACATGTGCACAGTTCACTGTGTAGATTCGTATCGTAATCCATTTTGTAAATAGCTTGAATTTTACTAGTCCTTGTCCAAAATAGATAGTGATATTGGAGTATGTAGATTTATATTTTCACAAAAAAGAAAATGAATATGTATTAATTTGTATTTTCCCTTTTAACAGGTAATGTTATTTTTTTTTCCTTTCTATATTGAGTATAATGATATAATTAATTTAGTTCTAAAGTGGTCTTTTAAAATCTATACATATAATAAAACTGTAAATAGCAGATGTCTGTACATTTTATAATTTTGTAATAAAAGTGATTGAGGGGTACTAAAAATAAGTAATTAAATACATTTCTACCATTTTTAGAATTTTCTGTCTGTCTGTCTGTCTGTTTGTTTGTTAACGTATCACGTTTAAAGTACTAATTTATATCATAAGAATTGTTAAGGAAATTCTAAAGTGTACCTTCGGGATACATTTAGTCTTTATTTCATTAAAATCGGTTCATTCCATCAAAAGTTATGATAAATATTCTGAAGTATGGGTAGGGAATTTGCTCAACGGTGGCTATGTTTGAGTCATCAAGTTGATGTTAGCAGCGCCATCTCTCTTTAATTAAATATATACATATAATAAAAATGATGATAACATGTTGTGTCTCTTTCTGTACATTGTATATATATTTTGGTGACTAAAATCATTATGGGGAACTAAAAATAATTAAATAAGTACATTTTTATAATTTTTAGAATTATCTGTCTGTCTGTTTGTCTGTTTTTATATGAAGGCATCACGTCTAAAGTAAACATCTTTTTTTTTCAAAGAAATCGTTAAGAAAATCATAAAGCGTATTTTCAAGTTACATTTAATCTTTGTTTTATTAAAATTGGTTAATTCTATCGAAAGTAATGATTATTATTTTAAAATGTAGGTTCGAATTTGTTCAATGGCGCCATAAAAATCTCAGAAATAGTAATAAAAAGATTTGTGTGTAAAAAAAATGTTCCATAATAATTAATATATTTATATGTACTTAAAACATAAAAGAGATTTAAAAAAGGATGTTTTCTCACACAAAGGACGTAATAGATGGAGTTGTACAAATTACAAACTTTTCTGATTTGCTTTTTTGGAATGTATAGCGTGCATTTCGAAATTTTAGCACCTAGCACTTAATCCAGCGCTTTTTGGTGTATTTAGCACACATTTCAAAATTGTAGCGACTAGCGGGTTATCAACTCTTTTATAGCAGCACTGTTAGTCCACATTACCGATAATAATAATAATGACCTTTATTATTTTTTTCCACAAATAGTACATTGCAGTTTATCTTTTTCAAACATATTTTTTCCACAAAACAAAGACCATGGGAAACGAGTCCAAACTAGGATACCCTGTGCTATGGATCTCCCGGCTTCCCCTTTAGGATGATCAACTTGATTTTTTTTATCGACGACTATAAGCGGGGAAATCCCCTTCATTAAAGTTTTCGTTCATGGTTTTGGCAACGCATTTATTTTGTTTTATTCAGTTTTAGTCAGTTGTTTAGAGCACAGCTAAGTTAAAAGTTACTTAGAGTAGTACTAACTACTGTTGACAGCAATTGCCATAATTATAAGTCGATGTCCTGCGAAGTATTGATACATCAAAAAATATTGCCAGAAAAAAACTTAATGTTGTTTTCTTTATTATGATTATATTTTCTTGAATTATAAATTATAATAAAAAACACAAACTTTGTTTGTAGTTAATTTAGCGCGAAATCTAGGGCTTTTTTAAAGCGCTGTTTTCATGAAATCTAGCGCTTTTTGTGTTGTCCTAGCGCTGAATGAGTTTTTTTGATCTGGCAGCACTGCCAAAAAACCCTCTATTAAGAAGTAACTTTCCTTTCAGTTTTAAGCGCGTTCAGTTCCCAGTTACAGTCAGCGTGTGTTATGCGATGACCGTAAATATAGCGCAAGGTCAAAATTTACGCGTTGTAAGAGTGGACCTCAGTACTGACTGTTTTGCACATGGCCAACTCTATGTTGCTTTTTCCCGCGTTAGTAGCCCCCGTAACCTTTTTTGTGTACACCCCGTCTAAGTCTACTTCTAACGTCGTTTACACCGAAGCTCTATCATAAACTACTTAGAACTTTGATGATAATGATTTATTTGTTACCACTTATTGATACAGTAATGATATAAATCGTTTAATATTCTCTTACCTAAACGACAAATTCTTTATGTAAAATCTATATACGCGAGCTACGCCGCGGGCACAGCTAGTAAGTAAATAAATATGATTAAAACACAGTATACAGTATCCTAAATGTACACATCAAGATTTAGAAAAACATAATTGGCTTAAAATGGTTTCATACAATATTGTCCCTATTACTCATATCTGTGTGTTGTTTTGTCACTGACTTGTCAGTTCATTGTATAAGGTAGCTAGGCTGCAGTCACATCCTCTTCAAATATATATGCAGAGTAAAAACCCCCATTTTAAAATCGTGTTATGTGGCATTTAATATACAAAGAGGGATACATTTACATGGTCAGTTAGACAAAATTGTTTACAATATTTATAAATTTTTGTAAAAAATGTTTAATTTAAGTATTCAATTGCCTAAAATTGTAATTATTTTACAGCACTTAATAGTTGTTTCATTGTAAACATTTTAGCCAAGGTTTTTTTTGAAAGTGGTATTATCCATATGCAATTTAGATTTAGAAAGGATTGATAGTTTAAAACTATTTTACAGCACAACAACTCTCCCTGCATCATCATACTGCTATGAAGTAGAACAGTTTCAGGAATCTGAGCAAACCTCTGCAGGCCAGATAGGTACAGCTCCATATGACCGAGTGCGTCGGCGTAAAGGCATTTACTCGCGTGATAAAAACCGTCTATTCCTCAAACAGTTTGTAGAACAAGGCCCTGGTGGGGTAATAATAATTAAGGTATTCAGCTTATTATATTCATATGTTCATAATAATCATAGTATTTTCATAACATGATCATATTTTATTTGCAAAAATTGTTTACCTTTCAGAAATCTGCTATTGAAAGATATAACATCAACAGAGTAAATTTTGACCAGATATTTACTGGTAGCCCTCCTGAATTTGCAGCTTCTAAAAAGCTGATGAAGTCCAGCATATCACCTGCAGCATCCAAGAGTTTGGCTAAACCTGGCTCTGCATCCAAACTAAATAAATCCTTAAAAAAAGGCAGTCCTGACAAGAAGGGCAGACAGGAGTCTATGGACAAATTTGTCAAAAAAACTGACAAATCTGAAGGTATACTATTGTCGTGTTGTATATTTAAAACATAAAAAAGTATAAATAAAATAGCAATAAAAAATGATATATCATCTTTAATACTAGAAAGTCTTCATACAAAAGAAATATCAAATTTTATTACTTTTTTATTTCATAATCAGCATCACCAAAACCCAAACCGCCATTAAATCCAGATGCCAAGAAGAATGCACAGGACCTAGCAGAGAAGATGCGAAGAGCAGAGAATCAGATGAGACAGCGCAAAGAAGAGGAGAAGGCTAAAAAGAAAGAGAAGAATGCGCGATTGCAAGCACATCTAAAGGAGTGGCAAAAGATCAAGGAAGATCAGGAGTTAGAGGACCATAAGGTAGTTTACCCGGCTTTAGACCTCCATGATGATGATAGATGGCCGTGTAAGAGAATTAATCACCCCATTTTGTCAAGCAGGGTGTCATAAAAGTCCACTGTTAGGCTTGGGCTTCTTCCCTTATCGCAAAGATTTGTCCTAATCACCACTCTTAACATTGATAATTGCAGTACTAAAAGTTTTCAGCTTTTGATAGTGCTCCTCATTACTGGTTTGGATATTTATGTCTGACTTAAAAAAGTTAGATAGCGGTTTAATTATTTATCACATCTATCTGAAGTTCTGAAGCCATGTTTTCCTGGCAGTAGCTATAGTCCCCTCTTAGGACACGCACTGGACAAAATGAGCTTATGAATTCTCTTATGCCACCACCATATAGCACATAATTGAATATACTATATACATATAGTAGAGCCATGCTGCAGCTATATTAATAGTATAGTTTTGACACAAATGGGTCGGCTCAACTAGGGTAAGACTATACTCTCACAGAATACCAGCGTAAAATAGCAGCTTAATGCTACTGTGATCATATAGTGGGTGTAGACAACCGGAGACCCATTTTTACTGGAAAAGAGGTATGCCATCTTAGTCCTCACGGCTGACAACACATCTGTATTTTGATTTGCAAATGAGGATACATGTAGATGTCCATAGGCCGCAGCAACAACTTACCATCAGGTGGACTGTGGGCTTGTTTGTCACCCTTATACTATAAAAAAAAACTTTATTCTTAAAGCCTGGTTAATTCCTTGATTAATCACTTGGTCAATAGCCGCCTTTACACGACACTTTCTTTCACTCGCGATCGGAGTGTGCACGATTATATGTGGGAAAGCATGCACGCGTTATCGTGAGTGATTGTTTTTATCCATATTTAGGTGTATTGAATCTTTCGCGCGCTGTTACTTCTGTATTTTTATTCAGAGAGGAAAGAGCGTCTTATAAAGGCTAATTGCGCGTGATTCAGCACGGGAAACTTCCGTGACCTGGAGTGTATAATCACGCAGTTTTGTTAAATGAACATTCTGTAGACTAGTGTTCTAAAAAAATGGACGAAAGGGTTAGAAGGAATATTACACAAATAATTATGTTTGCTGGTCTAAGCATATAATAGATTATATATTTATTTATTTATTTTTATATATTATTCTTAACATATTATTAAATAAAAAGAAACGTAAGATTGCATGCATCAGACTTGAATATTGCCAAGAACTCTGTAACTCTGTCTGTAAGATCCTTGCTCCCTAATCTAATGTGCGCCATTTCACGACGGCAATCGTTTGCACCAAACCGCGCGTGTAAATTATGTTTGAGCGCACAGACTTGAACGCATGACTGAGGTATGAGCGGATGTGCGAGCGAGCGAGCGTGCATTGCCATTTTTCATTTCTATCTTTACATGCGCACTCTTTCCCGCGCGAAAGGCGATTCACGCGTTAAGGAGCGTATGTGTAAAGGCGGCTAATAACATATGATATACCTGATGATAAATAATAAATAGTACTAAATTGTCATATTTTCATTTAGTGTCCACTACTGTGCTTAAACATCAACATGAATTTCCAGATCATACCAAAAGCTACCCCAGTAGAAGTTCAAGGTATACCCCACAAACATTTTGGTGATTTCCTCTCAGTACTAGAGTTTATTCACATGTACAGTGACATCCTAAAACTTAAGGATGTATTCCACAATGACTTTGATTTGGAGCTGTTCAGGAAGGCATTGACATTGAAGGAATATGCTGGTGCGTTCAGTGACTTGGTCCAAATGTTCCTCACCACTATATTCACACTTCAAGAAGATGAAGCTGAGGAGTATAATGAGGGTGGCGGTATGCAAGAGTCAACAGGTGATTCATGAACTTTTTTACTACATGTTTTTTCTTTTTTGTTTCTAACTGAAAAGAAAATATTATTGATATTCATACCAATATGTAAAGTTCTAATAATGCATTTTCAGAGGACACAGAGCTTGAGAGTGATATTGGAGTGTCAAAGGCAATAGAGTTAGCCACAAAGGCTAGCAAATGGTCTCAGACTTATCTTGGAACCCCACTTAGCAAGCTGCCACTTGACCCAACCACTGTTAGTGAAGTTTTAAGGTTAGTACTTGTGTATGTTACTTAAGAATTATGGAACAAATTACTACATATACTTTGCATGGCTGTGCTAACTAACCCTTCTATACTTTAAGAGCTTAAAATAACAAACCTTATGATAGTGTCAGCAGGATGTTTTTATATTCTTTGTCCATATCTCAACAAAACCTGATAACTTTTAATATCAAATAATGACTGGTAAAGTGGTGGGAGGCAAAAGAGCAGTCCCAAATCCGATAAAATAAATATTTCTAATTGTATTGCTGTGAGAATCCACTATCACATAATATTTTGTGCGTGTTATAAGAGGTAAGCAAGGAATTAAATGTTTAAACATGCTAAAGCCATGTTGCAGCTAATTAGTACTATAGTTGTAGTACGAATGGGTTGGCTTGACCGGAGAAGGACCACACTCTCACAGAATACCCGAGTAAAATAGCATTTCAACACTGCTGTGTTACATATGGTGAGTGTAGAGAACCAGATACCCTTTTTACAAGAAATGAGACATTCCATCTTTGTCCTCACGGGAGACGCCGCAAATGTGTTTTGATTCGTAATCGAGGATAGATGTAGATGTCTATGGGCCACACCATCCACTTACCATTAGGTTTTTTTTTTTTTTTTTTTTTATAGGAGAGGGGGCAAACGAGCATGCGGCTCACCTGATGGTAAGTGACTACCGCCGCCCATGAACAACCGCAACACCAGGGGAATTGCAGATGCGTTGCCGGCCTTTTAAAAAGGAGTAGGCTCTTTTCTTGAAGGTCCCTAAGTCGTATCGGTCCGGAAAAATCCCTGGTGGTAAACTATTCCACAAGGAAGTTGTGCGAGGAAGAAAACATCTTCTAAATCGCACAGTGGTGGACCGCCAATCATCCAGATGGTGTGGATGGTATCGGGAGTTCTGCCGCGATGTTCGTTCGTGAAATTTGGCGGCTGGGATTAATCCGAACAATTCCTCAGAGCACTCCCCATGGTAGATGCGAAAGAAAATGCAAAGAGATGCAACATCTCTTCGCAGTGCCAATGAATCGAGCCGATCGGAAAGGGCTCGGTCGTCGACGATTCGAGCCGCTCTGCGCTGGATGCGGTCAAGTGGAAGGAGCTGGCACTGGGGAGCCCCTGCCCAGAGATGGGAACAGTATTCCATGTGAGGCCGAACCTGCGCCTTGTAAAGTTGCAGGCGGTGTGCCGGCATGAAATACTGTCCCGCTCTGCTGAGCACGCCAAGCTTTTTAGAGGCCAATTTGGCCTTCTCTTCCAAGTGACCACGAAACTGCACGTCACTCGATATGTCGACTCCGAGGATACCGATACTGGCTGAGGCAAGAAGGGGAGTGCCTTGAAACTGAGGAGATACGACAAAGGGGTTCTTTTTAGCGGTAAACGCGCAAACTTGTGTCTTCTGAGGATTAAACTGGACTAGATTTAGTCGCCCCCAATCCGAGACTTTGTCCAGCAAAGACTCGACTTCAGACACAAGTTTGTTCCGGTACTCGGCGACGTTTTCCCGAGAAATATTGGCCCGGCCGGTGTATAGAGCATCACCAGTGCTGTCATCCGCATAGCAATGAATGTTACCAGTTAGCAACATATCATTGATATGCAGAAGAAACAGCGTCGGTGATAGCACACAGCCTTGTGGAACACCAGCGTTAATAGGCTTGTAGTCAGAACATGCACCGTCTACAACGACCTTGATGCTCCGATCTGCAAGAAAGCTGGTGATCCAATTGCACAATTTCTCGGGAAGCCCATAGGAAGGCAGCTTTGAAAGAAGCGCTTTGTGCCAAACCCGATCAAAGGCCTTCGCAATGTCCAGACTAACGGCCAACGCCTCCCCCTTGGACTCTACTGCCTCCGCCCATCTATGGGTCAGGTAGACAAGAAGATCACCAGCTGATCGACACCGACGAAAACCGTATTGGCGGTCACTAATCAGCTGGTGATCCTCAAGGTACCGGATGAGCTGGCAGTTAATAATGGATTCCATTATTTTGGAGAACAAGGAGGTGATCGCGATAGGCCTATAGTTGGACGGGTCTGAGCGGTCGCCTTTTTTAGGGATCGGGTGGACAAAAGCTGTCTTCCATGAATTCGGGACTACGCCTTGGGAGTAGGAGTACCGGAAAAGACGCGTTAGGACCGGTGCCAACTCCGGAGCACACGTCCTCAGCACAATTGGGGGGATTCCGTCAGGCCCACTCGACTTCTGGATGTCCAGGGAGAGCAGTGCTTTGCGAACCGAGCGTTGTGAGAACAGCACATCCGGCATGGAGCACTCACACCGCGGGATGGTCGGCGGTGTTTTCCCCCCGTCATCAAGAGTCGAGTTGGACGCAAAAAGGGAGCCTAAAAGGTCGGCTTTGTCTTTTGCGTCATGGGCCAGTGAGTCATCCTCCCTGTGCAGAGATGGTAGTGATGGCTTACAGAAATTCCCTTGGACAGCCTTGGCGAGAGACCAGAATGCACGGGTTCCCGAAGGAAGGCGAACTAGTTTCTCGCCAATTCTGCCTATGTGCTCTGACTTTGCCTTGGCAATAACTCTTTTGAAGGACCTAGAGGCGAAGTTATACTTCTTTTTAAGTGTGCTGGTGTTTACATCCCGAGTCACCGAAGCTGCAGCCCAGGCTTGATAACACTCCTGCTTACTGCGCAATGCAGTCTTACAGGAGCGACCAAACCAAGGCTGAGATCTGCCTCCGATGGGTACCACAGATGATGGAATAAATAGTTCCATTCCCTGTAGCACCACATCAGTGACAGAGTCAGCAACAGCACTGGGATCATCCGGCGAGAAGCAAACCCGCCCCCATGGGTAGGATGCAAAGAAAGACCGCATTCCGTCCCAATCCGCCGACCTGTAATGCCAAACACGGCGGCAACCTGCAGAACGCAACCGCGAAGGGAGCGTGAGTGGCACCATACTCCGGATCAGACAATGGTCCGAAGAGCCGAGAGGGGCATCGACGGAAACCTGATATCCGTCCGGATGAGAGGTCAGCAGAAGGTCCAACAGGGAAGGTGTATGATCCTCCACATCTGGAATCCGCGTAGGCGAAGTAACCAGTTGTGTCAGACCATATGCCAAGGCAAAGTCATAAACAGATCTCCCCGCATGATCGGTTAAACGTGAACCGAGCCATTCGGCATGGTGGGCGTTAAAATCGCCAAGGATCACGATCTCTGCGGATGGGACCTGTTGTAGCAAGGAATCTGTAGCCATTTGGACGTGGTCGATGAGTCGGTCTGTTTCGGCATTACCGCTATGGGACCTATAGAGGCACCCGTAGACGCGCGGATGGTCGTCGCTGTCTACGCGTAGCCAAAGGATGGACAGGTCCGAACCTTCAAGACTGCCGAGGCGTCGAGAACAGATGTCCTCTCTAACATACACGCAAACTCCAGCCCGAGGCACAAAGGAGTGCTCCAATTTGTACCCCGGGTAGGAGAGATACGAAATATCAGTCGGAGAGGAAACCTGCGTCTCGGTCAAAAAGAGCAAGGCCGGCTTCGCCGTCTCGAGATGGTAGTGGACGGCGTTTAGGTTACAGTGAAGTCCCCTGATGTTGCAGAAATTCACGGATAGCGTGGCAGGGGTCGCCTTGGTATTGTTGCTCAGCTTGCCCCGAGCAGTTTTGTTTTTGAGCGGAATTTTGCCCCCCCCCAGAATACGCGGGGCAGCCTGAGCACCCACGCTCAGGATTGGAATAACATGGTCGTGGATGCTCAGCGAGGGATTCTCCAGGGGTACTGGTACCCTCCTGGGGTAGTCTATTGTCTAATTCCGCTACCATGTTGATGGGGGGGGGGGGGGGGGGGGAATTGGGCCTCCGGCCACCTGCACTCACCAGACGAAACGCAGAAGCAGAGCCTCTACTTCACGCCGGTATTCCGTGAGGTCGTGGTACCAACCCGGCTCGAGCCGGCCCATACGTGCAACAGCAAAAAACTGCTGCAGGGCTCTACCACCGTTACTGTGTGCCCGTTTGTCACCCTTATCCTGTAAAGAGATGGACAGCAAGCATCATCAGTCTCCTTGGTAACAATTCCAAATCATAAAAAATGGGCTTGTACCAACATGGCAAGAGTACTATAACAAATATCCCCCCTATGGGGCAATATTTATTTATAGAATAAGGGTGACAAACAAACACAGTCTATTTGATGGTAAGTGGTTACTGAGGCCTATAGACATGTACGTTTATTCTTGATTAAGAATCAAAATGCAGATGCTTTGTCATCCCAGAGGTCTAACATGAAAGCTTCATTAGCAGTAAAAAAGGGTCTCTGGTGCTCTGCACTCACCATATAAAACGCTAGTTTATACCTAGTAGCATTAAGCTGCTATTTTACGGTGGTATTCTGAAGGAGATTGGTCCTTCCACTGGTGAGTTGAACCATTAATAAACCATAATATAGCTGCAGCATGGCTCTACCACGTAATAAAGTAAATAAATGAATAATAATAAATAATTAAAAGCCTGGTACAGTTTTCCTTAGTGCACAACATTTAGCTGAGTATTAAGTGGTCTGTCTCCCACCTTTTTTCACTTTCAGTTTTCTTTTACTACGATATTATAAGTATTTTGTATTATTTTTACATTCATGTTACTTTTTGAAAGACTTAGTATGAATTATCAAATTAGTACAACATTTAGTAGTTAGTAGATCCGAGCCTATATTTCAATTCAAATTCACGTTGACTACATATTGTAGGCCATATCAAAAGTCTTATGATCACGAGTTGACTATAGATAGGCTGTTTATTGCATATTTAATTGTTCTGTTTGTGTGTATGTGACTGACTCTTAAACTGCTGGACTGATGTCGATAAAATTTTGTGTGTGCGATTAAGTTGATTCGAGAGTGGTTTAGATTCTAAATTTGGCACGGTTAGTGGCGCTTGTCGTCATACATAAATCAACCGTGCGATGCCGAGGCGGTTCGCTAGTATTCAGTAAACTATGTATCTCGCTATACTTGTTTGGCCCGCAACAGATTACATAATGTGTCAACTCAGTACGAATAAAGCTTCTTTTACTCTTTCACCTGCAATCAAATTTGTACCTTATTACCGAGTGTAAAGAGGCAGTAATGAATGAATAAATGTATGTTGAAGGCTGCACATGTTGTCGTCGGGCGGTGCGAGTGGTGGACGAGGCGCGGCGTGGCGCAGCGTGCAGCGCGGCGGCTACTGCGGCGCGGACGACGCCGCGCTGCGCATGCGCATCACGCGCCCGCGCCCGCTGCGCGCGCTCGCCGCCGCGCACGTGGCCGACCTGCCGCTAGGTACCGCGCACACCTGCACGCACACGTATACACACACACACACACACACACACACACACTACTGCGCTGCGCATGCGCATCACGCGCCCGCGCCCGCTGCGCGCGCTCGCCGCCGCGCACGTGGCCGACCTGCCGCTAGGTACCGCGCACACCTGCACGCACACGTATACACACACACACACACACTACTGCGCTGCGCATGCGCATCACGCGCCCGCGCCCGCTGCGCGCGCTCGCCGCCGCGCACGTGGCCGACCTGCCGCTAGGTACCGCGCACACCTGCACGCACACGTATACACACACACACACACACTACTGCGCTGCGCATGCGCATCACGCGCCCGCGCCCGCTGCGCGCGCTCGCCGCCGCGCACGTGGCCGACCTGCCGCTAGGTACCGCGCACACCTGCACGCACACGTATACACACACACACACACACACACACACACACACACTACTGCGCTGCGCATGCGCATCACGCGCCCGCGCCCGCTGCGCGCGCTCGCCGCCGCGCACGTGGCCGACCTGCCGCTAGGTACCGCGCACACCTGCACGCACACGTATACACACACACACACACACACACACACACACTACTGCGCTGCGCATGCGCATCACGCGCCCGCGCCCGCTGCGCGCGCTCGCCGCCGCGCACGTGGCCGACCTGCCGCTAGGTACCGCGCACACCTGCACGCACACGTATACACACACACACACACACTACTGCGCTGCGCATGCGCATCACGCGCCCGCGCCCGCTGCGCGCGCTCGCCGCCGCGCACGTGGCCGACCTGCCGCTAGGTACCGCGCACACCTGCACGCACACGTATACACACACACACACACACACACACACACACTACTGCGCTGCGCATGCGCATCACGCGCCCGCGCCCGCTGCGCGCGCTCGCCGCCGCGCACGTGGCCGACCTGCCGCTAGGTACCGCGCACACCTGCACGCACACGTATATACACACACACACACACACACACACACACACACTACTGCGCTGCGCATGCGCATCACGCGCCCGCGCCCGCTGCGCGCGCTCGCCGCCGCGCACGTGGCCGACCTGCCGCTAGGTACCGCGCACACCTGCACGCACACGTATACACACACACACACACACACACACACACACTACTGCGCTGCGCATGCGCATCACGCGCCCGCGCCCGCTGCGCGCGCTCGCCGCCGCGCACGTGGCCGACCTGCCGCTAGGTACCGCGCACACCTGCACGCACACGTATACACACACACACACACACTACTGCGCTGCGCATGCGCATCACGCGCCCGCGCCCGCTGCGCGCGCTCGCCGCCGCGCACGTGGCCGACCTGCCGCTAGGTACCGCGCACACCTGCACGCACACGTATACACACACACACACACACACACACACACACACTACTGCGCTGCGCATGCGCATCACGCGCCCGCGCCCGCTGCGCGCGCTCGCCGCCGCGCACGTGGCCGACCTGCCGCTAGGTACCGCGCACACCTGCACGCACACGTATACACACACACACACACACACACACACACACACACTACTGCGCTGCGCATGCGCATCACGCGCCCGCGCCCGCTGCGCGCGCTCGCCGCCGCGCACGTGGCCGACCTGCCGCTAGGTACCGCGCACACCTGCACGCACACGTATACACACACACACACACACACACACACACACACTACTGCGCTGCGCATGCGCATCACGCGCCCGCGCCCGCTGCGCGCGCTCGCCGCCGCGCACGTGGCCGACCTGCCGCTAGGTACCGCGCACACCTGCACGCACACGTATACACACACACACACACACACACACACACACACACTACTGCGCTGCGCATGCGCATCACGCGCCCGCGCCCGCTGCGCGCGCTCGCCGCCGCGCACGTGGCCGACCTGCCGCTAGGTACCGCGCACACCTGCACGCACACGTATACACACACACACACACACACACACACACACACACACACTACTGCGCTGCGCATGCGCATCACGCGCCCGCGCCCGCTGCGCGCGCTCGCCGCCGCGCACGTGGCCGACCTGCCGCTAGGTACCGCGCACACCTGCACGCACACGTATACACACACACACACACACACACACACACACTACTGCGCTGCGCATGCGCATCACGCGCCCGCGCCCGCTGCGCGCGCTCGCCGCCGCGCACGTGGCCGACCTGCCGCTAGGTACCGCGCACACCTGCACGCACACGTATACACACACACACACACACACACACACACACACACACTACTGCGCTGCGCATGCGCATCACGCGCCCGCGCCCGCTGCGCGCGCTCGCCGCCGCGCACGTGGCCGACCTGCCGCTAGGTACCGCGCACACCTGCACGCACACGTATACACACACACACACACACACACACACACACACACTACTGCGCTGCGCATGCGCATCACGCGCCCGCGCCCGCTGCGCGCGCTCGCCGCCGCGCACGTGGCCGACCTGCCGCTAGGTACCGCGCACACCTGCACGCACACGTATACACACACACACACACACACACACACACACACACTACTGCGCTGCGCATGCGCATCACGCGCCCGCGCCCGCTGCGCGCGCTCGCCGCCGCGCACGTGGCCGACCTGCCGCTAGGTACCGCGCACACCTGCACGCACACGTATACACACACACACACACACACACACACTACTGCGCTGCGCATGCGCATCACGCGCCCGCGCCCGCTGCGCGCGCTCGCCGCCGCGCACGTGGCCGACCTGCCGCTAGGTACCGCGCACACCTGCACGCACACGTATACACACACACACACACACACACACACACACTACTGCGCTGCGCATGCGCATCACGCGCCCGCGCCCGCTGCGCGCGCTCGCCGCCGCGCACGTGGCCGACCTGCCGCTAGGTACCGCGCACACCTGCACGCACACGTATACACACACACACACACACTACTGCGCTGCGCATGCGCATCACGCGCCCGCGCCCGCTGCGCGCGCTCGCCGCCGCGCACGTGGCCGACCTGCCGCTAGGTACCGCGCACACCTGCACGCACACGTATACACACACACACACACACTACTGCGCTGCGCATGCGCATCACGCGCCCGCGCCCGCTGCGCGCGCTCGCCGCCGCGCACGTGGCCGACCTGCCGCTAGGTACCGCGCACACCTGCACGCACACGTATACACACACACACACACACTACTGCGCTGCGCATGCGCATCACGCGCCCGCGCCCGCTGCGCGCGCTCGCCGCCGCGCACGTGGCCGACCTGCCGCTAGGTACCGCGCACACCTGCACGCACACGTATACACACACACACACACACACACACACACACACTACTGCGCTGCGCATGCGCATCACGCGCCCGCGCCCGCTGCGCGCGCTCGCCGCCGCGCACGTGGCCGACCTGCCGCTAGGTACCGCGCACACCTGCACGCACACGTATATACACACACACACACACACACACACACACACTACTGCGCTGCGCATGCGCATCACGCGCCCGCGCCCGCTGCGCGCGCTCGCCGCCGCGCACGTGGCCGACCTGCCGCTAGGTACCGCGCACACCTGCACGCACACGTATACACACACACACACACACTACTGCGCTGCGCATGCGCATCACGCGCCCGCGCCCGCTGCGCGCGCTCGCCGCCGCGCACGTGGCCGACCTGCCGCTAGGTACCGCGCACACCTGCACGCACACGTATACACACACACACACACACACACACACACACACTACTGCGCTGCGCATGCGCATCACGCGCCCGCGCCCGCTGCGCGCGCTCGCCGCCGCGCACGTGGCCGACCTGCCGCTAGGTACCGCGCACACCTGCACGCACACGTATACACACACACACACACACACACACACACACTACTGCGCTGCGCATGCGCATCACGCGCCCGCGCCCGCTGCGCGCGCTCGCCGCCGCGCACGTGGCCGACCTGCCGCTAGGTACCGCGCACACCTGCACGCACACGTATACACACACACACACACACACACACACACACACACACTACTGCGCTGCGCATGCGCATCACGCGCCCGCGCCCGCTGCGCGCGCTCGCCGCCGCGCACGTGGCCGACCTGCCGCTAGGTACCGCGCACACCTGCACGCACACGTATACACACACACACACACACTACTGCGCTGCGCATGCGCATCACGCGCCCGCGCCCGCTGCGCGCGCTCGCCGCCGCGCACGTGGCCGACCTGCCGCTAGGTACCGCGCACACCTGCACGCACACGTATACACACACACACACACACACACACACACACTACTGCGCTGCGCATGCGCATCACGCGCCCGCGCCCGCTGCGCGCGCTCGCCGCCGCGCACGTGGCCGACCTGCCGCTAGGTACCGCGCACACCTGCACGCACACGTATACACACACACACACACACTACTGCGCTGCGCATGCGCATCACGCGCCCGCGCCCGCTGCGCGCGCTCGCCGCCGCGCACGTGGCCGACCTGCCGCTAGGTACCGCGCACACCTGCACGCACACGTATACACACACACACACACACTACTGCGCTGCGCATGCGCATCACGCGCCCGCGCCCGCTGCGCGCGCTCGCCGCCGCGCACGTGGCCGACCTGCCGCTAGGTACCGCGCACACCTGCACGCACACGTATACACACACACACACACACACACACACACACTACTGCGCTGCGCATGCGCATCACGCGCCCGCGCCCGCTGCGCGCGCTCGCCGCCGCGCACGTGGCCGACCTGCCGCTAGGTACCGCGCACACCTGCACGCACACGTATACACACACACACACACACTACTGCGCTGCGCATGCGCATCACGCGCCCGCGCCCGCTGCGCGCGCTCGCCGCCGCGCACGTGGCCGACCTGCCGCTAGGTACCGCGCACACCTGCACGCACACGTATACACACACACACACACACACACACACACACTACTGCGCTGCGCATGCGCATCACGCGCCCGCGCCCGCTGCGCGCGCTCGCCGCCGCGCACGTGGCCGACCTGCCGCTAGGTACCGCGCACACCTGCACGCACACGTATACACACACACACACACACTACTGCGCTGCGCATGCGCATCACGCGCCCGCGCCCGCTGCGCGCGCTCGCCGCCGCGCACGTGGCCGACCTGCCGCTAGGTACCGCGCACACCTGCACGCACACGTATACACACACACACACACACTACTGCGCTGCGCATGCGCATCACGCGCCCGCGCCCGCTGCGCGCGCTCGCCGCCGCGCACGTGGCCGACCTGCCGCTAGGTACCGCGCACACCTGCACGCACACGTATACACACACACACACACACTACTGCGCTGCGCATGCGCATCACGCGCCCGCGCCCGCTGCGCGCGCTCGCCGCCGCGCACGTGGCCGACCTGCCGCTAGGTACCGCGCACACCTGCACGCACACGTATACACACACACATACACACACACACACACACACACACTTAAAATAACAATTGAATGTAAGACCAACATAATATTAATATCAATATCATTTTTGTTTTTTAGTTTTAAAGAAAATTAATACTTGAGTATAGTCTGTTCACTTAGACACGGTCGCCTTTGTATCGCGGCGCCTTGGCACATGCCGCATCTTATCATAAGCGCCGCCGTGTTATCAAAGGTCGCTGCGTGCGGCGTACACCCGCAGGAGTATTTGGCATTTTTAAAATGAAGCGCAGTAGTGAATAGTTCTTTGCTACATAACTTGTATTTATTATTTATATTAGTTTTATATTACAAAAGCCATAAGAATAAAATAGTATTCTATTTTATTCTTAGAATTCAAAAACATTCATTTAATTTAATAAACACAATAAAAAGGTATAAAATAAAAGCTAAATATAAAATGCTCCTCCTGGTGTACCAATACTATCTATGTTAACAGACTATATTTTACTTCTATATTTTCTGTTTTCATTTTGACAATCCTTTTCATGTCTTAAACCCGCTTTTCACTGTGGGATATAATATAATGTATATTGCATCTCGAAATTAAATTAATATCGCTCACCATACTTTAAAGTAAAACCGTTAACACTGAGCTATAATATTGTTACGAGCTTGGGGTTCTAGACAATTAAAAACTGCCGATTGAATTACCAAAATTGACACTTTAATTACTGAACACTAATTACAATCTAAAACCACACTAATAATAAAACATAATTGTACTACTGATCACTTTAGTTCGCAGTAATTTCGCTTCGAAGTTTTCTCTTGTATCGCCAATTCAATCCTGACTCGGTCGCGGTCTATACTGGCCTTATATAGGGCCTCAGGTAGTTTCCAGAACCTTCTACTATAGAAACATCTAGAATGTTCGAGTACATATTGGTCCCGATATTTCTAGAAAGATCCTGACTGTCCTAGTTCTGCTACTCGACACTAGAGGGCGCTAGTGGTAACTAGTGGTGCCATGTACATGACGTTAATAGTGGCGCGCAACACTGCCCCCTCCAAAGACATGCTCGTCCCGAGCATTATTGGCCCCATAATAAAGCGCCAGTCGATCCACATGGACAATCTTAGGAGTACCTCTTCTTACATCAGTCAGCACCTGCCAGTTTCCCTGCTGCTGCTAAGCGGTGCTGTTAGCTACACTACCCTCTCGAGATCGATCACCTTCCCTTTCTACAGTTCGTTTAGGGCAACTGGATCGAAGATGGCCCCTTTCCCCACAGCCGTAGCACCTAGGGCTGTATCCTTTATTGCGGTCGCGAACTGTAGCCGCTGCAACCTCCCTGACGCGATAGGAACGATAATCCTGCCGCACGCCTTCCAACTCCAGTGCATGAGCCAACGCGTCCTTAAGCGTCTCGTGGTGCCCGAGCCTCACAGCAGCTCTGACTTCAAGGTCGCGGATGCCGTCGATGAATGTCTGCACCAGGTTCCCTACAATGAGCGCAGGTACAGACTGGTATGCTTTTCGAACCAGCTTCTCCACCTCAAGGGCCCACTGCTGCAGGTTTTCGTTGCTGCGTTGCACGCGATCTTTGAGCTGCGCACGAAAGACGTGTTCCAGGTGAGCGTCGCCATATCTCTCCTCCAATGCCTCAAGGAGCTGCTCGTAAGTCACTTCCTTACCGAGAGCTTCCAGAACTGTTAAGGCCTGGTCGCGCAGGCCTAGGGTGAGAGCAGTCATGGCCCGAGTCTTATTCTAGCCGTTCGCCTTCATGACAGCCTCGAATTGGATTTTGTAGGTCGACCAGGAAGAAGTCCCGTCGAACGGCGGCGCTTTGAATCCACGTAGCGAAGGTGTTGTAGCTACCACGGGAGCTGTAATTCCATCCCCAAGTTTGAGGTCTCCAGCGTTTTCTTCACGTCAGCCATCATGTTGTCAACCCGGTTGTACAGTTGGTCGATTCGGGTTTCAGCTTCCAACAGGCAGTTGTCATGTTGAGCAACCCTATCCTTCACCTCCCTTATCTCTTTCCCGAAAGTAGAGTGAAGGTCCTTCCTGAGGAGCATCTGCTCTTCCATACCGCGCTGCAGCTGCTCTTGCAACCGACGGGCCCGTTCCTCCTGTCGGCGGGCCTGCTCCTGCAGCATCATCATCAGAGCACCTAAGTCAGGTGCTGCAGATGCGGGAGCTGCTGACGGGCCGGCCTCCGTGGTCGGCAGCTGGCCCTCCGACGTCAGCGACGTTGCAACACCAAATCGTCTCTGGTCCGTCTCCTGTTGGCGTTCACTTCCGGTACGGATACCGACCGTGTCGTTTTTAAGTAAAATCGGCATATTTGATCCCACTTCTGACACCGATTGTTACGAGCTTGGGGTTCGAGACAATTAAAAACTGCCGATTGAATTACCAAAATTGACACTTGAATTACAGAACACTAATTACTATCTAAAACCATACTAATAATAAAACACAATTGTACTAATGATCACTTTAGTTATTTTGCTTCGAAGTATTCTCTTGTATCGCCAATTCAATCCTGACTCGGTCGACGTCTATACTGGCCTTATATAGGGCCTCAGGTAGTTTCCAGAACTTTCTACTATAGAAACATCTAGAATGTTCGAGTACATATTGGTCCTGATATTTCTAGAAGGATCTTGACTATCCTAGTTCTGCTACTCGACACTAGAGGGCGCTAGTGTTAACTAGTGTTACCATATACAAGACATTAATAGTGGCACGCAACAATATATATTACATCTCAAATAATAAATATTTTTTCGATCGATCGAGCGATATTTTCATATTGTATTTCGCCCCCTGTACCCCGCACACCGTTCCTCACCGTCGCAGAATGGTTTGCGGGGTACACGGGATAATCCAATGGTGAACGCACACTGGTTAAAAGATATATCCCACAGTGAAAAGCCAGCCTTACCCATAAAACACATTGTTGCATTTTAATTAAATGTGCCATTTTCAAAATTTGTAAATTCGAATTTATGATGCATGAACTACGTAATCTGCGACACCCATGGAATTAAATCATTTTATTTAAAATAGCAGCTATAGGTCTCCTACTACTGAGCATTATCACTTCATAACAGTTTTCACATTCGTATATTTATTTTCATATTTCCAGAGGAAAAATTTTTAATTCTACAATGCCTGATGAATCAAATTCTAAGTTATGCGAGCATTCGCGATATAACCGAGGAGAGACTTGAAGAGTATAAGGCTGCAAGGCAGTCGCTTCGTTTATTGCAGGTTTGATATTGATTGTTGTTATGTCGCACTGCTCTTATTTTTCTGAAGGATAATACTTATAAATAAAATGATAGAGGTTTACAGTTGTGTCCGCATAAAGGAAAAACTACTGGATAGATTGCAACTAGGTTTTCTAAGTTCATTTCTTAAACACTTGGCCTTTACCAAAAAAAAAAAATCGCAGTATTTTTTTTTTCTTGATTTAATATGAAGTTATTAAAGTTTTAAGAAACCACGATTTTTATACGGGGTTTTTCATACGGCCAACTGTGTCATGTCGCATGCTCTCGCGTTACTAACCTAGATCATTTATATATTTTAGATACAAATGGAGCCACGAATAACATTGTTTACAAAGAAATTTTGTCTTTTTGATGCTTGTTTAAACTTTTCGTATGTGCGAAGGAAAATCCTTAGCACATACGAAAAGTTTAAACAAGCAACGCGAACGCAGTCGCGGATATCAGCTAGTAATTTATAAACCTTTTGGAACAGAAGGGTACCAGAATAAAAGTCTATCCACACAACATCTTTACATGTTGACTTCGCCCTGTCAGTAAAAAAAGTTTGATATGTCTGTTGGTAAATAGTGATGCCATAACAAATTAGAACAGTGTCAGAGACCTCATAGAATTCTCACCCCAATTTGATAGTATATTTTTTATATTTATTTAAATGGTGTTTTTATAAACTAATTTGCTTAATTCCTCGTAAAGAAAGAAAATGATGTGTCCTGCCCAGTTTTAAGGGGACATCGCGCGCACTATACCCGTCGCCGTCAATCCTAGCATTACCATCCCCAGTACCACAACACTAGGCACGACACACCACTCTCGAAATCATCATTCATAATTTTTTTTCTTTCTTTACGCGGAATTAAGCAAATTAGTTTATAAAAACACCATTTAATTAAATATAAAAAATATACTATCAAATTGGGGTGCATGATTTCGCGCATAAGTATTATGCCTTATATTGTTAGCCATAAGTACATTGTTTTCTTAATTTATTACTTTATATGACTACCTCGAATTGGCAACGTTTGAACTAGGTATCTTCGCCTTCGCCTTCTCGGGCAATGGGTCTTTGAACTTCTAGTATTCATCAGATGATATCTGATGCATTTACATGATGTTGTTTAATATTAAAACGAAGAAAAAGCTACCGCGACTAGAATGTTAATTGTTATATATTTTTTTTTAGTTGTGTATGTTTAAAGAACTTTGTGTAGGATACGTCTTTTCATTTAACGTGATAACTTCATCGTCACTTTGTATAAGCTTATGGGAGTATCAGTAACATTGAGAGAGTTACTATGTAGTATTCTTTTTTTAATATCCATGTTAATCTTATACAACTACATGGTAACCCAAGTACAAACTCCACGGCACCAATGAAATTGTTAATCACAAATTCATTTACCACGTGCTCTATAGTGAAAGAAAACATCGTGAGGAAATTTGCATGTCGTAGAAATTAAAAAAAATATTTCGAAGACATGTGAAGTTCGCCAACAACGCATTGGGGCAGCGCGACGGACTTGTCCTAAAACCTTCTCAGAAATTAGAGGAGGCCTGTGCCCAGGTGTGGAATGATCTAATAGGCTGTAACTTAACCTAATCTTATACATATTTTTAGATCAATGAACGAAAACGAGAAGTACAATTAATAGCAACACGCCAGGAGCTAAAGAAAGAATTCTTTGCTAAGAAAGAGGAACAGAAGTTGACAGGAGAAGCGGCTAAGGCTGTTGATGAAGAGTTAAAAGCAGCCACAGATAAACTAAACAGAGAGAGTGAAGTGAAGCGTCATGAGTACGAGAAGAAACTGAAAGAGTTACAATCATCTTTGTTTAGCTACACATCATACCTTGGTAAGTTTTTTTTTAATAAATTATGTATTTAAATAAAATTCATAATCATAAAAAAATTAAACAAACCTTGACTGCAGCACAAATGGGATAATTTGATCAGGGAAGGATCATACTCGGGGGCGACAGTGCACATCCATTTTAATTCTTAGTCGAGGATAGAGGCAGTAGTTAGGCCAGAGATTCATTTACCATCAGGTGAACTGTGTGCCCATCGGTCAGCCCTCATTAATTATTAATTAAATCAAATATTGACATGTACCTATATCAGGTATGGACCGAGCGTTTCGGCGCTACTGGGTGATGAAGCGCGTGGGCGGACTGTTCGTGGAGGCGGGCGGCGACGGGGACGAGCGCGGAACTTGCCGACACAAGATGGCCGTCGCCGCAGGAGTGTACCGCGACGAGAGAGGTAACGTGCCACTATGTATACCACTAACTATGCTATGGCAGCTATGGGTAAATTCCACACTGGTCACTTAGAAACAGAAACAGAAACTTTTTTATTCAATATAGATTATAAATAATACTTATTGAAAGTCACTCTTTTGTTTGATTACCACTGGTTCGGAAAAAACCTCTGTCCTGGGAAGAACCAGCAAGAAACCCAGCGGGACTATTTTTTTTTAAATAACAGCTTACAATCATGATGTTACACAAATTAACAACACAACAAATTAGAAATAGCTTGGTAGCGATCACCTCATTTCCAGGGGTTATTATCATCCATAAATTCCTTAATATTATAATAACCCTTTTTATACAAACTTAGTTTAATAAAGTTTTTGAACTTTGAACAGGTCAAACTTTGTATATTTTCTGGAATTTTGTTGTAAAAGTGTATACATCGCCCCAAGAATGAATTACTGACTCGATGGAGTCGAGTAACTGGTACTACTAGCTTGTGTCTGTTCCTAGTATTTACAGAATGAATATCACTTATTTTTGTAAAACTACTTTTATTTTTGTGTACGTACATTACATTTTCATAAATGTATTGAGAGGCCAAAGTTAATATATTAATTTCCTTAAATTTTTGTCGCAGCGACTCTTTAGGCTTTAAAACATAAATTGCTCTTATGGCCCTCTTTTGCAAAACAAATATAATTTCAGTGTCAGCTGCGTGTCCCCATAGCAAAATACCATACGACATTATGCTATGGAAGTAGCTGAAGTAAACTAGTCTAGCTGTTTCAACACTGGTTAGACTTCTAATCTTTTTTACAGCATATGCTGCAGAACTAAGTCTGCTTGCTAGTTTTGATATATGGGGGCTCCATTGAAGCTTCGCGTCTAGTGTGATTCCAAGAAAAATGGTGGTATCTACAAGACTCAGTTTCTCCCCATTTAAAATTACATTAGTATTTAATTTTTTGACATTTGGAGTCACGAATTTCATACATTTTGTTTTTGTGCCATTTAAATGCAAATTATTAACATCGAACCAATTTACTAATTTAGATATAGCATTATTTACTTCGTCATATTTTAGTAACTGTCGACTTAATTTGAAAATCAAAGTGTCATCTGCAAATAATACTATATCATGGTTATCCCCTACTATGTAAGCTAAGTCATTAATTTATACAAGAAACAGAAAGGGGCCGAGAATTGAGCCTTGAGGCACGCCCATTTGTACCATCGATCCGGAAGAGCTCATATTGTTAATGACAACTTTTTGCGTTCTCTTACTTAAATATGAAATATTTAATTTAAGGGCATCACTTCTTACACCGTAGTGTTGAAGTTTCCTGATTAATGTTTCATGGTGAACACAATCGAAGGCCTTGGATAGGTCACAAAATATACCCAAAGCATCCTGTGAATTCTCCCATGCATTAAAGATATATTTAATCAGCTCAACACCGGCATCAGTTGTCGAGCGACCCCTTGTGAAACCAAATTGATTTTTATGAAGTAAATTATTTATATTAAAAAAATTTAACATTTGATCAAGAACAATTTTTTCAAAAATCTTACTAAGTGTTGGTAGTACAGAAATAGGTCTAAAATTGGCGGGGTCTAATGTACTACCAGATTTAAATAAAGGTATTACTTTACTATGCTTCATTAAATCAGGAAACACACCAGATTCGATACTAGTATTAAAAATAATAGCTAAATGAGGCGCGATTGTATCTATTATAGACGCAATAACTTTAACGGAAATCCCCCACAGATCCGCAGTTTTCTTAACATCAATAGTTTTAAAATATTTTACAATATCTTTTGATGACACTTTATGAAATGTAAAATTCTTTGTACACACATTAACATTTTGTTTAAGTAATGATTCGGCGACGGCAGGAGAAGAATTCAGTGACTTAGTGGTCAAGATCGGAATATCAGTAAAATATTTCTCAAAAACCATTGCTACGTCCTGATCTGATACAGTTAATTTGTTGTTAACACTTAACTGGTAATTTGAATTGCGAGAGTCTTACCAGTTTCGCTATTAATTATACTCCATGTCATTTTAATTTTATTGGAAGCCGTCTTAATTTTGTTGCTCAAATGTAAAGACTTGGCTATGGAGCACACTCTTTTAAATATTTTTGAATATTTTTTTACATATTCCCTAAATTCGACGCTATAATTATATGACCTTTCATGGGAAAGATCATATAACCTATGCCTGCTCTTATGGACTCCTACTGTCGCCCATTCATTGAATGACTTCCGACTGTTCAAGGAGAATGTTTTAGAAGTAAAAGTATTATTAAATTCATTGCAAATAAGCTTAAATAATGTTCCATACAAAAAATTAGGATCATTTTGGTATGAAAGTGATGGAAGTTTTTTCACTATGTTACTTCTAAATTTCTCCAAGCGACGTGCATTTACTGGAACAGACACAACTTTCTCATCTACTCGCTTTTTGTGAACATAAGGTAACGAAACTACTTGTCCACAGTGATCAGAACTTAATTTTTGAATTATACATTTATGCAACGGCTTCACATTTGTAAAAATGTTATCTATACATGTTGCACTAGATTGAGAAATACGCGTTGGCTCTATAAATAAATTAAAAAGACCATATGATTTAAACAATGATCTAAATTTAATATTGATGGAGGAAGCTTCTAGGAGATTGATATTAAAGTCTCCACATATTACAACAGATTTATTCTGTTTATTAAGCTTAGCAAAAACTTCCTCCATAATGTTTTCAAAAGTATCATATGTACAACATGGGGGTCTGTAGAGACGCTCACAACAATGAGGTGCTCAAACTCAACACATGCCATTTCTACAGTTCGCTCAACAGAGAGGCTCACAATGTCTTTACGTTCTTTACATGATAATAATTTACTAGCTAATATTAAGGAGCCACCTCTTAAAACCGTATCTCTATTGAAAGAACTGACCACCTGGTGATTACTGAAGTTAAACATTAAATTATAAGCTTTTAACCAATGTTCAGTAATACATAAGATATGAATATATAAGATAAGAACAACTCAATTTCTAGCTCTTTGCCTATCATACCTTGTATATTTTGATGCACCAGGTGTAAACAAGTTTCATTAATACTCTGTGGAGTCATACAATTAAAGATTTGTAAGCTACATTCTAAATTATTTAAGTTATTATAACTGCTAGAGATTACCTCTATTGTCTCATTTTCTAATTTAAATTACTTGGAACTGATTCCAAATTGCATATTACGTCATTACACTGCTCAAAAGAAGCAGATGTCAATATATAAATAATAAGCAGAGAGTTAATATATAAATAATAAGATAGCACATTTGCTGTCTGTCTTAAATTATATTTTGATAGGTAATACCTATCTCTAGTCAAAAATTTCTTAATTAAATTATTTATATCTATTAAATTAATTCTATCATTATAATTGTAACAATTAAATGTCAAGTTTAAATTATTATTACATGAAAAGTTATTCATTAATAAATTTAAATCATATCTTATTTTATTTTCCTGCGGCCAACCCTGTATGTAAGGCAATGTAAACAAGATAATTTTATGTACATTTAAAGTATTTAGATTATCAATATATTTTAATAATTGATTTTTGTTTACATTGCCTCTTCTCCCAACAAGAATGATTAATGTGCTATTAGGACAAAATTTACTTGCTAAAACTTTATTCATTATATGACTATAGGATGCTCCAGGCATGCAATAATTAGTGATCATATGTCCTTTTAAACAGTTATTTAACATCATGCCCAAATTTTTGCCTATGTCATCACAATACATAATAACTTTATTTTTTTTAATATTTACATTGCTTTTTAAGTTTATATCCTTTGTCATGGCACTGTCATAGAGTGTAGGTGAAAATAATGAGGTCTTACTGTTAACTTTGTTATTTACACATATTGTCCCCGATGAACCTGGTATGGAGCGCTGATACTCACTCTGATTTTTTATTAAGGAGTCAAAGCGCTCCTCATTATATTCACATGATTTTACCAGATCATTCATGGCCAATATGTGTTCTTTTATCTCATCTTGAGCCGATGCATATTTATTTGATACAATTTCTAGAGAGCTTTTAAGTGATAAAATTGTTGAATTTAGACACTCTATATCAGTCTCATAACAGTGATTCATATTTTAATTAAAAAAAATTTAGATTTATTTTTTTAAGTGGATATTGTGTTCAAAATCTGCACTGGTGATTGTTGATAAAATGGCGGAAATTGTAAGATGCAATTATTTTAATTGCTGGGTTTTTATGTGCAACTTGGTTAATGAATACAATTTTACCTATATTACGAATAAAAACAATGACATCCCAGAAATGTATGAAGACAATGTGACTATTGAGGCATTCTGTAACATCTGTTTAGACGAAAACTTTTCGTTTTAAGTTTTATTATTAAATTCTTGTAATTTACATTTGATTTACAGCCGGCAGTGACAAAGAGAATGAGTCCGCTGCTAACTCCCGGAACGGATCACCCAAGAAGCCACTGATTCAAATAAACGGAATCGCCCACAAAATCAATGGCACAGAACAAGGATCACCACCCAGCCCGCTAGCGTTGCAACGGGCACGGGACCTCATGTTGTGCACTGCTGATATCAACACATGTTATGTGCATGGAAAGGTAAGCTGTTATTATTTAACTGTTTCGCTGTCCCGTGCACTACATATTAGGTCATTGCTATTGTCTTACTATTGTGTCTAAAAACTGGACAGTCAAAGTGTTAAATTGAACATATATTACACGTTTTGATAGGCTATAATGAATGCAGGATACAATGAAAAAAGTTATGCAAAAAACATATTTAAAATACTATGGGATATTCACTCGGATGTCTCATGTAATGGATAATTAAAGAATTGGGAATTTCAGTGAGATAGTACTTCTTAGTTATTATTAGGGTGCTTTTCCACCAGAGATGTGCTATGCAGCTATGCTGCAAGGATGTGAAAGCTAAGCTACGAAACTATGTGACCGTTTCCGCTGATGCTAAGCTATGTAGAGGGACAGGTAAGATGTGCTATGAAGATGCGTCGCCGCGAGGTAGCTGTGCGAGGAAAATGCGCAGCTAACAACTTACGAGTACTTTAAACAAAGACTACTTATTTTAAACAAACCGCTAATCTTTCTTTCGTACTGATCGATACATTTTCTGAAGCGAGTATCTTCCTTCTTGATATATGGTTTGATCATATTATGTAATGATTTGACTTCTTGTCACTCTGTAAGAATTCTGAAACGTCTCATCGTCAACTGTTTTGGAATTGTTTACATTGGTAAAGTATACTGATTGTATTGAGTAATATTTAATATCATTTTGCATCCAGAATCTATGATTTCTTCGTTGGAGTAAAGAGGTGAACAGCAATTCATCTTCCTCCATGCACATTGCGAGATATAAAATAACTTTTTGCTTTCACGGTGGCATGTACACTTTCGATGAAAAACGCGCGCCTACTGTAAGTGCTCTGATCTGCATATAGCTACACTACGCGCGACCATCCATAGCACGCATCCATCCATATAAAAACAGCTTATTTCAGCCTATTTCCACCAGTGCTAAACTGATCCATATGACCAATGAATATTGTTTAGGCCAAATATTAACATATTTAAATTTTGCATTCAAAACGCGGGTCTTGGCGTGTCCTTCCGATGGAATTTAAAGGTCACCGCCGGCCCCCTCTCCCGGGCGGGTCTCTCGGCCGAGCGCTCGGTCGCCTGACGCGTGGGCGAGGTGAGTTGGGTGCGGCCGTAGTGTCGATTAGACGGAATTTACTATCGAATATTTGGGTCTCGTTAAGACCGCCTCCTTTGCGACAACGCAAACGAGATTAGACAACTAATCTCGTGCGTTTTACGTGACGAGGCTAGTCTTATGATAATTCTTGCTGTAATAGTTTTGAGTGATTAACTTAACTTCGATTACCATTAATTTGCGTCGATGAGTTGCTTTTGTGGCATTTTAATATCGTACGAAGGAATTTTGCTTGTCGGGTGGAACGCTAAAACTTTTTGACTCGATTTTGGCCTAATCTAAAACATTTAAAACTTGCATTCAAGACGCGCGCTCGGCGCGTTCATTCGATGGTACCAGTCACTGCCTAGCACCCTTCCCCGAGCGCGTCTTTCCGCTGACGCTCCGTCGCCTGACGTCTGGAAGTTACATTAGATTCAATTGTTTTTGCGACCGCTGTGTCGGTTAGACGGCCTAAAATTTATGCTCGGAACCACCTCTAATAGCGTTGTCTAATCTCGTGCGTTTTACGTGAAAACGAGGCTGGTCTTATTATAATTCTTGTTGTAATAGTTTTGAGTGATTAACTTAACTTCGATTGCCATTAATTTGCGTCGACGAGTTGTTGTTTGTGTGGCATTTTAATATCGTACGAAGGAATTTTGCTTGTCGGGTGGAACGCTAAAACTTTTTGACTCGAGAAGAGATCGCGTTCGTGCTCGTGGTTATAATTTTGTGCTAAGTGAACCTGGGACATTGAACTTTGACCGACCGTTCTTAAGTTGTGCAGCGTGTCACTTGTTTTAATTTCGATCAATGTTGATTTGGTTGAATTTGAAGTTAATTAAATGTACAATAAAGTTGATAAACTAATATAGTGAAATAAAAGCAGAAGGTTTCAATCGGTGAACGCCCACTGGAGGGATCGCACATTTTGGAGAAAAGCAGCGCCTGTGGATTTGCTGTCCGATTACATCGGTGACGTCAGGTGACATTTATACACACTTTCGCACACTACTTACCACCTTACTTACCACCTGACTGATACCCTGTGGTCAACCCTACCTCCGGAACTCGGTAAGTTGTGTTTGCTTATCAGCCATTAGTTAATTATCCATAGGCCATTGGGCCCGAACTCTCTGGTTGCTCGTCGAGTGTATTACAGATGGGCCCTAATACAGTCGACTTCTGTCTGGGCAACTGAGAGCCGTAACAAATATGATTGGTGGATGTCAAACGCATCCATAGCAACATAGTATAGCACATCTCTAGTAGATATGAGCGCCGAAGACCAATTCCACGGCGGCGGCGTGGCCTGGAAACTTCCTCCGCGGCGACGGCGTCGCGGCGGCGCGGCGTGGCCGCCATGGGCCTTATATATTGTTTTATCAGGGAGAGCTTTCTTGAAAAAAAAAAACTTAAAGAAAACCATATTGTTGTTATCAAAAACGGCTTTATATTTTAATAAACCCCCAACAAGCCCCAGCCCAGAGATGGGAACAGTATTCCATGTGAGGCTGAACCTGCACCTTGTAAAGTTGCAGGCGGTGTGCCGGCATGAAATACTGTCCCGCTCTGCTGAGCACGTCAAGCTTTTTAGAGGCCAATTTGGCCTTCTCTTCCAAGTGACCACGAAACGGCACGTCACTATATGTCGACGCCGAGGATTCCGATAATGACTGAGGCAACAAGGAGAGTGCCTTGAAACTGAGGAGATGCTTAAATCTGGATTTTGGAGAACAAAGAGATGATGGCGATAGGCCTGTAGTTAGACGGGTCTGAGCGGTCGCCTTTTTTAGCTAGCCCTGAAGAATGCAACCGCGATGTTAGTGTTAGTGGGACCACATTCTGGACTAGACAATGGTCCGAAGAGCCAAAAGGGGAGTGGACGGAGACCTGTTATCTATCCAAATGAGAGGTCATCAAAAGGTCCAACAGGAAAGGTGCATGATCCTCCACATCTGGAATCCGCGTAGGCGAAGTAACCAGTTGTGTCAGACCATATGCTATGGCAAAATCTCCCCGCAGGATCGGACCTATAGAGGCACCCGTAGACATGCGGATGTTCGTCGCTGTCTATGCGTAGCCAAAGGATGAACAGGTCCGAACCTTCAAGACTGCCGAAGCGTCGAGAACAGATGTCCTCTTTGATGTATACGCAAAATCCACCCCGAGGCCCAAAGGAGTGTTCTAATTTGTACCCCGGGTAGAAGAGATACGAAGTATCAGCCGGAGAGGACATCTGCGTCTCGGTCAGAAAGAGCAAGGCCGGCTTCGCCGTGGAGTAGAGTGGAGTAGCTTAGTCGTGGGTGCTCAGCAAGGGATTCTCCATTACCAGGGGTGCTGGTACCCTTCTGGGGTAGTATTACATTTAATTTCGGGTAAGAAAGTTGAGACTCGTCGCGACGGCGGCCACGCGTCGACTTGAATTTACGGCGATGGCGGCGCGCCGGCGCGACGCTCATATCTAATCTCTAATGGAAAAGCAACCCTTAATAATGGGGGATTTTACCTGCTTGTTTAACTAGGCCAAATTGTAGAATACAATAGAATAATTTTTATTCAATATAGATTACAAGCATACTTATTGAAAGTCATTTAAGCTTTACTAAAAAAAAACATTTATTTATTTATGGTACAAAGTCCAGCTCTTTAAGTCCTTTTGAGGCTTACATATTAAACTTCTCCTTTTTATTTTATGATTGTTGCATAAATTAAATGTCATTCCAGGTGGATCGACCACATTGGTCAGTGTACCACACAGAAGAACAAATTGAAAGTTTGATCCAGTCATTGAACAAACGTGGACTACGCGAGAACGAACTTCGTCACTCTCTGGAACAGAATGGCACGAATTTAATAAACCATGTGAAAAAGTGTCCATTGCATTTACTGAACCCCACTGTGGAAACCGTAAGTGGTTTTATGTAATAACATTATATTAATCAGGTCTTCATTTGTATGCTCTTTAGATTCCATAAAGTGTAGAAATATTTATATTATAACAATCTAAAAGATTGAAAACTTATTTTAGGTCATTAAACCAAGTCTGATGAAAGCCAATTCTTGCCATTAGTGACAGAATTTGCTTTTGTTTAGACATTCTTCTGTAAATTATTACATACAATCACATTCATTAGCAAGGTCAACTTTTTTATTCAATTTAGTCTTGTTTCAAGGTCTTCATGAACGTCAAAATCTACCATTAGAATTTAGAAAACTACCATTTAGAAAAACAGAGACCTCGGAGAAGAACAGGCAAGAAACTGGGGGTTTTAAATGCCATGTTACAATTTTTTTACCACTTATGATAAAATCAGTACAATGACTATACTGTGTCTCTAAGTATTTCATAAAAAAAAATCACGCTCAGTTGTAATTGTGCTCTGTAGTTAGTAAAACATTATCAAAGAGAACATGTCGAGTAGTGAAATGCAAAAAGCTGATAATAATTATTCATTATCATTACAGTAGCTCATCACAAATATTTTGCATAACCTCCTTATGAGTTTCCTCTTTGAAAATAATATAAATATGTAAATTACAAACATAAACCAATTGATTGCTAACTTAACCAGCCTCTCAAAAAGTTTTACTAAAACATTTTATCCACAGCCTCCAATTCCGCCATCGCATCACATGACGCGACAGCGGCGTTTCCAACCTTCACTAAACGTGCCTCCAGACGTTACTCTCACTGAAGCGCTAGAACTATCTTTGCGAGATCACATTCTAGAACTTGAGGAGAAGATCTTCCATGGGTGCTTAGGGGCGCTTAAAGTCAAGGTACATCTACAAAGATTAAGTAGCTTATTATTTTTATAGTCAATCCATGTACTCGTAACACAAGCATGTTTTGTATGGTGAGTGATAAACAAGTTTTTTTATAATAAATAATAAAATATTATTTATTAGTCCTCAGGGATGACAACACACTGGTATTTTGATTCTTAATTCAAAATAATATGTATCACAGCATCCACTTACTATTGGGTGTACTTTGTGCTCGTTTGTCACCTATTGTTTACTAAAAAGACATATTTTAAGTAAGTGCTTAAAGTCCAGTGTCTTGGTGATGGAACAAACATTTCATATGTTTGGCCTTGTGCAATTTATTTTTGTAAACTGCCTCCACGACACAGGAGAAAATCCTAGTGTGGGGGTAACGTTTTTATAAAAAATATATATATATATATATATTGTGTGTTAGGAGCATTTCCAGTGCAAATGTGTCCTGCTCCATGCTCGCCAACTCACCTGCCTCGAATAGTTAAAAATTTAAACTCTGCTTAGCTCTTTTTAAAAGTTATTTACGTTAAGTAAAGTAAGTACTCGCTTTAAAATTTCTAAGAATGCAAGCAAAAAAAAAACAATATTATACCCTCTAGGACCGAGAAGCGTGGCGAGGCACGATAATGCTGAAGGGCTACGACAAGCAGGCTGACTACCTGAGCTGGGGACCAGGCCAGCAGTACCGGGACGATTACCACATGCCAAATGGTGTGCTTCGATTGCCTGATGGTGAGTGTAGTGTGGTACAACTCAGTATACATTTTTTGAACCAATTCATATTAGTATATTAAAGTCTCTTCACTGAAGTTGTGCAGTGATCATGTAATACATCTTGCATGGCTTACTCATTAGCTTGTAAACTTAGGTCGTATAATTTCTAGATAGAGAATTGCGGGCAAATATACATAGAAAAAAAAAGGAATACGTCGCACGTCCGTTTAGTACCAATTGTGACTGAGCTTCTCAGCTCTCGTGTGCGTGTGATAATAAAAAAATTAAAAAAAATATGACGAATTACGCATTAAACCATAATACATTGCGAATGTGAAATAATAGGAAAATTGCAAGTGGCAATCAAGAAATAAATTTAATTATAACTTATCAAATGATTTAATTGTGATTTAATTGACTTTTTAGAAAAAAAATTGTGGAGCGACGAGTCAACGTGTAAAAGAGACAGATACCATAACTTGCATAATCTGCACAGTTGGCAGCGTACAAACCCATATTTGATGAGAAAAGATAGGTCGCAATACCAGTTTAAAATAAATTATTGGACAGGAATACTAAACGGAAAAATCATAGGCCCCTAGAATTGCCGGGTAAACTGAATAGGGCCAATTATTTAGAATTTCTGCAAAATGAGCTGCCCAATTTATTAGAAGATGAGGCACTAGCCATCCGGCGAGGAATGTGGCTCCAAAATGATGGTTGTCCGGCACATTACGCCGTCCAAGTAAGGAGTTACTTAAACGAAGCCAACCGTGACCGGTAGATCGGCCGAAAGGCACCGATATTGTGGCCACCAAGATCACCTGATATTAACCCATTAGATGTTTTGTTGTCTCGCTCACACTGCTTAGAATTCGTCCAAAAAGGTGCTCGCCTTGTTATAGTAAAGTAAAATTTTCAAGGGCGACAAATAAAACAACCTAATAAAGACATGCAAAGTTAAAAAAAAAACTATCTGCCAATAATTTTGTAATTTTGTAATGGAATGCCTACTTTTACACATTGACGGCTATAGCTCAGTAAGTAATGACATTAAGTACATGGTATGTTAATGTTTTAGAATCCATATGATATAGGCAAACTTTTTAAATGGTTGGCCGCACAGATCCTATACGTTTTTGTTTTCACCACAGGTGCTCAAACTTAGCAGTTAAATAAAGTAAAAAATTTAAACTTATGTTTAGTGTAGTCTTGTAAAAGGGTTGCTACCCATAGTAGTTGAAAACTTTTAAGAGTAATTTAGAAACATCATTATTAGGGAACATATTAAAAGAAAAAAATCCGCTCTAGGCATTAAACTGCGGACGTGATGTCCGTACCACACCACAAATGTGAGCAGAAGTACACGTACGTACCAGATTATCCACCATTACTGGGACCACCTGTATATATATATATATATATATATATATATATTATAACAAAAATTTGGTTACAAAGCAATGTAAAATTAATTTAAAAATTTTTATTTTCTTAGATGTTGATAAGGAAGGCATAAAAGCGATACCAGAAAACAAATACCGCGACCCGGGGCATTATCTTGAAGCGCCGAAGGTGAATGGAATAAAGAAGGAGCCCGAGAATATAGCCGAGGCAGGGGCAAGTCCGGAAGTTGTTCGAGGACTTGCATCTGCTCTGCTACAAATTTCACAAGCTATTCACCATAAATATCTTAAAAGGCCTCTAGGTAAGTTGGCGCTTTTCATTTCATTTACTTTTAGCATAGTCAGTCATAGCTTTTAGCATAGTCATCATAGTCAGTCGGTAGACAGTAAACGCAATAAACGTATGCATTGCGCTGTTGCCAGTCGATCGTTATTGTTTCTGTAGTCAGAGTTTCTCAAACTTTATCTTATCCAACATGTTTACGTGTCACCGCTGTAATAGTGAAGCCAGGGATGGTGTGCAGTGTACGATGTGCCTCAACCGTTTCGATTTCCCATGTGCAGGAATAACAGAGGCAGGATATCGAAAACTTGGGGATAGAAAGACTACTTGGAAATGCAGTACCTGTAAGACAGGAACCGCGAGTCCCAATCTTCCTTCCGAGAAAACAGTACAAGGAAGAGTACCATCTCACGGTGATCTGGAGAATATTCGACTGGAGCTTAGTAAGATTACTAAACAAATATCGTCATTACCACAGTTAATTGCAAGTGTCCAGACTATCCAGGCCGACCTTTCAGATCTTAAGGTTATGAAGAGTGAAATGATGGACGTTAAAAATTCATTGAACCATGTGCATACTTCGGTTGAGGGACTCACTAAAAAACTGACCGAGATCGATCGAGAAATTCAGTCTTTACAAAAAACTAAAGATGACGTTGTACGTGTTGAAAATCGATTGGACAAGTTTGAGGCTGCTGTACGCGAAAATCAGCAAAGATCGCGCCTGAACAACATTGAGATCAAAGGCGTTCCTGTAACCTCGTCTGAAAATCTGTTTACTATCATCTCCATTATTGGTAGTAAAATAGGTTACGAAGTTCCCAAGGAGCAAATCAACTACATCGCAAGAGTACCTCAGCGTAATAATAAAAACAGTAAAAACATCATTGTGTCACTTCACACCCGTTACCTGAGAGATAATTTTATAGCTGCTGCTAAAAAATGTAAATCTTTAACTGCTGCGGATTTAGGATTCAGCAGTGATGGTAAGATTTTCATCAATGACCACCTTACGTTTGAGAATAAACAGCTACTTAATAAGGCAAAAGCTCTTGCTATGGAGAAAAAAATTTCTTATACATGGGTAAAAAACTGTACAATTCTAATGAAAAAGAATGCGACCTCTCCTACACATGCAATAAAAACGGAGGCAGATTTAAAGAAGATTCTCTGAATATAAATTTGTCTATTTCTGTATTATTTGTAATTAGTGAAACAAGTTTGAGAAACACTGGTACGTTAAGTTTATTATATTTATTTGTTTTATCACTGACGGTACACGTTGTTGTTCTGTTGTCGCTTGGCTTAATAGCTGCTGGGTGCATTTTTTATTTATACCTTACACCATTTGTGATATTAGTTAAAATAGTGTTTAGCTTGAAAAATATTATATTACTTCTTGCGGTATTTTACTGTTGTATAAATAATCAATATTATTTCTTCGTAAATATTTGTATTATTCATTACGCATCTTATTTTTTTAACGATTGCTACATTTTAAACAAATTGGCGATGTTACTTGCTGTATTTAAACACATTCATATACTTTTTATTAATATTATTTATTCACCACCACACTTTAGGTGCGTATTCACACTTCATTTTATGTTATGGTATGTTATTTTCGTCGCTATTTCCGTGTTTTTGTATGATTTTAATGATGGCTGTTGAAATTTACTATCAAAATGTACGTGGTCTGCGAACAAAGGCATCAACTTTTCTGAGGAATGTATGTATTAACAATTATGATGTTATATGCTTGACGGAGACGTGGCTTAACGATGACTTTTGTAATAACGAGCTCTTTGATGACCGTTATGTTGTTTGGAGACGTGATAGAAACTACAGTGTTACAAATCAAACGTTGGGAGGTGGTGTGCTTATTGCTGTTAGGCGTGAGCTTGCAGTGGAGGAGCGGGTCGACTGGCGTTCTTCTGCCGAAGACATATGGGTATCGTTAACTCTTCGGCGTTCCAAACCGAAAATGACATATAAATTACATATTTGTACGATTTACTTATGCAGACAAAATCTGGGTAACTCGTTATCTGCACAGTTAGCTTGTTTTTATACAAAATTATACGACATAGTAACAACCAATCTAACTGATGCTTTCATCATTTTGGGAGATTTTAATCTACCAAATATATCTTGGACTCTTGAAGATGATGGATACTCTCTTTGTCCAGAAAATATTGAGGGATCCGTTCAGTACGATTTTTTTGATACCTTAAGTACGTGTAATCTGCAGCAATATAACTCTCATACCAATGTTAACAACAGAATCCTCGACTTAATCTTTTGTAATAATCACTTATCCGCAACAAAATGTACCGACCCTTTAGTGCCTGAAGACCCTCATCATGTGGCTCTCAATGTCTTAGCCGATTTTGTCGAGTACCACACTTTACCAGTCCAGCCAAGGACTAAGTTTATGTACCATTTAGCTGATTTCTCCTCTATATCACGAAAGCTTGATAATTTTACATGGTCTCACGATCTTTTTAAGGGCACAGTGGACGATGCATTGTCACTATTGTATACTCGATTAAACAACTTGTGCGGCACTTACATACCAACAAAAGTAGTAAAATCATCTTCTAAATATCCCCCCTGGTATAAAACCCCTCTTATAAAAATATTAAAGGAAAAGTTTAAATATCACACCAAATATTAAAAATATGGCAATTTGTCAGACTATGAGTCTTTCTTAATATTACGTAATCGCGCCAAACAATTAGAATCCGAAATGTTCAACAATTATATAGAAAAGGTAGAACTCAGCATAAATAAATCGCCAAGGACCTTCTGGTCCTTCGTGAAATATAAAAACGCGTCAAACGCTTGTCCATCTACAATGAAATATGGACACATATCATCAGACCAAGGGGATGTTATTTGTAATATGTGTAGCGATTTTTTTAATGGTAATTTTCACCAAATTCGCAGTAACTATGACACCCGATACAAACCCGATAATTGGCGATCACAGACTGTGTCGGGTATAAACTCGATACAAGTTAGCGAAACTGAAGTCTTTAAGCTCTTAAATTCTATTGACCTGAATAAATCTGCAGGTCCAGATGGTATACCGCCCATTCTTATAAGTGTGCTAAAAGCTTGACTATACCGTTAACAATAATATACAGACGTTCGCTTAAGGAAGGAATAGTACCGCTTACTTGGAAATCTGCATTTATTACCCCCATCCATAAAAAAGGCCCAAATGACCGTGTAGAAAACTATAGGCCAATATCCAAGCTCTGTTTATTCACCAAAATCTTTGAGAAAATCGTATACTCGTCTGTATATCATGGCATCAAACAAACACTCAGTGATTATCAACACGGCTTTTTAAAAAATAGATCCGCTGTTTCGAACCTTATTGTCTGTTCTGACTATTTAACTACCATCATGTCTAAGCGCTTACAAGTGGACGTAGTCTACACTGATTACAGTAAAGCGTTCGACCGCTTAGATCACGTTATACTTCTCAGCAAACTACTCGAAGTAGGTATCAGCGGCGATCTGTTTAGGTGGTTTAAGTCTTATATTGAGAATCGTTGTCAGACAGTAGTACTCAATGGTTACACATCAGCAACTGTGCAAATCCCTTCAGGTATACCGCAGGGATCGCTATTAGGTCCATTGCTGTTTGCGATTTTTATAAATGATATAGGTTCCTGTTTTACTTACTCCAAAATAATCCTATACGCTGATGACATGAAAATTTTATACCCCATCACAAATACTTCTGACTGCTTTGGTCTGCAGCGTGATCTCAATGAACTTGAACGATATTGTTCACACAACAAACTTGACTTGAATGTGTCCAAGTGTTTTATACTTACATTTACCCGTAAACCCAATCCCATTGTCTTTCACTACAAATTACAAAACACTAGAATAGAGAGATTACAATTAGTAAAGGATCTTGGTGTATTTTTCGATTCTAAATTACTCTTTGATGCATATATTGAGAATATAATTAAAAAAGCCAATAAAGCACTTGGATTCCTTTTGAGATTTTCCACCGATTTCATAATATTAACCCATATATGCCCAGAACTATTTTTGAATTCTGATTTTGATTATTTCAAGATATGTTTATGCTGATAAGTCCTTATATCAGTATTGACTAATTTTAGTAAAAAATATTTTTAGTAAGTAGGTATTTTAGGGGTGTTCGAAAACGAAACGACGGGCAAATATCCTACATTCGTTATAGGTAATTAAAACAAAGATGTATAATGAGATTATTTATTACTTATTACTATTTTAAACTAAATTGCAATATGAAATTAAGAATGAAATACAGAGAAACATTTAGAATGTAAATTTACTTTACATTTTTGACAAAAAGTGACTGTAAGGCTTTTGCAATAGGCACATCGCAGTCTACTTGGTGCCCTGCCGATCATGTGCTCAGCGTTATGCTTTCGTACTGATGTAGGTACATTTGTAGATACCCGTTTGCTAGGTCCCGGATGTTGCTTATCATTGCCATATTTTTGAAGTAAGGTTCTGGCAATGCTACGTCTAAATTTCAGCGTATCTATATCTTTGGAGAAATTACGAGCTAGTAGGGTAGCATTGTTGACCGCAACGTCTATCAACCAGAAAAGTAACGGGATATACCATTTTTTGCCCCTAATTGCTATTCGATAGGTACCAATGTTTGCATCTAACCGATCAACCCCTCCCATAAAACGATTGTATTGGTGCACAACGTTGGGTTGTGGTACATTTACTCTTTGCTTTTGAGCAGCTGAGTATCTCCTTGCAGTTTGTATAGGCTCCACGCCGTATTCACTGGATAACAGAGTGACTACACTATTATCGTTCCAGCGCACTGCACAGATGCCGCTGTTTAGATCGAGCCGGCTGTCATGGTAACCTCGCTGTTCCTTCTTACATAATTTTTCATCTTTCAAAGGACACTTGTCAGTGCGATTACTACGTACTGTACCTGTCACTAAAATATTTTTTTCTTTCATTGCTGTTATCAACGGTAATCCT